CGTGGATCACGATCTTGGCGTCTCTTCGCTACTTTTGCTACTTCTACTGCTGCTGTCGACGCCGACGCCGACGCCGCCGCCTCCACCACCACCACCACCGCCACGACTACCATCACCACCAGAGGCTTTCATCACTCACGGGAAGTTTGTCCTTTGCGTCGACTGTTTGCCAACGACGACGACAACGACTAGGAGTACCAAGTACGGGGGACCCGAAGGAGGAGTCCAGACGAGTTTTATTTTATTTGAGCTTGACACTTCGCCGCGAGCACATACACCGGAAGTCGCGGACCTCCTCTACGAGCTCACACCCTTCCTGTTCGACCGACTGCTTATCTGCCTGTTCGCCTGCCTTATTACCTGCTTACCTGTCTCTTTGATCTACCGGCGGTCGCCATCGTTTTCTCGCGAATCAGATCACTTTTTCTTCGCGATCCTTCGGGATGGGGAGGATCGAGCAAGATCAGTGGCACGTAGTCAGTCCGCGACGCTTTCATCGCGTTGATAACATGGCCAAGGGTTGACATCGACTAGGGTGGTAATTGTTCAACTCTGTTTCACTTGCTACAAGGGATGCTGTGTAGAGATCGATCGTATCGCGTGTGAATTTAACAAGGGACTTGAATTTGGTCCAGCAGTTAAAGATACGTGTCGTTAAAGTGAGAATTTCCAGGGAAAGTGAAGATCGTCCCCGGAAGGAGGAAAACCGGAAAGAAGAAGAACAGATGTACCGACACACTGGAGGAGACACTCGAGAGAGGCTGAGCTTCGAGTGAAGTGAGAGATCAACGCGAAGGATCTTCGCTCCTGAGATATGAGGAAGCTGGAGGCCAAAGACAAGCACTCGGTCAGAAGAAGCGCCGAGGATTCGTGAAACTTAAAGATCCAAGTCTGGAAGAAGAAAAGTGACGTTGTAAGGAAAAATACATTTTTTAATAATAACAGAGGAATATGAATGCATCCGATCGACAGCCCGTCAAAGTACGCGACAGTGGTAAGGATAGATAAAGAGCGACGGATAGAGAGAGGGAGGGAGAGAGAGAGAGAGAGAGAGAGAGAGAGAGAGAGAAGAGTAAAACGTGAGTTACACATAGGTGCTCCGTAGGTGCTGGAAGAGGAAGTGGTGCGAAACGGTTAGTGAAAGACTCGCGACGTAGTGATCAGAGAAAGTGCCCGGCGGGGGTCTTTCGGGAGCCCTTTGGATGCACCCAGATTGCATCGGGTTCTCGAAGTTGACGGTCGTCAAAGCGGTGCCGGTGCCGGGGGCGAGTCCTCGACGCGTGCCACGCGCTGATCAGAGGCACCGCTCGCGAGCCGCCAGCCAGGGGTTGCCGGGGCTGCAGGGGTTGCAGGACCAGCAAGGGTCGTTCCGTTTGGGTACCAGGGGTCCCGGAGCTTCCACGAGGGCTCAAGCAGCCAACAGTCTCACCCAAGAGGTTCCCTGCGTTCTAAAGTGGACAAACTGTGCAAAGGAGCTACGTGCCCAGGAGGAGAGACGTCGAGGCGATGACAGGATGCCTCCGTCCCGACGCTGCGTCCATAAAGGACCACCTCGCACGAGGAAGCACGCCGGAAGTCTCTGTCGACTTGGACTGATCGCCCTTGGACTTGTTCTCTTCGATCATCGGTAAGTTCCCTTATACTCGACGTACATCAGATTTCCCCTTTCGAATAATCCTGCGGCATCCTGACGGTAGATCCTTTCGGATAATCTTGAGGATTCCACGAAAAGGAAGCGAGGACGGGTCCATTCTCTCGAGCGACTCGAATCCAAGTCCTTCCGATCGTGACTAATTTCTTGCTGAACTTTTTCAAAATTTACGATCTCTCTGACAATCAGCGCATTCATTATATTCACTGTGCATTCTGTATATTCAGTAGCTGCTTGCGAGGAGAATCCGTGAATAGGACTCTGACTTCCCAGGAGCACAATGGGCTACCCGACCTCCAATAGTGTCCGAGAGTCCTTGTTCTCCTTCTATTCCTCTTCTATTTCCTCTTCCTCCTCTGCGTCCTCCCTTTCATCAGCCTACTAGAATTGAACACTTCAGAAATCAACATCCACCCCACTCTCCTTCAGAGCATCCCTTTGATTCCTGACTCGTTGCGGACAAGTACAGTGGATGATCATCGAAAGCGGGCACGTTTACAATACGCATTGAATCGCTGTGCCACTTACGTAATAGTCAATAAATCAATTCGCACCGCGACGCTCAGCGTCGAAATCTGATTTACAGATGATTAAATCAACGTAACTCGTGTGATTGGATATTGACAAAATTTGTTACATCGAACTTCATTGTATTCATAATTCCAAAGATTTCACGATAAGCGATAAATAATCGGCGCGGTACCGATCCTTTGAGAATGGACATGGATCGATTGGGCACTTAAGTCGAGTAGTGAACTTTAATATAAAACAGCCACGTTAAATATTTGTCCAAGAGAGTGTCCTGTTACTTGTACCAAGTATTCGCCATTAAAAGCGAAATTCCATCCCCTACTCCTCATTTAATTCGCACTGCCAGGATCGCAACCGAATAAACCACTCACCGCGGCCATCTTGGATTCTTTGGATCCAAGTAACACAGGAAGTAAGATGCCGCACGCGAGAATGGCTCATTTCGAGTCACGTTTACGCGTAGCTCGTTATCTAATAGAATTATAGGCATCGTTATCTTCTGCACTTTACTGCAATTAGCCATTAGGGCCGAAGGTATTTAAAAATTGCAAAACAATACAAATATTGTTACAAGACGTTAGCGCTACGTTACCGCGTGACTAAAGTAAATAAGAGTAAATAAATAACAGTAAAACATCCAAGGGAATCACTGTAGGGAGCTAAGGGTGCCTGAGGAAGCTGAAGAAGCACTCCAGGTTGCCGATGGCTACTCCACGTTGTCCAGCAATTTGTTGCCCGAGTTACAATCATTAATCTGCTTTCGGTAGATCATCAATAGCGCGAAAGATAGCCGGGGACGGTGTACCGGTAATGGGAGCCCTCAATAACCCCAACGACCTGAAGGCGAGCTCCTACGTTCCCACACTCCGCCATGGGTCTCCATCGTCGCCAGCACCAGCACCAGCACCAGCACCTTGTCCTCTTCCTCCTCATTCTCCAAGTTGACCATTGAATTTTTTATTTACACCGGGTCCGACATGGCTTTTATTTCAAAGATATTCATTATCATTAGTAATTCGTAGCACAGATATCCCAAAGATTGGAGCTGGATCCACTTCAGCGGGCATTGATACCAAAAATCTAAAAAAAAAAAAAAAAAAAAAAAAAAAAAAAAAAAAAAAAAAAAAAAAAAAAAAAAAAAAAAAAAAAAATAAATGGATCTCGGCACAGAAATTTGTCTTGAGATTAATTCTAAAATTCTTGACATAGAATCATGTACTTGACAGGGTGATAATAAATCTACTCACGGACTCCGTAAATTTCAATTACACCACGTGACCCTATCGATCGAATGATCGATCACACCTGGATCATCGATGATAGTTCGATCGGCACGATCGATTGGGTCTCTATGGACTCCGGCATCGGGAAACCTTAGGAGCAGCGATCGTTTTTCATGTTAGAATCGATTAGGGGATCTTCGTGGTATCTAAGCCGCGTTCACATGAAAACAGATGCGACTGACGGTGGCAGCAGGTTCTTTTAATTTCAGGCTCTTCCGTTCATGGCGCTTATGAGCGCGTCTGCTTTACGTTTGATGAGTTTTATGAGACGAAGGTCAAAGTGCAAATGTTCAAAGAGCCAATAAGATCCGATAACGCTTAAGCGGACGTTCTTAAGTGTTTAGCATCTTGGAGCCTGAAGACGTGTATCTTAAGTGATTGCTGCTACTGGCCACTCCTAATAGTTATAAGTGCCGCCGAGGATCCTGCTTTTTCTCTGATCTACAGCAGACAGTCACGCCATCCTGAAATTAGATTCATATTAAAAATTCAGAATTATTAGTATATCGATAAAAGTAATGTCAAACATTTTGTCCTAGTAAAGATAGAGATTAATACGAAATAAATTGAAGTAGCGTAGGCGTCAGGAGGATGCATGAGAAAGACCCAAAAAAAAAGGGGGGGAAAAATGTGGGCCTTAGGATCTTCCTGGAATCGTACCGATTTCGATAGCGAGAGTACCAGGTGACGAGTCTCAAGTCTAAGGGGTCTGATCCGACCAAGGGGAGCACGTCGTCGGTTTAATCGAAGACGGATCCAGGAGCAGCAAGGGGCTAGTGCCCGTGTTCACGATGAGGAATCCGATAACGGGAGGTTTTGGGAGGAGATCATGGCATACCATCCACGGGAGGAATGTCCCCAGCCGAATTCCCGAACCCTAAAATCACTCAAACCGATCGAGGTAGCGCGCGTGGGAAAATTAGCTCCTCGACCTCCGAGACACTGACCACTTTTCTGCAATTCCTAAAAATATGCTAAATCAAGAATCTCTGTGTGACTATTATTATTATCGTGAATTCCAGTGCGATGTGTCTGAAGAGCAACTCCGTGGACGACTGGGTGAACGGTAATGCTGTCGTGTGCAACGGAATCCCAGGATTGACCAAGGAGCAACGGGAACTCTGTCACAGGAATCCGGATGTGACAGTGGCAGCCATGAAGGGACTTCAAATGGCAGTGAAGGAGTGTCAACACCAATTTACATGGCACAGATGGAATTGCTCTTCGTTGACAGCGAGCAGTAGGAATCAGCAGAGTAGCGTTTTGCTCCAAAGAGGTTAGGACTACATTTTTTTTTTTAATTATCAAAGGGGTAACCTGAAGGGGAAGGTGGGTTGCCGTCCTTCTTCTTGAAGTGTCTAGTAAAAATTAAGCTGGACCGAGTCCAGAGACTCGGTGGACGTCGGGGATGATGATCTTGAGGATCTAGAGGTTCATGAGGATACGAAGGAGACACCAAGAGACGTTAAGAGAATCTCCTTAAATCAAAGGTACTCTGGGGACCCAAAACCTGACCCAATTCCATAACAAGACGCGCACGGCTACTCTGCGGTGTGACATATAAATTCGTCTCGTACGTGCGTCGAAAGAGGAAACATATATCGTGGAGGATGAATGTGGCAAAGGGGCGGGCAGCGGACCCTGAAAACCAGGCGCACCTGACCTGAAAACTAAGGCGTCACGAGACGCGAGAAACGAGAGACGAGAAAGAAGGACTCTACCGGCTTGTTATCTCTCGAGGAATCATTTCCCCCGCGATTCCTTAACGGAAGGTGTCGATGACAGCTTCCCATTCTGGGACAGAGACCGGTCCACACCTTCTTCCGTCCGCAGCTTCTTTTTCTCGATTCCACCGATTTACAGATTCGCAGATCCAGGAACAATCGTTACTCGTTTGAGCCATGTTTTCTCTGTCCATTAGAATTTTCCTGTTCCTTGCGTATTATAGTTTTCATGGCACGCATGAATTTAGTCCTTTGTCCGAAGAAAGTAGAACTGACCCACGCCTCCGTTACCGACTCTCTCGTTTATACGTTCATTTCTTGCCTGAGAAATTCACCGTGACAAATTCACCAAAGTTCATCCTCGAATGGTCCACCTAGTCGAGAGACGCGTCGTAAAGTTCCTCTGAATTTCATAACTCAACTGTGGCCGTCATGGCCGCCGTGGTAAACGACTTAATATATTATGAAAATACGAGGAACACACGTTCCGAGGCCACACACGTGGACCAACCACTGGCGAATGTCAAATGAGACTTGATGTTTAGTGCTTAACATTGGATTCCGCTCCATGTTAAATCATTATTGATATTCCATAGAACCAATTAATACATAAAATAATTGTACAGAATGTCACAGCCAACTAGTCAATATATTCAAGATTAGTTTCATTTACCTGGAGACGCTCTTTATTCGATTTGTCCAGACGTCCAAAGGACAAACTGACAAACGTGAACCTCGTGCCGTCCACAACTACCGATCCTTTCACGATCGGTTCTGCGAGAGAAGCCAAAGAGACAGAAGACATTCCCCTTGGTCTTCTTCCTCCAACCCTAACCTCGACTCTGGCTTGAGCTCCACGTCCTCATCCTCGTACTTGTGTTACGGGCAAGGTGGTAGAGACGCGGGAGACGGAGGATGAGGAAAAGAGGCTGAGAGACGTACAACTCCCGGGAGAGGATTTATTACGAGTCCCCTCGTCCTGCTCCTGTCCAGCAGTCCCAGTAGCTATCTGCATTATAAAACAGTTGCTGCCAATAGCCGTATATAGAGAAACTCCCAACCCTCCCACCAGATGTCCTTATAAAGGCGAACTCTGTAGGCCTCTCGACCAACTCAACACTAACATTACCACTTACCACTAGTTACCATCAGCGTCATCGTTGTCCCTTCTTTCTTCTTTACTCCTTTTCTTATTTCATCATCATCCCTACACGCCGTCACCCATGCACTATTATTTAGTTCGAGTCCCATTCTTCGATTTTATCTCGTTATCTGTTGCCTGTCAAAAAAAAAAAGAGCTATTCGCTACAGCCGAGCGTATTATTATCAGCAGGGTAGATGGCGTGACTTGCCATAGTTGGTAGAGAGGATAGGTAAAAAAGCAAAAAGTTCGAGTCAAAAAAGATGGCCAGAGGGATGAAAAAACAGGCACCGAATGGTAGTTTGCGAAAGTAATGGGTCAGGATGCCGGGTAACGGCTCGCGATTCCAACCGAGGAGCATCAAGTGTCGATGGCGAATGCCACAAATCCTTTGGAAGCGCGGTGCGCAGCGCATCGAAGCGCATTGAAGCGCGTTATAACGCGTAGCAGCACGTCTGAGCGTCTTACGGCGGCGAAGCGCAGCCTCATGAATACTGCAATTCCGAGGAGATCGGATTGGCCGAAGAGGAGAAACGCATTGGCCATCGATATATTGCGCTGCTGCTGCCGAAGCGCTCATCCCTATAAAGAAGGCGCGCGTTCTGTATTCCAACTCGAAGCCAGTCATGTGTCGTATCGTTTGTAAGTTGACAGCCACCACTGCAGTTTGATGCTCAGCTGTCCGTCAATCCGACTCCGGACTCTCCGAACTCTCCCGAGATCCACGTCGGGCCCGAAGAAAAACTGTATTTGACGTCGCATTATTTACAAAGTCCTGCCAGCCAACTCCGCAGTCCTCACTCTTACGCCACGATCAAGTGTTTCCAAATTCTATACCCACGCAGAGCGTACATCGTAGCCAGGTCTGTTTTTACTTTTAGGTTACACACGTTAAAAAACATCAAGTAGATACTCACCGTAGTTGACAAGTTATCCTTCGTAAACACGTACAATCCCACAGACGCCACGTCGTCCTGTTTGTATCGGATGCACAAAATATTTTCACTTTTCATTTGATTTGACACGTAGAATGTATTTTCGGGGAAAAGTCCACCTGTCAGAGGCTACGCGAGGCGAGAGAGAGGTAATACACGGACACGCGGAGTTTCGAGGTTAGGACAGTCGTGAAGCGTTTGGCAGTGCGCCTGCGGAAACCCCACGGCGAGATCGCTTATACATGCAGACAGTGGATGCCCGCTGGCCGCCGCTGCTGATGGCCGCGCTTTGTTTTGACGGACGGTTGAATAATCTCCCTCTGAACTCTGTCTGATGGCTGTCTGTTCTCTGCTTGGCTACCGAACTCCTTCTACGGAAGCCAACCCTGCCTGACTGCCTGACTTCCCGCTGACTCTTCGCGATATCGCTTCCCATGTATATTCCTGGCGTCTCGATGCCGTCACCACGATTTAGGTGCAATTTGCTATACGGGACTGACGCATCGACAATTCTCATCATTCGAATCACAATTAAATGCATTTTTATTCTTATTCCCAGGGTACAGGGAGACAGCATTCGCTTATGCAATTTCGGCTGCCGGTGTGGCTCACAGTGTGGCACGAGCCTGCAGTATGGGGAGACTCTTATCCTGTGGATGTGACCCTTCCAGCTACAGGGGTAGACCACCAGCCAAGGCGCGGGGTACACAATGGAAATGGGGGGGCTGCTCTCATAACCTCGAATATGGCATGGAGTTCTCGAAACAGTTCCTAGACTCGAGAGAAAAGGCTGGAGATATACAGTCGACTGTCAATCTGCATAACAATCATGCAGGTCGATTGGTGAGTTTCAATCAGATTAATTAATAGATGAAAGAGATTATCTAGAGGATGATCAAGATAACAAAATATGAACTTTGACATTAACGAAGATTGAGCTTATCCAGTGTCAATAATTGAACTTTCAATAGTTATCTTTTTCTTCCTTGTTCATTATCCATCTCCTCCTTGATTTCCTCTTCTTGCTTTCAAACGCTTAACTTTTTAGCGGTTGTTTCAGCTCTGTTATGTAGGAGGAATAGAAGGGCTGAGAAAGTCAACTGAAGGGGGAGAGAAGAGGAAGTGAGTCCTCTCAATCTTTCCAATCCTCTCGGTCCTCTCAGTCTTCCCCATTCTCCAGAGTCTTCGTGCATCTCGGTCCACGCCAGCTCTCGCCTCGGCTCTGGAGGTTATTAAGATGAAGCCCCAGGCCGGACCACCCAGCCGTAGACTCATTAACTGTTTTGTACGCGACACCTCTTTGTCTAAAAGAACCTCCGTCTTCGCCCCTCACCTTATTCCATTGACTCACATACCTGTTTGTACAACGCGTTAGATTCACCATTTTTTCCCGGCACGTTTTTTACCCACCGAATCCGTCGAGTGCTCGTGTGCACTCGATTAGACGCGGCCAGGATACCTTTATCCGTCGAACCCCTCTGTGTCCATGAAACTTCCACGTCTCCATCATTGGCGAAAATCAAGTCATTTACGAGTCACTCCTGAACACGAGGATTGATATAATACTAATATATAAAATTTCTCTAATTTCAGGCTGTCGCGACAAACATGCAGGTGCGCTGCAAATGTCACGGAATGTCAGGATCCTGCGAATTGAAGACCTGCTGGAAAGTAGCGCCTGACTTTCGAATAGTCGGAAAGACGCTCAAGGATCGTTTCCGGGGTGCGATTTTGGTGGCTCAGAGCAACCTGGGGAACGTGACGCCGTTGACGAGAGTACGTGGTTCGCGTCGGCGTCGACCTGATCGGCAGAAAAAGAGAAAACATCGCGGTGGTGGTGGTGGTGGTAACAGTGGTAGTGGAGTAATTTCCGGAACTGAAAGACGAGGTCGCAAACGGAAACCATGTGATCTAGCAAAACAGCTGTTCTACTACCAAAAATCTCCAAATTTCTGCGAACGCGATCTAACTATCGACATTCCTGGTACCGCTGGTCGCAGGTGCAACAGGACAAGTTCTGGCGGAGACGGATGTGCGTCGCTCTGCTGCGGACGAGGCTACAATGTTGTACGACAAAGACGGACCGAACGCTGTCATTGCAAATTTCATTGGTGCTGTTTTGTGCAGTGTCAAAATTGCACTGTCGAGGAGTGGATTACGGTTTGCAAGTGAAACAGACTTTAACTCGTATCTGATATCTGAAAACTCGCGGGTGTGACTGATCTTTAATTGGATACAAGACAAAGAGACATTGCTGAACACTTGATAGTTCACAGTGTCCATCGTTCGTTGGATTGTCGTTCAGCCATTTCGGAATTACGTCGTGACGTAATTATTTGGGTATTTATACCGCTGTAAAAAAAATTCAATATGGCGACTCTGACCAATCATGGTTTTTTATTTGACTTTTTTTTGGAGAAATTAGGGATTGATTCGCTTTCAATAAATTGCACAAGGATTAGAGATATAAAAGGGGAAATGCTCTTACTCCTATTACATAATCGTGAAAGTTGGGCGAATCACCTAAATCCAATTGTAAATTAATGATTCGCTTGTAAACGAATCCAATAACGTATAGCTATTATATGTATAGTCTTGTGCAGGAGTAAAAGTCAGATCGAGGGGACTCTTTTACAATTGAACGTCTTGATAAGATGGCACCTCGAAAACACATTTTATTCGTGGACTCAACTATACATACAAGTAATATATAAGAATGACCTAGTAATAAGCTTCTAATTTATTTGTAACGAAACTATTTAATTGATACCTATTTAATTTAACCCACAAACTGTAACGCCTCTATTGCAGTATTATTAGCCCTTATGCAAAACGGCATGACTGTATACTAAAAACGTACAATAAAAGAGTTCCTTTGAAATCCAGGTCTGTGAAGTTACCATCGCTTTACCGAACAATTCGTCAGAATGGTTTTTGTCGGAAAAAAAAGCAAAGTAAAATTAAAATGAACAAGAAAAAGGAGCATCTCGCAGTTAAGGGTTGAAGGGGGCGAAGAACAAGCAAGGCACTTGTCAAAACCACAAAAAAATCTCGCAAGGTGGCAGCACTGAAGAAAGGAGAGGCAAGATTGAAGAGAAAAAACGAAACAGAACCAAATTCAAAATTTGATAGGCAATGTGAAATTGTCATGCCTAACTGTCCCGGTGGAAAATTAATAAAAAAATTGTTTCGCCATTTTCAAAACAAATATTAAAATTATCCAGAGAATGCGAGGCGACGAATTAGCCAGGAAGATAAAAAGCGCGCAAGACTAGTAGTGGCAAAATGCCAAACCGATATAACCCGTATTAGTAGGAAGCCACGCGAGTAGTCGTCCATGTTTATTCATCAAGTGCAACTTTATCTGCCGGAGGTTCCTTTGATTTCCGCCGCATATAATCGAAGTGTGACCGGTACAAGGTTTATCGTTGGATCGGCGATTTGTCTTGCGCTTCCTACCTATAGAGGGCTAACAGAGAGTCGCTCGCCCTTCCGAGCCTTATTGATTTTGTATGAGCCAATAAATAGCGAAGAAAATTCCGCGTTTGACGTAGCAAGTGCCGCGCGATCTGGTTAGTTTCGTTCCAGCGTTCCAGCGTTCCTACGTTTTGTCCCGTTGGAACGAGTTGCGACTATCGATTTCGTGAAATCGATATCGACTGAGGTAGTAAACAGGTATCCCCCCTCCCGTCCCTCGAGCCTCCCTTCATTTTCTTTCCCACCATCGTTACTGTTCCTTGAAGCCGTGGGCGGAAACCGCACGCGCCCCCACGTACCACCATAGGATCACGCAGCATCCGGAGGACGTTTCCAGGAGCAAGAAGAACGTCTAGCCGCCATTGTCGCCAACTGCACCAACTTCCATCGCATCCATCTCATCCAGAGATTGCGGCACCTTTGAGTATCCTATGGAGTGACAATAAAACGCGTTAAATTATCGCGAGCCGTTGCTGATCTTTTTCCCAGATTTATCTCGTGAGATTAGAAAAGAACAACTTCTTATCGCTAGATTCTTTTGTCATCGACACTACTGCCAGACCCCTGTGTTCCATCGTCATCGGATTGCCCGATCGATCGAATATAAAATGGACTTTTTCGTTCGTCAAAGTCTACCTACCTACTACCTCTATCGTTTTCATGCCAGCAACGGAAACAGTCCAAGTGGAAAAAATGGAGTTTCCAATGCAGGAATAATCGCTAATGTACTTAACCTCGGTTCATTCGAGGGACAAAATTCAATCGCAGTCAGGAAGCATCGCCGAGTGGAATCTTATTAGCTCGACTGATCCTCGAATAGAGGTAACAATATGAAGACCAATAGAGGTTTCAAGTATTTAGACTAAAAGACACGATGTTCAGATAGCATATAGCGGAGACTTAAAAAATTACCCGAGAATTCCAATATGACGGGAGAAAGGGCTGGAATGCCAAGAAGTGCCTAGGAAGCAATGGGAGTGGGTGGGTACAGGATGAAGGAGAGGGCGCTGGGAACTCAGAGGGAAATCAATGAGCTAACAGGCTTGCGAGTTAGCAGTTAGTTAATTAAGTCGGCCTTATTGGATTATAGAAGCCAAGCAGGGGGTGAGGACCCTCGGCTCTTCGGGGTGCTCGCATTGCGAGGGTGGACGCCGCGGGGCCTACAACCTGCCAGCCTGCCAGACGTCTTAATTAGAGGTGAGTTGAAGCGCCACGACGCTAAGAGCACTCTCTCTTATTTTCTTTTTGTACTTGCCCGTCGTTTTCATTTTTTTTTTCATCCAAAAATCTCACCCTCGGTTCATCCCTTATCACTCGGTACCGCTTAACCCACCAGCGTCCAGATATCGAAATTTGTAAATTTATTTAAAATTTTGTCTTCGCTTAATTTCTTGTTCCCACTCGTCCACTCGCGCCGTAGCTGAGTAATCCTTGTCCTCGTCTTCGTCGTTCCTCAACTCTGCACCCTGGTCTCACTGCGGGACATGGTGTCCTTATCTTGCGGATCCTGGTAATGCCGCAATTAACAAGTCCCCCCTGGTGCGCAAACGTTTTACATTCAACATTCTTGGTTAGGAGCCGTCGCAAGGTGCCAGAACACGTGTTCGCCAATGTTTTGCACGCTCGCTTGCTCTTCCTCGTGGCTTCGGCTCCCGGGGACCTTGTTTCAGTGATAGCGTATATGCGATCGGTATTTACATCGAGATTCAACCGAACGTACCAGGAAGTTAAACCTCGTATGAGTTTCGCAGAAGGGAAGACGCAAGCCGATTTCTCGGATCGAATTAAATTGACAGAATCCAATGGCTGAGTGATCGGAAAGAACGTCGGTAATAATTTATCAGTGGAATTTTTATATCGTGTCAAAGTAATCATTGGTACTGGATTTTTTCAATGCTTTAAGACAATATTATCCATCTTGGATTTTTATAGTATCGCCGAGCTAAAGTAACCGGACTGGTATTGTAATGGGGATAAATAATTTAGCAAGTTACCAGTTGCAATAAAAGATAATAAGAGAGAAGAGAAAGATAGCTAAGCAAGGAGAGTAAGAATCCAATACACAGTCGTGCATCTTCCTACTTCTTATGGTCTTCACATATAGTCAATGACGCGTCTCTCGCTCGCCTCGATTACAACGAAGAAAAAGTTGCATTACACGAGGCTGGCCATGCCGACAAATCGATGGATTATGCCAAAGAAGTGGCGGAGCAGTTAAGAATAAATAAATTGGCTAACGACCTATCTGGATTGGTATTTGCATGCTTGGCCGGATATCCATTAGAAATTCGTACTTATTGCTATCTAGGAATTAAATGATAACTTTCTTAATTAACGGGCGGAACAAAGAGACAGAGCGAACAAAGGAAAGGATCAAGGAAGAGGAAGAGTAAAATCCTCTCGAATAAGAGGCTCTTTGAATACTAAGAGATATGATCCGATTAAGGGATTCGATTAATCAAAATTTTTTATTCCAGTAAAAATATCGAATTTACCAAAGTCAGGATAAATGTCGATCACGAATTTTCCTTGATCCTTCTTGAAAATATATTACGTAATGACCAGAGCCGATAAACGGATCTAGGTTTGAGAGGCCGCACAAGTTACTGCAGTCTGTGATAGCGTAGTTAACGTATACTCTTGGCGGTTGGTTGACGTTATCGAATAACAGAAAATACTAGGAACGGAAATCGAGATACGAAGATGCATCCCTAGGATGCACTTATTAAGGAAGCATCAAAGCTTCCGGGAACTAATTAACGATTACCAGTGACCGAGCGCTACTCGAAAATAATTAGCACTCCCTTTGTAGCAGCTTGAAAACACTTGGATTCAGCTAGAGGCGATACTCAGGAGCTTCGAGGAGTTCTCATCTCGTGGCAGCAAGGAGATCTATAGGTGCGATCATCCATCCTGGTGCTACATCCTGGACCAGGAAGCTGTTCTCACGCAGTGATAAAACAAAAAATCAACTATGGATGACTATGGCAGACAGGCTGGTCCCAGGCGGTCCAGAGAGGATGAATTCAACGGACGGGATCCTTACGGTGGTGGAGGGGGTGGTGCTGGTGGCGGAGGTGGACCAGGTACTCTTCAGAGGCTGGACAGCATTCAAGATCCGGGAAAGAGGTATACTCTGAAGGAGTGCATCGGATCCGGAGTCTGTGGAGACGTTTACGAAGCGGTTGATCAGCAGGCCGGTAAGTTCCTCGAAAAAGATACACAGTGTGTCGATCAACTGCAGAACCTATGCGAACCGTCGCGAATCCGATTCGCATCCAAGAACTACCATACCGTAGACGTCTATAAGACCCGTAGTATCGTCTCTATAAAAGGTTTATAAAGCTGATCCATCGATTCAGGGAACAAGCGAGTAGCCGTGAAGATCCAGAAGCTGACACCGTATAGTCAATCCGTCATCGTCGAGGAGTACAGAGTTCTCAGGGACTTTGCCGGGCATCCGAATCTTCCGGATTTTTATGGAATTTACAGAAAACGTTCTGGAAAGAAAACAGATTTCGATCAGATATGGTTCATCATGGAGGTAAATTAATTATCATTGATATTATAGATTATCGATTACACTAGCTTAAACTGTGCTAATCCGAGCGCGACCGTAACGTTGTAATCGGTGAGTAAGCGGATACATGTATGGAACTCCTGACCCACCCCTTCCCCCCCTTCCCACCCGTTCACCCCCTCGAGGCAATTTCAAGCATTTGAGACGCTCGAATATACGGATAATTTACGACACACGTGGCCATTAAACAATCATTAAACTCGTTCGTATACGCAGGTGAGCTCCGGCACGTCGCGGGGCTAATTTACGGGCGGACCTCCACTGCGCCAAAATATTATTACTTATCTTAAATTGCAATGCACGATTTGCAACAGTATATAAACCGAGAGAATAAATTCCATCGGATTACATTGTTCTATAAATATTACATCAGCAGATTCGATTTTGAATTGACAATATCATTGATACGTATCGATACGCGATTAATCGCTGACATTAAGTCGTAACGGCTGCTGCCATAACTTGATCCTTCTCTCTCTCTCTCTCTCTCTCTCTCTCTCTCTCTCTCTCTCTCTCTCTCACTCCTTTTCTCTTTCCTTATACACGGTGCGTACAACGAGCGTCGGTATTCCCTACCCCGACGCTACAGCCGACGCCCGTAAACGCTTGATATGAATTATCGCCAGCAATAAATCTTCGCCACATTGTCGTTACATGGCTCAGCCAGTCTCTCGGGCGCTGCCACCGATTGACTTACAAAAGACGCAATTGCATCCAGTGAAGCTTCATTCCCTTTGATCTGGACTCCTGGCGATCAGTGTGTCTACCCAGTCATGAACCAAGAATCGTGTGAGCCAGGTCAATGGGGTTGTAAGCTGGAGTTACCGACGGAGGAAGTGCAGGGAGGAAGACACCGACGGAACCGCTGAAAACAATTCAATCTGAAACCGCAGAACAACGCAATTCTAATCTACTGACTGTCCTACCGATCCAGATTACTTCCGCAATTACGTTGGCATTTCCATTATTGTTCAACATCATTGCCAGAGGTTTAAACTCCATTTCTAGGACGATCCTGGATCCTGTGGGAATCAACGTTATCTTCTCGCGTCTCATTCATTGATCTACCACAATTAGAGTTTAACCAATACCTTTTTTTTTAGCTGTGCGAAGGTGGCCCTGTCATGGACCTGGTGCGAGGACTCGCAGCATCCGACCGGAAGTTGCGCGAAGAGCACATAGCTTATATCCTGAAAGAAGTGGTCAAGGTCAGTAATCCATAATGAATGAAGTAGCACAGGAGATTGATAAGGAGCAGGGCGTGTCTCACGTGTCGCTCCAAGGACGCTGATCGTCAGGACGAATCAAAGGACGTCGAAAGACAGCTGCCGTCCTGCAGTTGGCGTCGTGGAAAAGTCAGCGAGTTTGGAATGTCAGACGGCCGCTGCAGCGTCTCGAATGCAATAAATACCACCTGCGAGGAGTAGCTGGGTTATTATAACATAATTGTGCCCGATGGTATGTCCCGGGGCAGCGTCCTTTGTCTCGACATCATTGCGCGACCAGCAGTGGCGTCGGAATCGACTCGAAGACGTCGCTGCTCGTTGCACGTGGACGTGAACGCGGAACGACGTCAATGGCCGCCTTCTATGGCGTATAAATTACAAATAAGACAGGCGAGATGGTCCGCTAATTAACCTCCTCTCAAATGAAACCCACCTCCTTCTCTGCCTCATCCTCATTCTCGTACCCAGCATCTCTTCCTCGGGATACCGTGCGCCAGAGTACAAAGACTCTCTCGCATTACAGTCCTCCGCAAAAACCAATTGCCAATTCGAGATGCACTCTGAGGTAACAACGAGATCGGTGTGTTTCATGGGAGAGCATTGAAAAACATCGGAAGAGTGATCCTTAATCAAGAGATATTAAGAGAACCGGCGAATTACGATTTCCCCCATGGACCACTTTGGATGCTGCCAGCAACTCGGCATATCTAATTATCTGGGAACACACGTAATTGTATAGGGATAATAGAGAATTTATAACGACTGCAACTGTCAGGAGTTAATACGCACCGATTTATTATCAAAATGGGGGGAAAAATTGAAGTAATGGAAAAATAATAAAATTTACCTCCAAGAAGCGGCTAAATTATTAGATGATTACACGGACGACATCTTGGATTCCACGAACGGAAATTCATCTATGATATTCCAGAGTTCTTTGTCCCTTAACCAAAGTGGTACAAGAAGAATTTTCCCAGGAGATTCTCTGTCTCTTCGTTCTCCAGATGAAGAAGATCCGCATCCTGTCGCTGAATAGTTCCTGTCCGTCCTCTGAGCAATCTTCATAGGAAAAAGGAAATGTATCTCTTGGTTCGAGGAAGTCGGCTATTGGAAAATGAACGGAAGATAAGATGAAAGTGACGGAAATGTAATATAATTTGTGCCAGTGACTGTACCAGTCATCACCATTCAATCGGTTCGCTGTCATAAATACAGATGAGTATGACGCTTACGACGCTTATGGCGCTCAGGACGCTTATGACGCGAAGCTGTCACGGCCACTATCAACCGGAAGGACCTCTAATATGTGTTATTATGACACCACGCGAGTACAGAAGTCGACGAGACGAAGCTGCCATTAGATAATTATATAAAATATAAAAAATTGTACAAATTTTATATTATGGCAGGCGAGCGTCGGTAACGCGTGCTTTACGAGTGCATTGAATGCATTGCATATAATATCGCATTGCCGAAAGGCATTATGGGCCGCCATTCTTTGCAGCGATAATATTTACGGGGCAGGCAGTTTGTCACTAAATCATTAGTAGCCGTTTGGGGTGTTTGTATCGTAGCCATACTCCTGTATCCTGTCAGCCCCGTGTCCATTTGCGGGGGAGCAAAGAGTACAGTTTTCACTCTCTCTGTCTCATATACTCTCTTTCCAACTACCTATCATTCTCCCTTTCTCTCTCTCTCTCCCATTCCCTTCTGGAGCACCTACGTGTTCCCTGAGCCCGGTAGCAATTCGTCCACGGTCACTCTTGCGGTAAATCAGACCACGCTGACGTTTAATGCCGGCAAATTACACGCGAAATAAATGCCCACAAAGAAGAAGCAGAGGAAGAGAAAGAAGAGGAGGAAAAGGAGGAGTGAAAGAATGAGAAATATAAACGAGGGATAATAGGAAGAAACTCTTAAGGAATGACGATCTAACGTTCACTCAGTATATACTCTCTAATCTTACTTATAAATATTTTATCATAGTTATTCAGGACTACTGAACTACCTGAAGATAGCTCTGTCCATTTGATTTCTATTGAATCCCATAGTAGAACCAAATTCAGGTGGTGGAATGGTCCTGAACAACTGTGTATGAAATACTTTTATTTTATCTTTATGGTGTATCTGAGCTATTCTTTTAATTTCCACAAGAGTCTTCCATATACCCTTGAGTGCGTCCAGTGCTTCGAAGCAGAGTTCAAGCTGATGAGTCGAGTATTAATGATTTGATGCGCATGCCACCATCTTGCAACCGGCTCAGGACTGAGTGCTTGTTACACGTGCGTTAAGCGGCCACAAATTATAGATCGTTCAATTTGCAGTAAATCTATAAGCGATTCCGTTACAAGATCGTGAGACGTGGAGGCTTTTATCGTGTTGCGCAACGTGCCCTTAAAGACAGGGATGCAGAGCTAGTTGTACCCGGAACGTATATCTGAACTTTCAGGCGCTGGTCCATCTTCATGAGAACAACGTCATCCACCGTGACATACGTGGGAGTAATATTCTGTTGACGAAGGAGGGTGAGATCAAGCTGGTCGACTTTGGTCTCTCAAGGATGATCAAGGGTGAGATGGGCAAGAGGAAGACCTGCATCGGATCTCCATGCTGGATGGCACCGGAAGTCGTCACGAGCAAAAACGATCCTGAAACTGGTTATGGAAGTAGAGCGGATGTCTGGGCGATAGGAATTACAGCGATTGAATTGGCTGATGGAAAACCACCCTTTCAGGATATGCACCCTACTAGAGCCTTGTTCCAAATTCTCAGAAATCCACCACCAGGTCTCTACAGACCTGCCAACTGGTCCCAGAACTTCAACGACTTCATATCTGAGTACGTAATAGTCTGTTGAACAAATTGTTTTTGTTACCTCGTTAAGGATGTTGTTTCTATTCGTTTTAGATGTCTTGAAAAGAATCCGGATAACAGACCCTTCATGGCGGAAATCATAGAACATCCATTTCTGTCAGAACTGCCAGAAAATGATTATACGGTAAGACGAGCATAATTTTTTCTGGTCCTTTCAATTTTTACGCAAATATCTGAAAATTTGAAATTTATTATTTAAAAAAATGTAATGCCTCGTTCATCCAGCTCACTCAGGAGATCAAGTCGTTAGCCATGAACATGAGCGCTAAGGGAAAGGTCGATAGAAAACCAGAAGTCATCGTTCGCAAAGGCTTCCTGAAGGTCTGTTCGTAATTTAGTATCTTCTAAAATGTAAATGCATTTCTAAAAAAAAATTATTTTTCCTAGTCGCATCAAACGGCACCACCCGAGCCGATGTTTGTGGAAGACTTGGCAGCGCTCGAGCATCTTTCCGAAGATGCGATTCTAGATGAGTTACACGAGAGACTGAAACAGGGCTGCTTCCAGAGTTTCATCGGAGACGTTCTTCTAATTCTAAATCCTAACGAGGATCAGGACATCTATGGACCGCACGTATGAATTTTAGTCTTCTAGATCATCCACTGATTGGTATATACATCCAAATAACGTATACCTTATGTATCTTGCAGTTTCACACAAAATATCAATGCAAATCTCGATCGGACAATGCACCTCATATCTATACAGTGGCAGACAGCGCATTTCAAGATGTGCTGCACAACGAGGAACCTCAGCACATTCTTCTCGCAGGTGAAAGTAATTCTGGAAAAACAACCAACATGCTGCATGTCATAAGGCATCTTCTCTATCTTGGAAAGGTTCGCCACAGTTAGATATTATTACTATTCAATAATAATTATATTATTGAACTAGGAAGAATGAAAAGTTTTCACTTAGAGAAGAGTACCGTCGTTCTAGGGTTTGCAAGACACTGGAGTGAGAGTGATGAAGGCCATTAAAATACTCCATGCGTTTAGCCACGCCGCGACGCCGTTGAATCCAAACTCGACCAGATGCGTCTTGCAGACACAAACCACCTTTGGTTCAACTGGGAAAGCATCGGGCGCCATTTTCTGGTTGTACCAGCTAGAAAAGTGGAGAGTTTCTACGAGAGATAGGTAAATTGTTCCGTTATAATAAATGTAAATAGAAAATTTAGTACGCCTTACGTTATGCAACTCTTCAGAATCTTTTACCACAATGCATGGCGTGGTTGCCTGTCTGCAGGCGCTCTAATCAATTTTCCTTCTTTTGTAGAAATCAGTCGAACTTCCATATCTTTTACTACTTGTACGATGGCTTGGATGCCAAGGGGAAGTTGCGAGATTACTCCTTGACGATAGGAAGGAAACTTCGCTACTTGAGAATCGGAGATAAGAGCACCGGAAGTAAACGCTCGTTCAAAGTGAGAAACGATCCTTATGGGAATTCCGCTAAATTTGCAGAACTTAAAGAGGATCTGAAAATAATGGAAATGGAAAGTTTAATGGATACAATGTGGAAGATCCTAGCGGCCATTTTGATCCTCGGTGAAGTCAAGTTTGCTGAAGGGAATAACGGCGAGGCTGAAATCGACAATATAGATATTGCCAATAAAGGTAAGCTTATAATAATTAATAGTGGCTACTGTGAGTTATGTTAATAAATTATTTTCAGTTGCTGATCTTCTGAGTGTGGATCATAAAAAATTTACCTGGTCACTCATAAACTATTGCTTGATTAAAAAAGGCTCCGCCGTTAGAAGAAGACACACTTGCGAAGAAGCAAAGGAAGCCAGGGACGTTCTGGCGAATACGATTTATCAGCGACTCGTGGACTGGCTCGTCAACAACATCAATCTTAAACTCATGACCACCCGTACTCTTTTGTGAGTAGTCCAGTCATGATATTTAATTCTTGAGTATCTCCATTGATAGAATATATTCTATTCGTAATTCTTAATGGTTCTATGTAAAATGGCAGCGGTGACAAATTCAGCATCAGCGTTCTGGATCTTTATGGATTCGAATGCTTCTCTGTCAACAGAATAGAACAATTAGTAATAAACACAATGAACGAACAACTTCAGTGTCATTATAACCAAAGAGTCTTTGCTTGGGAAATGGTAAAGTCCTTTACACCGTTTTTAAATCAATAAATGACTCTAATAATGAAATTAATTAATTACAAATTATTTTTTAGCAAGAGCAAGAAGAGGATGAGATCCCGGTACAGCAGCTACATTTCTATGACAATAAAGAAGCCATCGATCAGCTTATGGGCAGAAATAACGGACTGTTTCATATAATTGATGATGCCTCCAGACAGATGCAGGACGCTCAATACATCCTGGAGAATATCAAAAAGTCCTCCAAAGGACTCCACGTGAAACCTGTGAGCTCGCACGAGTTCACCGTTGCTCATTACACCGGGAAGCTCGTCTACGAGGCCAATGAGATTGCTGAGAAGAACAGAGACTTTCTGCCGCCGGAAATGATCGAGACCATGAGACTCTCGAAAAACGATGCAGTCACAGAGATGTTCTTTAACCAGTTGACAAAATCCGGGAATCTGACGGTCGTAGTGGAGGAGCCGAAAGTTCCTGAGAAAAAAACAGTCAAGAGTAAATGGAGTGCAGTTATGCAGGACAATACTAAGCTACGGGTGAGATATCCGGTCTTTCTGGACTTCCGGTGATACTTAACTTCCTTTTTGAATCCAACATTTTTCGCTGTTTAGAAATTTAATACCGCGTCGAGAGGACAATTCTCGCAAACTCGTAAAATGCGAACCTGCGCCGCTGTCTTCCGGTCAACCAGTCTGGAGATTCTGAAGAATCTTTCGATAGGAGGCGGAAGTGGTGGTACCCACTTCGTCAGGTGTATACGAGCAGACCTGGAGGGTATACCACAAGGGTTCTACAGGGACGTTGTAAGACAGCAAATCAGAGCCCTGGCAGTCCTGGATACTGCTAAGGCCAGACAACGTGGCTATCCACACAGAATTCCATTTCAAGAATTCATCAGAAGGTAATAAAGACAATAATAAAAGTAAAATGTCCGTCTTAAATCTTTATCCTTATAGTCACGTATACTCTAATATCCACAGATATAAATTCCTGGCATTTGATTTCGATGAGAACGTGGAAATGACTAAGGACAACTGCAGACTACTTCTGATCAGATTAAAGATGGAAGGTTGGATAATTGGCAAGACCAAAGTCTTCCTCAAATATTACAACGAGGAGTACCTGTCCCGTTTATATGAGACCCAGGTGAAAAAAATCGTAAAGGTCCAGTGCATGATGCGCGCGTTCCTCGCTAGAAAAACAATGGCGACAAAGGCGACCAAAGGGAAGAAGGAAGTCGGTAGGTAAAGCGATAGGCACGAATCTTATGACGAATCAATTATGGCTGAGCGAACCTTTTGATCTTTTGACTATCAATGAAATTCGAAAGACTAATTTTTGAAAGCTTTTCATTTTGAGCGAGTGAATCGCATGAAATTAACCGGAAATGTTTCAGTGAAGAAAGCGTCGATAAGCAAGAACCCGAGCCAGGAAATGACGCAAGAAGAAGCTGCGCTAGCGATACAGAAAGGTAGGACGAGGATGGATACCGGAAACTGTTTTTCTTTTTGTAATGCAAATGCATTCACTTTGTTTTTTGTGACCTTCGCGGATCGCTCGAGCCAATAGAAAATTTAAAAGAATCAGAAAATAGATAATAAGCACATACGTCACTTCTGATAAAAAAATTATTCAAACTTTAAACGAACGTTGTAGCGTACAGGGGTCATGCTGTCAGGAAGGAAATGGGTCCAGTCCTGAAGGGGGAGATGGATCAGGAGACGAAGGACTTCATGAGGTTTTACAGCAGCAAATGGCGGTCGAAGAGTATATTTCAAGTCCTCCTACAGTACCGTGCAGCCCGTTATCAAGACCTCGTGCAATTTTGCCAACAGGTATGATCTTGGTATTTGACCTGGGTCCATCTTCGACAGTGGATCAATTAATTTTAATATGATTTACCTACGATCCAGGTTCATCTGTACAATCAGGCGACAGTGGGGGTACTTCGGATGAACATTGACCGTGTGCCCCTAGAGAGGGTTGAGCCAGGGATAAAGGTTTCGTCCTATCTGGGAAATCGTCGGCCACCACAAGTACACAAACTGCCCTTTGACATACGTCAAGAGATGCCCTTCTTTGACACAAGCTTCATGAATGACCCCTCGAAGACTCATAAAGGAACCGGGTAAGCTGGAAGACGAAAAAGAGTATGAAAGCATAAAGGAAGGAATAGGATGAACGCGCGGTATAATGAGATTCGTCCTGGCGAAGCAGCAATTTTTGAAATTTTGAATTTTGCACGCATTCGCAATTTTGTTATGTGAGAATGCGTTCTACAGATCCATATCATCGTTGACGTCTGACGACGAGCACGAGGCCTGGGATGCGCCGTTACGCCGCCAAACCGTGCCCTGGGCCAACGCCAACGTCCACACCAGAGGTGCCTATTGCAAAAGCTCATGAGCCTAGCCACAGTTCACTTTGATTCCTATTTTCTTCCTGATATATATACCTTGACAATAAATCGGATTGGGTCCTACGACTAGGCCTCCGCACTGTGCACGAAACGACTAGCGAATTCACAATGGTAACACTGACCCAAGCGATCCAGGTCTATTCTCTATCTCTTATCTTTATCGTTCCCAAGCCTGGAGCTTATCTCGATGCATAGAACGCAAACGTCCCTGACAATACGTAATATTCGACCGGTCATCTCTAATTCCAGACGTCGAGGTTCAAACAACGAACTCTCCTCATCGCGTAGCGAACGCACCGACCGCCGGAGGCCAGAGTCTGATCAACACTCCGTTTTCCAGGGACCCCAATGTCCCCGTGCGCTGTCCACCGGAAGACGTCCCCAGGTCTAAGTCAACTTCCGGATTTTCACAGCAAGCCAGTAATCGTAGCCCCGTGCGAACTAGTAACGCTCATAATCCTCGCTCAGTAAGTTGACAGAAAACTAGAAAAAATAATAATCTTATTAAATCTCATCGTCAGCCTCTGATATATCTTATGATCAACTTCTAGAACAATTACGATAATTCCGGATCGATTCGCTCTAGAAAAAAGGTCCCACCGCCACCTATTCCGTATAATCAAGCAGGAGCCATAACGAGAGTTCAAAATAGTTATCAGCCTGAGAATCGAGCCAACGAGTGGGAATTCGAAGACAAACTGAACAGAAATAGCAGCAGTAATAGTCGGTAAATATTCAAATAAAAAATTCTCACGGCATATATGTCCCCTACGTCTCCTATTTGAGAGAAGACACAAACCACGAGTACCTGGAAATTCTCTTGAATCTTTCCATCCGATCGCAGAGTAAATCCTATTCAAGAAATGCAGATGATGGCACGTCGTAACAACAACCATCCAGAGTCAGAGGATGAGCCACCGTTCAACTTCCAGGTAAGATAATGAAGTCCGTCATGATGGCCTAGGAAAAAGATATTCATTCTACTCAGCAAGTACTTTACCGAACAACAGGCAATGCTACGAAAGACACAGCATCCTCGTGCCTCCATGAAGCGTACCCCAGTCTATGAGAGTTACGGAGGATACTCGGGTCGCGACGACGTCTACGAGTCGAACGTCGTCTACAGGAGCAGTGGAAGTCGGCGAGACTCACCGGAATGGAGTCCCAACGAGATGGTCAGGATGTCCGAGAAATATGGTAGGGAAGGAGCCTGGGGTCAGAAAGAACGTGAAAATGTCTTGGACTACGCCGAGAGTATCACGACTGAGCTTGCACCTGGAATCGTGGTGGAAGGTTACGTAGCGGATTTGTAAATCCCTTGAGAAGTCAAAGGATCCACACAACAAAATTTAAAAAAAGCAATATCACCAAGCGAAAGAGGAATTGGAAACTAAAATATATAGACAGGATATCTTCCTAACCGCTCAGCACAGCTAGGAGATTATTAAAGGTATAATAAAGAAAACGGAACATATACGCAACTGCCTAATGGTATTAATGCTATTACCTAAGTTCTATTCCATTCTTATCACTCAGCCGCATTGTCAGATAGGTCAAAGCGTAATAATCATTGTCCAACCAACCCTCTCTCTTACTCCCTCTGTATTACAATATTTTGATTGACAATTATTATACTTTATCGCGATCAACGATATGTATTGTTAATATTAAAATGATAAATAAATAATTAAATATATACATTAAACGTAAATGCTAATTTCTTGTTTCCTGCGATATAAAAAAAAGAAAAATCGATAAACATTTCATTCTTGGAGTAAGTGACGTTTAATCGTAATAGGACAAAGGTAAATCTGTTCTTTATGCTGTACTGGCCATCGATAACAACTATAGGTATAAATGCAACTATATCGTATAACTATAACATATAACGTATAAGACATACAAGTATGTACGATGATGCTTTTCTGAGAGCGTAACGTGTCGAAGGTAACGTATCGAATAACAATGAGTATTCCGAGACGGCATTTGCTACGTTACATTCTCCGTACAGAGTTCCCAGAAGAGCACACAGTATAAATATAAAATAACCATCTCCTCTTTCGTCCAAAGAAAAATCTCTCTTGAACGAATCAAGCAACTTGACTAACGATCACAGTGTAAAGTACGTGTCGCAAACTAGTAGCTCCTGGCATAGTTCAATTGTGTTAACGACACCCATTAAAATATTCTAAAGTATGTATATCACCTTTTGGTCCCATAGGTCGTCAAGCTAATCACACGCGAACGTTAAATAATGTTTTATACAACAATTTTATACATTGAGTTTATTGAGCAATATGCTCAGAATTCATTAACTTGGCAGCATCGATTGATAAAGTTAAATAAAGAAAAAAAAATTGTATTATTTGGCCTGCGAGGCAAAACACGAAATACTGAATAAAAGCGGCACTACGTATCGTCGTCTAGAGGCACTTGGGAAGAAAGTAAAGATAGATAAAGAGTAAAAACAGTATACGACGCTACGCGTTGTCTTGCCCACTGTTCTGTTGTGAACTTTGCTTAATAATATTAACAAGGGTGTCCAACCTAGTAGGGTGGGCAATTTGAAGAACCATGTGAGCCTCCTCCAGAATTAGCAGTCCATTGTGTGCATCACTGGCTGATAAATTGTGAGCGGATATAACGTGGCGCCTCCAAGCAGCATGACTAGGAAGTACCTGGGGAGTAAAAGAAGGAGAGCACAATATAAAGAAAAACAATGTCTAATTATTGATGAAGAAATGCAATTGCTACTAAAAAAATAAGAATGAGCTCACACCTGTAAACACCACTTGCAATTTAGACTGGGTGAAATTGTGTGTACCGCCTTGATGTGTCTCCTACGAAATCCCCAGCTGGTGTAAGCCCTGTCGCAAAACGGACAGGGAAATGGCGGATACGCAGCTGGTGCTCCTTTCAGCGACTGCGAGCATTCCGGAAACTCGGATATCCCGGTGTTGGTGAAGGAAGGAAAGCTTTCCTGTGAGATTCCTGGATTACTCTCGGAGGACAAAGAATGTCCTTCGGGAAAGTCACTCCTCTTCTCAGCATCCATCTTGGAAGTATCCACTGGTGAACCCGGTGATTCTTTAAGACCTCGAGGATGAATCTCCGCGTGACTGCCGTCGCACGAGTGCTCGACTTTATCGGATCGTTGGGTAGGAAGTGCGGAAGATGGACCGGAAGTGTCTCGTGCCTCAGGAATAACCGTCACCGTTGGCTTTGAGGATCCTGCAAGGATTCGAGTTAACCAATAAATTCCCTAGTAAGTCCCTAGGCAATCTTTATCCTAACAAGGATCATGGTCATTGACACGGTTATTCCTGAATAAAAAGGTCATTAAAAATGAAAAATATGTTTATTTGTGATCGATCAGTGTGCCTCGTGTACAGTCGTACAATAGCGATTGACATAGTCGTCGGTGCGCTAAATTAATCGTACGCTCGATATTGGTCGATCATAAATCAGCAATAGTGCCAATCCTCGAAATTCCATGTTCGCGTCTGACTGCCATTCCGGGGAAGAATCGAACGTGACAATTTCGCAGCAATCATCCCCTCGGCCAATCGGAACGTACAATTGCAATATATCCTAATAGGTACGACGCCATCTCGCGTCACTTCGTTTAAATAATCTACAAGCATACCTTAAGCTGCTAGTATTTTTTTTTCTCATAAAGCTACCATCCTCTTAACAATAAATTGTGACCCAGTAGGCCTACAGAATCATCCACTGTTTCGACGCTCGCGTGAAATTACATAAATACAATACATGATTACACTATGTGTTTTCTGCCTTTTTTTTCTTCTTCCTTATTTACTTATCTATCCTTATTCTCTCTACTCTCGTTCATACCTCCATTCATTAAGTCATTCGTTAGCTCACGCACTCCCTATAACCGGCTGCTAAACGTATGGGGTGATTTATAATGTACGCATGTCCTCTATTCCCTCTCGTACTGGTGTGATGCTGGCGTGAATAATTATTTAACCGTCTTGTCGCTCGTACGCATGTGAACGCAGCTTAACGTCCACCTGTCCATCCTCATTGCCAGATACACTAGCGAAATATAATACACGTAAGTATAAGGACTACGAGTACGTACTGTTGCATGAACACAGTGTACACCTTAGGATGACTGGAGAGTACAAACGGCCATCTTGAATTTCAAATCATGAAAATCGTTAATTACATGTAATTGATCTGTTATCCTTATCGAACACGCAGATTTGTGCAACTTTCGCAATTACTGAAATGGCACTTTTGTAATGAGCAATCGCAAAATAAAGGAATGAGACGCATGCAAAGTTCTGAAACGCGCATGTTTCGCTTAAAAATATTACACGCGACTCAGACTTTAGTTTGTCAATTATTCAGCATAAAAGTATCATTGCAGGTAACGGTGCAAATTGCAAAAATCTGCCTGCACTGGATTTTGCATAAGAATTTATTATTACATTCTTATATGTTAGTATATACCATTTCGAGGTTAGAAAGCATTCTCCAGTCTCCATTAAACAAAAAGGAATGTTCAATTACTTAACATAATAACATAACATTAAAAACAACCTGGAGGATCGTCGCAGTTACTTGGGCAAATGAAAAATATTCGTTGCCACCTCGGAGACTGAATTGGTTCCACTCTGTCTATAGACGCATAGGCAGGATCGTCCGGAGACAATTCCAAGACGCCATGTATAAAATATATCGTCTCAAAGAAGGAAAAAAAAATTACCAGATTGGAAACCAGAGAGTCCCCATGAAAGAAAGGCGGAAAGCTTAAGAAATGTCATTTGCCGAAAAAGCAAACATCAAGCGTATATGCTAATTCTTTAACCACGCCATTAACATTATCATTCTAACAATTTCTTAGATTCCAAATTAGTCGTTCTCCATTTACGCAAGAGTGGACCATGTTAAAATCCGAATATCACTCAGGGTATGGAATCTTCGTGAGAAACTTATAAGCGAAGGATCAGCGCTGACATTTCCAAATGAGGTGAGCTTACTGGAACACATTAATGTTGTGAAGAGAGACTCCCTAATGCCCGTGAACAGTCAACGACCTATCGACTATTAAAATCATTGTTTATAATTATTTTTTTTATAATTTCTCACCAGTACCTTATAAATGATATTCAGATCATAAAGGTGCACCCTGTTACATACTTCCAATAATCTTGTCTCAGTTAAAAAAAAACATCTTACACAGTCACTGTGTAAATGGCGTCTTCCGTTCGCTCGATGCTATTGCACGTACAATGTATCAGGCTATATGAGCTTGTGTTATTTCTCCTTTATACTCCTCTTCCCCTTACCCCTGTTCGCCACCCACGTCCTCCTCCACAAGCACGCTCGAGCTCACATACAACGTGCAGAACGCATTTGCCTTTCATCTCGCAAGATAAGAAACTTTAAACACTTATAGATATCAGGGCGTTTACCCATGATGCACTTGACCACGCGATTAACAATTTTTCAACGAGGCATCGTTACACGTTAAAAAGTTTCTGATCTAGGAGATTCTAGGAGGGATGGACTTGTCGTGTATACATTGTATGGGGGTAGTGGCCGTATTACTTGTATGTTTTATTCCAGCCAGTGGAAACGTTTCCGTTTGACCCCTGACCTAAAACGCCCTAGTCATTGGGTGTAGACGGAGCGTCTCTGAAACAGATACCTTTTCAAGCCCCTATTGCTCGTATCGATTTTGGTAACGCAGTTCTTCCAAGCCTCCTCCCACTCGACGCTGTTCGGCGCAATACCGCTAAAGTGTAGAAGGACCTCGCGAATCAGGTGTATCTTGTTGCTGTCGAATTGCTGCTTGCCCATTTTACCGTTGACGTTGCAGAGTATTCTCTCCTCGGGTGTAAAGAGTATTTTCATGAGATCGCAGGCCAGGTGATCCATCGGACGCGATGACGCCCACGTAGAGATTATGTCGGGACTGGGTAGAAGCTCAGCGTAAGGTAGTTGCTGATACGCGTAAAGCAGTGGCTTGGCGTCCGAGAATCCAGATAGTCCGGATAACCCAGATAAAGCGGAAATGTCTTCAGCAGGGCTGTTCCCAGACCCTGCCACACATCAGCACATCGCGCTTTAGCGACTTCCGGAAAACTTTAGCCAAGACACGGCTCCTAAGAAACTATCTACTGTACAACACCGCAGCATCTCCTTCTCACTCTGTATTCGACTTTCTCTCACTCTATCATTCACTCACTCTCTCTCTCTCTCTCTTTTGTTCATTCACTCTCTTTCAATTTCAGTCCTTCTCCCTATCTCGCGCAGTCTCTTTCACGCACGCACGCACTCGATTTCTCATTTGTTCAGCCCATGCATTCTTTTTTTTTTCATTCTCACTCTCTATTTCTCTCTCTCTCTCCCTCCCTCTTGCGCGCGCGTCACATCGATCAAAGGAAATGCCGTGTTATTAATTGAGCAAACTGAGACTGAGACTGAAACTAAAACTCTTGAAAGCTCGCGAAAATACCAAAGAAAAAGCTTTGGTACTAAAGGCGCTCGCCGGTAGTCGGTCCGAGTTGCCAAAGTAGACACACGCGTAAGGTGCTGCCAGAAAAACGATTTGTGACTAAACAAAACGAATCGTGCAGACAAACTGCCTAATGTAAATAACAGTGCAAATACGAGACAAGTAGTAGAGAGGCTCTCGATGATATCAATGGGAAGCGACAACTTTTAAATACCTTGTGCCGTAATGCGTGCTACTGTCGAATAGCAAGTGCGCCACATGTAAAGAGTATAGATAAGCAGAATACGAAATCAGGGTGCGTTTCAATGGGTTGTTTATTCAGTTGGAATATCGTACCGAAACGTTAATTAATGTTGCAGAGAACCCGATGTCATAAATTATGAAAAGACGCGGATTGAAAAAATCGCAAAAGTCATGCTTTGTGACAACCACATAATAATAGTTTCAAGACTCATAGAATATTTGATGCGAATAAATAAAATGATTATTAACAAACCTTGCGTACACTCTGTCTGCCCTGTATCCAATCTCTTAGCAAGGTCTTTCGCTGGTGATGAATCTTTTTCAAATTCTTCGACAGGTATGTCAAATGGTTCCATCTGCAAAACAGAATAATCCATGGAGATTATTTTAATATTTAACGCCAAATGTGAAATTGTCATATCCTTATGTTATACACTAACTTTCATCTCTAGCCGATGATAGATGGGACTAGGCAAAGGTTCTGAGAGATCAGAATCCTTGAAGTTTTGTTCATTGGCTGTAGACTCACTGGTACTCTCTGATTGGGATATCTGAGGAGTAAGTGCTTTCTCCAAGATCGAATTGTTTTGTAGCTTTCCAATTTTCTGTTTTTTCTTTGGAGTCTCCTCGTGTACCAAAACCGAGTCCTGAGATTCCGCTTGTTCCAACTGCGCAAGCCTTTTGTACGACTCCTTTGCAAAAACATCGCCACCCGATAAACCCCTGATTTGTAAGGTCTCTGCAGCTTTCAATAAAGCAGGTAAATTCTTCTGCTCTATATTCACTTCACCCTTATAAATGAATATGAGTAAAGCTTCCAATTCACTGAAGTGCACATCTTGAAGAATTATTACTGGATGCTGGCATGGATTCGTCTGTAACATTTTAATATCTTTCTAAATTAAACTGTTGAAACACAAAAATCAGGAAGGTAAACAAAAATGTTCACAATCTCATGAGATCCATCAAAACTGTTGATAAAATGAAAGATAAGAACTGTCATCCCAGTAGTTCATGATTTTACCAAGTCTCATGAACCAACAATCAATTCAAATAAACAATCGATCTGGAAAATGTAAATCAGAATGCCATAGTATCATAAAAGCATAGAAAAACTATGAAATAATGACAAGTCAAACCTGTCAAATAATTCAAAGTTAGAGTGACATTAAAAAGCAAAGGATAATCAATGTCACGTAAATCTCTTACCTGGAAGACCTTCTTGAAGAAGGGGCTGCTGGCAGATAGGATCACCTTGTGCGCCGTGAGACACTGTCCGTCACTTGCCAGGGTCACGTCTACGAGACCCTCTTCCTCCCAGAGGCTCTCGAAGCTGGTGGCGATGTTGCTTAGGAAGCTGTTCCACTTGAGGCATATTTGACTTGACATCGCACCTAGCCAAACACAGTTCGAGAATTCTTCGAGGATAACGTTACACGACACGAGTAGACGCGAGCTTTACAAAAGAACGACGGCGACGACGACGACGACGACGACGGCGGCGACGACGACGACGACACGAGAAAAATCACGCCAGGCACCACGCACAAACATCGTCAAACTGAATAGCCAATATGGCTGCGACGCTCGATCCGAAGCGCGCCAAGAACGAACGGAATCGGGCGTGCCTGCGCAACACGCCTCACCATCCTCACCGTCCTCACCATCCTCTCTCACAATAGTAGGATCCTCCAAAAGTAGACACACGAATCCTCTTAATCAAACTCCACCCATAAAAACCTTAATCTAAGCCCAATCAAACACTAATCAAACCAAGTCCCGGATCCCCTCATTTGCATTTAATACCACTATCTATAAGTTTCAATCGAAATTCTTCTTATTTCACTATTATTTGACTAATTTATTAAACTATCTCAATAAATACAACTGAACGACACATCAATCAATGATCTTATCCTAGCAGGAATTATATTCCAAACATCTTTCTTAATACTCTCTCGCTACTCGCCTTAGCAAAAACTATTATTTCCCAACTATGATAAGCAAAAAAGATTTCTTCGGTATCAAGGTACAAGACAAAGATATCTTAAACAAGAAGTTTCTATAAAAAAGAATACTGTACCCTGAAAGGCAGAGAGTCGTTGCTAAGTTAAATTAAAAAGGAGTCGTGCGTGCGTGCCAGGGTTCGTGCGGCATTGCGTGCGTGCGTACATTCAACCTTACACTCGGCCGTCCGTCAATCGTTTCTGACTCCGTGCGTGCGTGGCTACTGCGTGGCTGCGTGCGTACGTGCGTGCGTGCATGCATGCTTGCGTGCCTTCGTGCCTATGCGAGAGTTCCATAATCGTTAAGGCTCTGCCTTATTTTACGTTCCAAGCCTATACGAAAATACACAGACGCCAATAGAACTATATGGCGTGTAGCGAAATATAACTTGAGAAATAAAACAATCAAATCTTAGGATTTTATCGAGCGACCTAATACCCGTTCCCAACGTTATGGATTCTCCAGGATTTTACAAATCAAGCCTTCAATTTTCCTTATTAGGATAATTATATCCAAGCCATATTCAAAAAAAGTCTTTTAAAGAACATGGAAGCGGGCACAATTGTCTACTGTGATTATTCGATCCGAGGATATTCTTTGGATTTTCCGAGTTTCATATACCCCGTCTGTAAAACCGAGGGTGACAGACTTATCAGCCACTGCCTGCGTAAAAGAAGGACAGATACATATTTAATTCAAATCTTGGATGATAGATCATTTTAAGCTTTTTCAAATCAGTATACAATCGTAATTTTTGTCTTCCTAAAATGAAGATGCAAGAAATACATACTAGTTCGATGCTCATTAAACTCTTTTAGTATGTTCATTCACCTTTTATGACATATACCGAAAATAGACTTGCGACCACTTCAGGGTTGACTCATCCACACCTGCTATAAAACTAGCCGATTTTCCAAATGTTAACCATTACCATTTCTGGAGTCAGTAATTAAATATTGCTGCGACAAGTGTCAAATTGGCTAATATTATTAAGTTTGCTTCGAGTGGAATTGATAGATATTAAAAATATCGAAGAATGTCAGCGGATACCAGTTTAGAAATTTCTATGGAGAAAATTCCATTGAATACGAATATGGTAAGATCTTTTATCTCTAAGATAGACATAGATAGATAGATATATATGTTACAATTATATTAATTTGATTTTTGGGATTCTTTACAGAATACTCCACGATGCTTCATTCCAATTCCTAATAGTCATACACATATTTTCATAGACGACTCTATGGATATCCCGAAAGTCCTGGAACCGGAAGATCCAAATGAGAAGGATGATTCTTACATGCTACTGATGCTGGCGCTGCGAGCTCCCTTTGTATACAAGAAGCATTATAAACATGGTGTCAAGGATGGGGATGCTGCTGCTGCAGGACCATCTAATTGGATTCAAAAGAGCGATTCGGATAATGATTTTTCCGTGCAAGTCCATGACGTATCTTCTTCTGATATGTTTTCCGCACACGGTCATCTTGAGAAAAAAAATGCACCAAAGGAAAATCAGGGTATCACGTTCTCAGTGGAAAAATATTTTCTAAATAATATCAAGCAAGATACCCCTCCATTTGATCATCTTGCTGATAATGCTCATGATGCTGATACTGATATGGAGATTGACGTGATGACTACTGTGGAAGAGAGTAACGTGTTATTCAACGAAACCACCGAAAATATTGCGAATACTTTCCAAAGTTACAATTACCATGCACTGATGCCATCCTGCTTCCTTTGCAAAAAATCCCGTTGTCCCGTCAGAGATAAATATCTTGAAGAAAAATTATTATATCCGTGCATTTCTGAGCCACAGAAAATTATTCCAGAACCACTGCAGCCCACGTTACAGGAAAATATAAAGAACTGTCTGCAGGCTGAAGATACCCAAGGAAGTCAATACTGGATGAAGTACGTGGAGTCCGCACCATTGACTGTTTCAAGATGTCCTGAGGGATCATTCAAAAACCATCAATCGAACGATTCTTTTGGATCAATGTATCCTGAGATGAGGGGACTCATCGCACCAGTTCCAGTAAAACCCATCAGGCCATATCACCAACTGGAATACATAACCTCTTCTGATTTGACTTCTTATCAACAAAGAGCAAATCTTCTGCATTATCCTGAACACTCAAGAACAGTTCCTGGTCCAGTTTTCTCTGACTATCTTGGCTGTGGCTATTGGAATTGTTCACTAGGAGTCAACCAGCCTGAGGTACCTGAAACTCCATTCAACCTGACGACGTACTCTCAAGAACGTCTTCCAGCATCAATCTGTTAGGAATTATCTTCTGAATTTGAAAGATGCGCCTTTGCCCCTTACAAAACTTCAGAAATTTTGCACTCACCGGTACTGCTCGATCATTGTCAACAGCCGCAACGTTATTGGAGCTTCATGATGCCTGGCGTCTATTCAAATCTTGCTGACACCATTTCCTCTACCGTTGATGATCAAGGATTAAACGTACCTGATATCCTTTTACCTGCGAACGACCAATGTGCCCATTTTTGTCAAAAAGCGTCCACTGTTCATTATGCATACGGGTGCACCCCACCAGTCTACCGAGTCCCCTAAATATCTAAGAAATACAAATATATGTTTGTAAGTTAAAGAAAATTTCAAAAATTCAAATGTTGTCTATTACCAAAAAATGTATTTATTGAAAAAATTGACCGAATTTTTAACGCTTTTTTCATCGTTATCTAATGGATATTGTAATTAAATTTTGCACAATTTTTACAGATATGTAAATATGCACTTTAATATATTTTATATAGGTATTTAAATAAATGTATATTTTCTAACAAAATATTCCTATGCATTTTTTTAATCCACTTCGGCTATGAATAGCTAATAAGTCCAATTGGCGCGACACTTGACTAACAATAAGTCTCTGACTTAGGTAGTTAAGCTGGCTGTAAAATATAGAATCGGGGGCATTGGAAACAGTAAACTACAGTAGTATTAACAGGCCTCACAAAACGGCTGTTAAAGGGCTGTTGCAGGTAAAAGAGGACAGGACGTCGCACACCGGCATTATTAATTTTAAAGAACCAATTGCACGACATTCACATTGTCAGAATGTCGTGTCAAACGGAAAAGTTTACAATAGAATTGACACACCTGCAATGTAGTACTGGCTACCCGGCTTAATATTCGTTTCAATGAATCTAGGAAACCTACTATAACTTTTAAGGGACAGCAATTCTTCCTTATGACGTCTTTCCATCGACCAATCAGAAAACTTTTTCACAAAAATCCAACTGCTTATATATACCATCTACCTCGATCCTCTGACTCATTAGCCAGTTTTGCCTGTGAACTAGGACTCTGCAGTTCTGTGTCCGATAACGAAAAGTCAAGTAACTTTTGACATTTGAGAATAATCGAATTTTACTATAAAATTTTATCGAATCAATCAACGGCCGAACTTATAATGCCGAGGGAACGCAGAGAAAATGGGAATAAGAAAGGAAAACGTCAACGTTATATTCAAAATAATGTAAATATTTGTCAAACGTCACTTTTACTTAATTTATTTCAATCTTCTGGACAAGATAAATGAAAAAAAAAACAAATGTTGTTTACGTTATATTTGGATTATAAATGTAACTGAATGCTAGACAATAATCGACTTATCTTATTATTACAGGACGAGACGCAAAGCAGAAGTAAGAAAAATGTTAAGTCGTCTCAAATCACGAGAACGAATCGCTTCAGTCCATTCGTTCGTGCCGAGCGACACTCGCGCCGCGATGTCACAATGGACGACAACATTGGCTTCTTTCAAGCGCGAGACTTGCACGCGAAAAGTAAGGAAATAATCGAACGAGGAATGGAGTATATCCTGTTTCATCTACAACTAATTCAGATGTCAATCTGGGGATCGAATCGCGTGAGTGACAATAAGAAGACGTTGAAAGAAACAGAACAAGCGGAAGGTGGACAAGTAGCAGAAGCAGTGGACGCCATCACCAGTGAAACGCGTTTGTTATTTGAAAAGGAAAAATATTTCGAGGATTCCGAAGGAGATATGTTTACTGCTGTGGAGGATTCCGATGACTCCTCAAGCGATCATTGGAGCAGTGCGAATGACTTTGTTAATATGAATATGTCAATTGACCTGGAATCAGAATACGAGGACGTATTAATGAATAGTAGAATTGTCATTGAAGAACCAATGGATATCTCCATTGATATCTCCATGGAGGAATCAAGTCCTAGAAGAAGAATAGAATTGGTGTCTTTTTCTAAATCTGGATCTCAGGAAGCAAAACGTTGCTCTCGGGATACGACGCCATGTGACAGCAGTGAGGATGACGACGAATCTTCTCTAGGAGTTAGTGACAGGGACAGTGACCGGGAGGAATCGAGCTCAGCTGCCAACGAGGAAATTACGAAAATTCTTAAGAAACGTAATTCTAGTGACAATGATAAATATTCCCTCTTTCGCGAGGAAGAACATGGAAGACGTAATTTTCCATACTTTAGGGATTATGCCTCGAGTGAGGACACGAGTGTTTCTGGAACTGACAGTCTCAGTGACCGACAGGAGGTTAGGAATTCTCAACGAGATGCTTCTGCGAGGAGGATCATTCCGTGTTGTTGTTGTCTAAGTCCGCGAAAGAGAGAAGAGCACAGAAGGTCCATTGTGAAAAATTATATTAATTTTGAGGTTATGAACAATCAAGTAGATAGTGCATTTTCTGAGGATGACGTCGAGATGAGTGCTCTAGAGAGGTCTGTGTTGAAAGCTCACCTTAATGAAAAATTGTCGAATAGACGAAACGGAAAGGATATAGAAATTATGGATCAGGATACAACTTTGCAAGGAGAAGCTTTAAGCTTACTTGACAGGAATCCAACGGTATTAAAAAAATCCTTGAAAGACGTCAGCTCTGAACATTACGATAACTCGTCGAGATCGACTAATCGACATTCGGAATGCGGGAACACTTATACACCGGGTGTTAAAGCACCTACTGTATCTGTTAAAAGACCTCCTGGATTTCCGAATCTTCCTCAAAATCTTCCTCCGCTCTTCTGCTCTTGTGGGAATCCAGAATGTTTTATTTTACTAGGAAACGAAATAGGCAAGTCTAAAATAATTTATCAAAACGCACCTCGACCTTTGAGACATTTGTATTATCAGTATCCTGAATTTATGGAACCCCTAACACCATATCATAATTCACCCAGCTGGTGAGAAATTTGAAAAATCAAATGACATAATTTTCTATCGTATGACGATTGTATTTTTATATCAGCTAGGTGCATAGCGAATAAACATCAAATAGGTGAATCCTATAAAACGCAATCATATGATTTATTCATTTATTACTTTCGCACCCTGGGATATTCCTTGCGTCCTCACAGATCGTCGTTTTCGAATTAAAACCTTGTCCATCAGGACATCCACTCAGCTTCTTTGTCCCATCACTGATGCACAACAAGAAATATTTACATTGTCCTGGAATTGGTTGACGGGAATGATGACCATATGGATAATCATCCATAGGAGGACATTTAAAAGCATCTGGATCAGGTACCAATTCGATTTGCTTATTGTCCATTGTGCGTAAATCGTCTACACTCTGTACACTGTCTAAGAAAACTGAAAAACAATTCAATTTTTACTTCAAATCGCTTACTTGTTATTCTCAAAAAAAACACGCAACATCTCAACATTTTTATGACTTTCGCCGTAATAGTTTTTTTTTATTTTTAAGTTATACACTCAACCAGCAAATGTTTAACAAATTTAATGGCTTTACTTCTAAACTTATTACAATTTCTGTCGTTCTCATAGTCAACCGTAAATAATGGAGACAATTGGTACAATTCTGCAATACCTTTATTTGTTTAAGTTCCTTAAACAAATAAAGTTTATATCTTCTTGCACTTGGCGTTACATTATTAATAGCACCCTCGTAAAATACCTAATGACACAAGTCTATTCCAACAAGGAATTCAAATAAAAACGAAGTCACAAAAGTATAAAGTGTGTAAACCTCTTAATTTCTAGTACCCTTTCCGTTATATCCTTTTATAATAGAGTAAATTAGATTTTTTCAAATTTTACTTTTCAATTTACCTTTTTTGTTTCGTTCTGCCCAAGAACTTTTGCAGGTTATTTTTTCGTCCAGTGTAGGGTGGCGGCATTCTACCCTCACCTCATCGTACATCTGACCTGGAGGACACGCGTCCAGCTCAGGAATACCCTTGTAACATTTAAAAAAATGTCCACAACCCTCTTTAGCTGGGTAATATCCGTACATTCGAGGACATACATCATTTCCTTTTGGTTCCTCTATGAAAATTAATATTTTATTCCAACATGACGTGAAATGTTATTCAATATTATTTTTTCATAACCAAAATATTCCTAGACTGTATTATTCATTGTACGTACGTAGAAGATTTCGAGGTCCACATCCGACCTGGTGAAGCAATTTGCATCCTTCATATGGCACGAATCCGAATCCGTCCTCACAGAATTTTTCAATTACTTGATTCTCTTTGCAAATATAATATTTGTCGCAATATTTATCATCTGGAATAGTATATTCACTTCCTGATTGACACTGAATCCAATCAGGAATTCTTGCTGACACTAAACTACCACCGAGTAGAAAAATGTACAACATACTCGACCACATTTTCATTAGTACTGTACGTCGATGTATAGAACCTCATATTTTTATACTAGTGACAATAACTTTTAATCTATTCTCAAAATACGAAAACGCCTCGGGGTTACGAATTTTCTAGAAATGCTCATTTCTTTGGTATTTTGATTGCACTGACGTAGAAACAGGAGACTATTTGACTAATTTATTTAAATTAACTAAAATTATAAAAATTCACATTTTGAATTTTGATATAATACACTTTGATGGAATCCATTTGTTTAAATAACTACTTTATACTAAGTATAATATAGAAGAAGAAGACTGCTTGGGCGACAGTGGATTTTTTTAATGCAGAAGGAAAGAAAGGAATGAAAAGTTACGCAGTGAGTCATGATACACTTTAATTATGTTTTATTGTGACAAAAATCCAAGATTTTACGTCTCGTAAAACAGAAAGATACATTTAATATCCATTATGGATTTAACACAAGTTTTAAAAACGATTGCTTAATGTTAAGTTTAATTTCTTCGAAAATTCCTTAAACGTTTTTCATACTATGGCGACGACGTAATAGATATATTTCGCCAGGTCTCCAAGAATTCGTGTAAAGTGCTTTAGTACTGCTGGTGCATTCTCTGAAATTCTTGAGGACCTTGAAAGCACCTCGTCCTTTCTTCAAGGCAATATCCACCTACAGAAAATTAAGACAATCTTATAACTTATAAATCCTAAAATACAAAATTCCTCCTTTTTAGTGAATTTAATGTATTCAAGGTATCGAGAACCGTTTCAAAATTCACGAGAACACACTCCTAATTGATAGTTCATATTTTCTGATGAATTATTTTTAAATAAAAAATTAAATTTTTCATTTTTGTCTTTTACACGCCGAAAGAGTAATACACGAAACATTTAACGCATTTTGACACGCAGCAGCATTCTCAAAGCATCTCCAAACTCACTAACCGAACTGTCAGAATCGGTGCCTGCAAGTTCAGATCGTTCAATCGATGAACATTCCCTGTCTTCGCCATCGAACATCCAGGAACAATCCACGTCACAATTGTCCAGAGAAAAAGCCGTGAATACAGTCAATTCGGATGATCTGGAGTCTTCGACTGATGAAAGGAATCTCCTGGTGTAAGCCATGCGCCTTCGGTAACGATTGTACTCATCGAAAGCTCGGAAAAAAGCAGCGTTCTCCAGTTCCTCAAAGCAGAATTTCTCGGCCATCCTACAGAGACGGGTCCCGTCCGAACACCCGGAAATATGTGAATCTTCAGAAAATGTACTCGGCGTGGAGCTGTTGGATGTTTGCAGACGATGAACGGGATTCTGATAATTGTGAGCTCTGATGACGAAATTACGAATATCTTCAGTCTCATCTTCAAAGTACTCGACGCCGTCAGAAATTCTTCTATAATCTGCATTAACCAATTCGTCATGTATGTCAGGGTTATTGGACATTGCGATACTACCTTCTTGAGCCTTCATCGTTTTGTCACTTATGTTTCCGGCTTGTTGGTCAATTTTTCCACAAGGTCTGCCAGCGTCGATACTTTTTCCAGTTTCTTGGACGACGTCGGCGTAAGTCTTCTGACCGGAAGAGGGTGTCCTTTGCCACTCAAGCGATAGCCCAAGTTCAAGAGATCTGCTATTTACAGAATAATCGACAGCTTCCGCTGGATTTCCTTTAGCCAATTGAATATCGTCGAGAACCACAGGTTGCTGAAGTAGCACTGGTACCGGAAATCGATTTTCGTTGCAACGATCCTTGTGTCCAAAATTTGAAGACAATTGAAACTTATGTGCGTGATACGAAAATTCAGTTTGAGTGCAGCATAGAAGTGGTGTCAGGTTTGTTGTAAGACTGATGGATGTCAATCCAGCACGAACGTCCCTTAGCATATCGGGAACTGCTTCAAAGGCGTTCACAAGTGGGAGGGTGGATTGCTGGAAGGATGGGATAATTTGAGCCCACCCAGGTGCAATAAGAGTTGCCCCTGTTGCTGTACATAGACTCTCAATACTGGCCGTAAGGGCGAAGCAAGTAGTCAAAGAAAATAATTCGGAATTTCCGACCTGCCCATTGGTCAAAATATGGTATTCCGTTTGCTGATTAGAATCCTGTAGAAGGGGTAGCAGGTAATTTCGAAAAAGGTTGTAATTAAATTATAAGATTTAAGTATCTGGTCTTTGTCTACCTGACTGGGTCCCAAAGACACTTGATGCAACTGTCCATCGTCATAACTTCTCAGGATTAATGTCTGCACAAGAGTAGCGCATTTTTGTGCGAATGGAGTAACAAAATACGTATGTTGAGTTGTTTCCCGTTTTTGAGGATTTAATCGTTCGGAAACGACCGAACTGTTCGATGTGCATGCTGCCAAAATAGCGCAATGCTGCCCATACTGTTGCTGCTGTTGCTGCAGTTGTTGATGAGGAATTCCTGCGAGCTGACTCGCATACTGATTGCTAGAGGGCAGCTGTTTGGGCAGCTAGAAAACAAATCTATGATTTTGAATTGAACATTTGAACAGAAATATTTTTGCTTTCGTACTGCAGCATCGTTCTGGAATTATTACTTAACAATTAGTAAAATAAAATGTATTTCTGTTTTCTTTCAAGAAAGAATATGCATTATGGATTTAAGTAAATATTCGAAATTATATTGCCGAAGAAGGTTCCACATTTATTAATCCCGCGCATAGTTTTACAACGTCCTAATCTGCAAGTGGACTGGCCCAACTGTTTGAACTCGTAAACGGTTTTGTAGTCGCCTGACAGTCACGCCATTTTTGACAACCCTAATTTCCCGGATTTAAAGGGAATGCTTGGAAAGTATAATAAGAGAGCTTACTGATAGCGTCGATCTACCTGAAAATATCGTAGCTGCGAAGTTTGTGACTGTTGCTGGTTCTGAGGAGTGTAAATTCCATTGGTTGTTGCCGCAGCGATGCATGCAACCCGCTGCCAGTGTGTTGTTGCTGCCCCCGAGTGACTGGCGACACCAGATGCTGATGCTGCATAAAGATTCGTACTGCCAGACTGGAATTGGTGCTGCTGTTGCTGCTGAGGAAGGATCTCATGATTTTGTCCAGGTCCTGTAGAACCTCCTACTAAATTTGTCTGCTGTTGCGGAGAACTTGAATGTTCGCTTTAACGGTTATGCACAATGAACATCGTCCCTTCTCTTTCTAACAAAAAGAGAAACTTTTTGTGTCTCTAAACGAGTTTATATTCTTATTCATTATATTTTTTCCTCAATTTAAGTTTCCTGAAGAATTATGACTCTGCCCAGAACCATAACGGGTTGTAACAATGCAAAGCAATACAATGCGTGAACCTTAAACTGCTTACGAGTTTTCACTTTGCTCGGAAACCTTCATAAAATTAAATGGACGTAAAAGTGTGTATAGTCGAAATAGGGATTAAAGTTCATAATGTAAACCTAGTCTCTTCAAAATTTATCCAATCGAACACTAACCCTCATGATATCATTATTTATACTCGGATTTTCCCTGCACGTTCAAACCTCATTTACTGAATACTTACCCACCTCTTGTAATCCATGAGTCACGTCATTAATTACAAATTCTACTGATATTAATCTCTGTAATGCAGAATCTCACGTGTCTTTACAAAAATATGCGTTTTGAGAATGGAGATTGCTTTTTAGAAAACATGTATTCTTTTTTTTAGCACGAGGCTCGGTATTCGATCGTCATTTGCCTGTGTCATTAATGTCGTATATTCGTTTCCTGTCATCTTTTACATTACTGGATAAGACAAAATAATAAGTAAAGGAATAACTTAAAGATACGTTTATTTAAAAACAAATATGAATGCTTCCTTATTTACACGAAATCCCGTTATATAAAATAAGTCTATTGAGTTGGAGTAAATGACAGATTCATTGGGGAGAGCTGACTGCTAGGCGTTGTCTCATTGCGAGTACTTCTTTCCATTATTGGATCTGTCTCATTCATGTCTTCAACCTGAAGCAAAGAAATAAAATATGAAGAAAAAAGGGAGTGAAATTTAAGCCATTTCATGTATTTCGTACCACCATAGGGTTCTCTTCCACTTTGACCCTCTTCTGGGCTATTGTCCTCAGGAAGGCTTTGGCTTCTTCCTTCGTCTCATCGAACTGTAGACACTTTTGAGCATAATGATTCGCCTGGTCCAATTGATCTCGTTTCAAATGATACTGCGTTAAATATTTATATGCATGACTCAATTCAGTTCTGTCTGCATTTCGGAATTCGTCCATTACAAAGTCAGTGTAAGCCGCAGCGGCGTAATCATGTTCTCCTATTTTTTCATAAAGACTGGAAATAGTGAAATGATTGTTTAAAATTTCTTTCTTTTATCAATGAGACATCATCACTTACTTGGCCAGTCTAATCAATGCCATTCCTTCTATGTCTCCTACATTACAGGCTTTATAATAACATTTCAGAGCATCCTGCGTTTTGTCCTGCTTTTCATAAGCTTCACCTAACGCAAGTACCATTCTGCTGTCATGTGGTCTTAAGAGTTGAGCCTGTTTATAATAGTAAAGACCATAAAAGGGCATTTTTAAGATCTCATATGTTTGTCCCAATCCGTACCATGCTCTGTAATCCCGCCGATTGACCTCTGCAGAAAGTGCAATGGTGAAACTGAATTCTTCATTTTCTTTTTTATATTGTTATTCTGTATTATATAAGCATTTTAGGATACCACTCACCGATAGCCTGTCTGTAACTATGTATGGCGGCATTTGTGTTTTTCATTTCCATAAATTCATGACCAAGTAACGTCCAAGCAGATAAGTATTGTGGATTTAGTTTTAGTGCCCTTTGGAAATATAATACCGCCTTTTGATGATCCGTTCTTAAACTATAGTAATTACCTAAAAGTCATACTGCACCATAAACGATCACAGAAAGCATTATATTTTATTCAGATTTTCAAGCATCAATTGGTTTTTTTACCTACTATGCAGCAAGTTTCTAATCTGTACTTGTCGATCTCTGTTGCTCTGTGTGCTAAGTATGCCAGTTCTACTTTGAGTGCTTTTACGTACAACAGATTCGAATACGTATCCATGTTATCCAAACAATAAGGATCATCTTCAATGATTCGTTTGAAAGTTTCTATGGCATTATCCACATCTGATGGAACGTAAGAAAATCTTGGAGGATTAATAGAAATTAAGCTATATTCAATTTGATACTGTCTTATAGTTACCTCTTCTGTAATGTACTGCAATTGCCGTTTGAGCGAGAACATAGCCATTTTTTTCAAATCCCATAGATTGCAATTCGTAGTATAATCCTAAACCTTCATCGATGAGTTGCAATTCTAAATACATATGAGCTACAAAGAACTGTCTCATCCAATGATTAGGCAACGTAAGACTCTCCAATTTTTCCCTGTCTGTGATTAAAGCAGCTAATTCTAACCAAGTACCCCAATGCATTGGTTTTTTATGTGTAGATTCTACTAGGACATCAGTGGCTTCTCTGACTAATTGTAACTTTTTTAATACCACTCCAAAGAGGTAGAGACCAAAACCATCTAAAGTTCCTGCTAGATGATCTTTTCTTAATTCTGTACACAATAGCTTCAGATTATCATTCTTTGAAGGATCTGGTGGGATATCTGTCATATCATCAATCTTTTTCTTCTCCCCGGATAAATACCGAGAGTACAAGTAGAGAAACCTAGCCTTAGGAGTTTTACACTCTTTAGTAAAATATGCAGCACGATCATATTCTTTGAGGTCAAAGTAACTTTTAGCCAAAATGTACATATCCTCCTCCTCGTTACTTTCCATAAGATCAGCATCATTTGTCATATCATGGATATCTAGCTTCACATCTTTCAAAGAGAAATTCAGTTCTGCTAGCCTGCAGAATAAAGTGTCTCATTAAATCAAAGAACACGATACGAATAAGCTAACAGTTAGTATACCATTTAGTAGTATGTAATAATCCCCGTTGAGAACATTCACTTATAGCTCGTAGGAGGTCCATCTTAACCTCTTTTGTATTTAACTTTATTACAGAATCCTCCATGGTGAATCATACAGACAAATATTGCCGTGAAATGTTGTTCCGAATTTTTAATAGTTTCACTTTTATATAACTAATTTTAAATGTGACTTTTCTCCAACAATGAAATGTCACATTGCTAGATTTTACCGGCGGGAAGAATGCGTCGTTTGCTGTTGTTTACAGATTTACTAGTACCATCTATACTTTCTTATGGAACTTATATAAAAGATAAGTATATTTCTCCATCTACATTACGCAAAGTTCTTGTTGTATTTTCGAATGGCGTAAGTACGACTCCCTGACTAGTCGTTAATATTTCATTGAAATTTTTATTTGCAATACGTCAGAACTATATAAATTATTAAACATCAATGGTATAATCATGCCGCCTATTCGTTTGTTATCCTGGGTAAGAAAATTATTATTTACGTATGCATATTTATGAAATATTTGTTTTCCATTGATAATGAAAATTGTACTAGACAATCCACTCGCTATCTCGAGCTAATACTGTTTAACAAAAATAATTCACTCTGTTACTGTAAGAGGAGTTGATGTATAATTCAAATTAAAGTATTATGGAACCAGCTATTCTGGTCTTGCAACACATCATGGGAAATGTGTCAAGCTTTGGCGCCGCCACCAAATATTAAAAATTTCATGACACATGATACAAAATTGCGTAAAACTAGTTGTGACCTCCACAGGGTGCAAATTCTCATAGTCAATTGGGTCATGGATTTCAATCGGAACAATTGATTGTACCCAAAGAAGTGGACTTGTCAGAGATTTCTTTGGAAGCTGAGAATATTAAAAAAATCGTAGGAGGAGCGGGTCACTCCTTGATTTTAGACAAGTACGGCTGTGTTTACGCATGCGGATGGAATAGCAAAGGCCAAACAGGAATTCCTGGTGAAGATATTATGCCAAAATTTAAAAAAATTGAAAGCCTCAAAGATGAAGTTATCACAGACATTGATTGCGGATGGGACAGTACCATGTGCCTTAACGAAAATGGTGAAATATTCGTCTGGGGCTCTAACAGCTTCGGACAACTAGGAATAGATCCTCAACGGCAAAACTGCATTTTACAACCACAAAAAATAATAATGAATGAAAAAATAGAAAGATTTTCTCTAGGTCTACGTCATACAGCCCTAGTCACAGAAACTGGTAAAATATTAACGTCCGGTACGGGTGGAAAGTGTCAATTGGGTTTAATTGATTCAGAAAATAAACCAATCAGACGCGCAAACATTTTTACCGAAGGTGATTATCTACTTTCTGAATAACCAACTGTTACGAAAATTATTACACAAAAAGGCAAGCCTGATCAGCTTACGTTTGCGCGTACGCAAGATTATTACATAACCCACATTGCCAAGGCCACGTTTCTTTCTCTCAAAATTTATTAACAAAATAACCCAGTTCTAGGATTGTCCAAAGTTACACAGGTATCTTGCGGTCAGCATCACACAGTTGCTAAAACCAAGGATGAGAATATATTCTCCTGGGGCGACAATAAACATGGACAACTTGGACTCGATTCAACTGTACATCCAATAGTCGCTTCGCCCCTAAAAATTCAACTAGACAAATTCAGTTCCGGTATGAATATTTATACCGGATGGACACATACGGCAGTTCTCGGTGCGTATATCGAATTCAGTTCTTTTTAATTATTACTAATGGATTACCTCCTAAGATCTTTTAATAATCCTAAATTTTCCTAGTTAATGGAAAAATACTGGCATGGGGTAGAAACACCTACGGTCAATTGGGCTGCCCAGAATTTCCAGAAGCAACAACGTCAAGGCCTGATTATATAAAGAACCTTCCAGAAATTTCCGACCTGTCTATCGGTTCTGAACATAATATAGCACTGACAGGTAACATCGCAAAGCTAATCTTAGCAGGTAGTATTATTTAATGGTCACCATTGTTCTTACAGGGGAAGGTAAAGTTCTTTGTTGGGGTTGGAACGAGCATGGAAACTGTGGTAACGGAAATGACAGTAACGTTATAGTTCCTGAGGAAGTCGCCCTTCCTCAAGGTTCTACGGGACTTTTAACTGGCGTCGGCGCTGGCCATTCTTTTGCAGTAGTGAAATTGCCTTATTAGTAGTAACATAAAGATACAGTAAGAAAACCATATATTCGTATTCATTGTTATATCATCAATGGTTACTAATAGTCAATAAAATAGCAAAGGTGCCGTAAGACTTCTAAGAACATGTTTCATGGACTGTCACATTCCACTCACTCTTTCTCCCTCTTTCTTTCCTTTTGACGTAATCACTTTTCATTTTTATTCACACCAATTAGCATATCTCCTAATATCCCAGTATCTACATATATGTATCCCCACTACCCGATTTTTCGTTAGAAAGATTTTACGAAATTTTTCACAGTTTCAGTATTTAAGGCGTCGATGTCACGATTCGTGCATCAAAAAGATAACGTGAATCGCTATACAAAGAACTGAGTCAAGAATTTTTTATTGTTTAAAAAAATTTTATTAGTATGGTCAATATGAAACTTTTGACGGTATGCAAATAATATTATGATTCAAACAATATATTTCTATTATAAATCATATTTTATTTTTTGACAGATCTTCATCCTGGTCATCCTATCCATGGCTCTTGTGTCTGCAACTCCACTAACGGATTCTGATTATATCCAAAATAATTACAATGACGACCTCAACTTACCTGGTGCAGAGCGATCGTTTCATCCAAAACTTCTGCTGAAGAAGTTGAAGAAGATCCTGTTCTAGAGTGTCATACCTCCTTATACTAATCAATACTTCATGAGGTCGCTAATCACACCTAACTTTCAGAGACCAAGTGATCAAGGATTAGACCATAATAATTTTTGTTATTTGTAAATACATATTTTTCTACTGTGCAAGAGGCATATATATTATTACATGTATCTAAATAAATATAATTTTCACTAAAACTTGAATTATCTCTAGCAAATATTTCCAAAATCACCTGGTTACCATCTAACGTATTCTTCAATGAGGATTTTTGTCAGCTACTTCGTAGAGACTATAGAACGTGGGGCGCAGTCTCACCTGGTGACCAGTGGTGGTGGTATAATAAACCACCTGGCTCCTACTACTAGCAACCACTAGGCAACTGTTACTCCAAATAAACAAAACGTCTGAAGCTTCATAAAGGGACGACATCATTCAGTAATAAGAAGTCAAAGATTAAAATGCTGCGCGTACGGTCGCAGAATAATGTCTGGTAAGTAATAAAATGATTTAAATAAATAAATTGAGCTTTACTTATTAAATTATTTAAAAAATATATAAATTTTTAGCGAACAAGAAGCCAAATTCGTACAGGAAAGAATTTCCAGTGTGGAAAAACATTTTGCTGAACTTTGCACAATATTCGCAGCGTTCACCAGGAAAGCAGCCAGGTAGTCAAGAAATGAATATTGATTATTTCTTACGTGAAGTGTTATATGTAAAGTCTAATATCGTCCATAACCATAAATATATTAAGTATATCATTATTGGTTTTTAGGTTACGTGACAAAAATGACGAAGTGGCCAAAGTCATTCAGATGTATGCCGAGTCTGAAAATATCAATCAGTCTCTGAGCAATGGCCTTATCAATTTCGCTACGACTCTTTCTGTCATTGGTGATTATAGAGATGCGGAAGTTCAGCGATTAGATTCAAAAGTCATCGCACCGGTATCCCAGTATTCTGTGATCTGCAAGCACGCACGGGAGGATGTGAAAAATACGTTCGCAGCTCGGGATAAGGAAATCACTAGGAGACGACACCTGGACAAGATACGCGAACGAAATCCACGAAATCGACAAATGATTGTATCCTTGTGTGGGTTAATTAGCGATGAGGAAATTAATTAATGATTTTGATAATTATCAATCCTTAACATGAATTATAGTCGCAAGCTGAATCAGAATTAATGAAAGCTACGGTCGAAGTGTCTAGAGTTGTAAAGGGCTTGGAAGAACAGATCGATTCGTTTGAAAAAAGGAAGCTGCATGATTTGAAAAGCGTCCTTTTGGATTTTGTAACGATCGAATTGAGTTTTCATACAAAAGCAGTAGAATTGTTAACCAAGGCTTACCAGGACGTGGCGGAGATCGACGAAACGAAGGATCTTGAGGTTGACTAATTTTTATAAGAGAGTTATTATAATTTTTTTACGGGTTAGAATTTTGTCTGTTTTGTTTATTTATTTTTTTTTGTCAATAAGAGTCTATAGAATAGTGTTCGTTAATTCTACCCTCGGTATACAGGACTTTCAAATCGCGAGGGGAGACCTAAACGGGGTAATTTCAAGAATGATTAATATTAGCTTGTCAAAAGGTAGATATAGTTAATTTAATTTATTTTTTTAATCTAGGAATTTCGAGACGTGCTGAGGGTACCGGATGCTGTATCCAGACTAGATACTGTGAGAAGAACATCATTCAGACAAGCTTACTCCTTGACTAATCTTGCTGGCAGATTATCATCTTCACCTGCCATTGTCAAAAAATCGACAAACAGAACAGTCGAATCACTGGTAAGAAATTGACTGATAAGAATAACAAAAATTGTACCATTGATCAATTTACTTTTTTATTACTCATTCTAGGAAACTCCAAAGGGTGGTTTTAGAAATTCCTCAGAATCAGTCCAGATCGAGGAGTACGGGATGAGTTCAGAAGAATCTGAATCCAAATCAGATTCTGAATCTGAATCTGCAAGAGAGAAAAGAGTGAGAACGAGGCATAAATCAATGTGACCTAATAATATAAAATTCTACTTTTTCATTATCATTATTTTATAGGAAAGAACAATAAAATATTCAAAACGAAGAAGACGCAGTCGATTTACCATACGAGGAATTCCTGTCATTCCTACTTATCAGAAATCCTTAACATCCTCAATCATTCACAGTATATCCAATGTGCAATAATAATCTTTGTAAGAAATATTTAATAAAAGATATAAGCACAGATAATGCAGTTGACGTGCAAAGAAAGCCAACAATGAGGATAAGATTCGTAGAACAACAATGAAAATGTATCTAATAATTAGTAATAAAAATTTTGTTAAACTCGTTCTCGCACATTCTCATAGGAAGAGACTGGAATGAGTAGCGGGCTAGAATCAAGGGGCGAAGAACTTTAGGGGATGATTGCGCATGCGTTGTCTGATACCCAGAGGGGTTCATGATCAGAAAGAGACTGGGAGTCGCACGCAGTACGTAGGACGCAGCTTGGGACACAGTCGATTCTCATGCGTGTTGGAAATCTTCATTAACAATATTACCAATTAAAGTGTCAATCAACAATTAAATTTACAAAATAAGAAAAGGATCAATCAATCAAAGGGTGACCGTTCGCCTCTCTTGGAATGCTAGAAGCCTACAGAAGTTATTCATCTCTGATTGTCTCAATTTGGTAAGTAAAATAATTACCTAACAAGACTAATAATAGAGAAACATAATTAATTTCAGTGCACCCTGCCAAAACAAGCAGACATAAAATTTGCTCTTGTAGAACTAAAAATGCTGAGTCTTCCGGAGCATGATCTCTCCTTACACCCTATTCACCTTAAATCTGACAATTTTTTTTACCAAAAAAATATTAATATTCCCTATTTTAAATATAGTCGCCCTATATAGAATTTCCAAAAATTAGTCTAGTCTACACCTATGGCTTCGTTTGACCTATCGAACCATTCGGAGATGTCGTGACGAGTCATTGTATTCACGTGGTACCTGTGTGAGTGTAGACCCACAATGTACTCAATATATATTTATATATACATTCCTTCCTTTGTGTCTGCACGACCACATAGCTCCACGACTTACTAGATATACGCGTATGTAAGTGCTAGTGGAATTAGGGTTACTTTCAGTTATGGCAAAAGTCTAGGGCGGAGGTGCGACAATGGAGGGTGAAGCTGGGACTAAGACTCAGGGTGAGTTCGAGGGTGAGCAAAGCTCTGGCGATCGATGACTCAAGAAATTGTAGCCCGTACAATCTTATCTTCTCCACTTCCATCCACTTTTTTTTTCTTAGCTCTACAAAGCAGCATACAGTCCACCTTAAAAATTAAAAAAAAAGTCGAGCCATCCCCTTAAGTTTACACAGTTCTTATGAAAATCCCAAAAGTAAATTAGTTCTCTCAATAATTCGAAGAAGCTTCTAAAATTAAATAAATCGATCCGTACCAGTGGAGTACAGTCAGTATAGACTTCCCTCTTTGAATTTGCATACAGAAGAAGCACTAGGGATTGGTCCAAGTGGAGGAGAGCGTGGGCAGACCTGGGTTCGACGTGCTCAAAAAAGCGTCTCCATTGACTGTACCCGTGTATAATACTAATGAGATGACTTCAGTGATGCATCGGATGCACCGATGCACGAGTGCAGTCCTGGTGCCTGAGAGATTTAAGAGCTCCTCGACTTCTTTAAAAAGAAAAAGGTCGATAATCTAGTTTTCCAAGCATTCTCATAGGTTCGTGTAGTCTCTTCGTCAGCCTAACCTAACCTACCACCCTCTGCGTCTCTCCCCCTGTTTAACCAGTGTCTCTTCCTTTCTCTCTAACCCGTCGCCCCCTATCTCCCTTTACGCGAAGGCTTTCTGACGTCACACAGAGACTTTGGTATCGATTCGCCAGAGCCCATCCTCCGCGTAGCGCGGGTCAAGCCCCGCCGGTATAACGACTTGGTGTCTCTGGAATTCTTCTCTCGAAGACTCCTGGTGCATTCGCTAACCTATAGTATCTATCATTGATCACCATTCGAAGATTCAATCCTTCGTGAACTGCATCGTATCGCGCAGATGAATCGTCTGTAAGGCTTCTGGTTCTCCCTTTGGTAAGAAGTCCAAAAGATTCACTTGGGAGGTTGTGACTGTACTATACGTATGTATAGAAACTGTAGGAAAGCCAGGGTGTTGGTTCCGAGTCGATAAACCACGGGGAAACGCGAACTCTCCTGCGCGCAACTTCAATATGGTGGACGGTGAGTCGCCCACTTCCGTTACTTGTCTTTGGAATTCCCTACGTGGCTTTTCAATTCTCTCTCGAGTCTTCTTCACTCACTTTTTAGCTTTTCGATCAATCAATCAAGACTTAGAATTTCCTCGAAGACACTCACGACGGGAAGGAAGTTAATTATGCAGAGTGTCGTCGTCCGTCGAGCCCGGTTCGTTTTCACATGGAATCCTGGAAAAGAAATTTAATTGATTTTCAAAGTGACCGCGCTGGGGATACTGAACCAGGACAGAAGAAGACAAATTTTGATCGATTAGCTTTTCTTTTTTGATTGCAGAAAGGATTTGCAATGCGGCTCAAGGACGCTGTGGTCTCGGTGCCTCTGCATCCTGGGCTGAACAATAAGTAAGTAAATATACTGAAAGATATGGCATCTTTTCAAATATTACTTTTAATTTACGAAGCTTAGCTGGACATTTTTCGAGTTACGTTTATTCACTCGTAAATTTACTATGCAGTCAACTCGAGAGGAACAGTCTGGTATTAGGCAACTCGGAGGAGATTGAAAATCGTAACGAGATTTCCGATAATTTCGATATCCAAGACACCGACGAGATCCAGGCTGACTTCAAAGACACTGCGTGGACCACTTCGAATCTTTGTTCTCATAGTAATTCAAACGTCGATTCCAACGGTCGAAATAATATTAACAATAATTTGACTTCGCCCAGACTCTATCGAAGTAGCTCAGCCGAGAGTCTCGCCGATTACGAGGGTAAGTTAACGTGTACGTTTAATAATTAATTATTAATTTTAATATTTTTTTATTATTAACCACAATTACGAAGTCATTATTGTATTGGATACTGTGTACGATTTAAATATACGTTATGCCATTCGAGTCTACGTTCACGGTGTTAACGGTCTTGGAAATACTAACGTTTGAAAATGCACCGAGTCTTTTCTCCCGAAGCGTAACAATTTAAGAGTTCGAGCTCAGTCTAGTTATTGAGGCAGTTGCGTAAGCAGACTGCGGAACATAACCAAAGTGACTCACTCTGTATTAGTCTGTTATGTGTGTCGGGCATCCGCAGGGCGTATCTCCGTCGAGGATTCCTCCCACGAGTTGACTCCATCCGAGTGGTCGGACTGGTCGGAAGAAGGAAACCTTCCGGCGGGTTGTCGAGGTATCGTAAATCCAAATTATCCAGGATTTCAACATCTGGCACCGTCGTTGTTGTCTGATACGGATTTTACTGAAGATGAGCTGGAGAGTTGCGACACATCGAAGCGCAATGAGATTTTGAACGGGAACGAGTACAATAACAACGTCGAGGAGAATCTAGTCGGTGGGAGTGTTAATCACTTGGAGGGACAGAAGTGTGGACAGAAACTTTTCTACGAGAAGCCCAAGTTCAATATACAGGTAAGCGAACGATAGTGGAAATGATAATTTTAGGTTAAATAGTCAGGTAGAATTTATATTTATTTACTTGCAGACTGTCACTTCTTTTTACGAATCCGTCCTGCCGCCTTCGGAAAAGTGCATTAATTACGTGAAGAGCGTCGAAGTGTCTCGTTCGGTGGAGTCTCTTTCGCCGGAAGCGGAAGTAAACGTAAATTCTGTAATCGAGGCGGAGACACATTTGACGGATATAGATCCGGAAGAGGCTGTTGCTGATCACGTTGACGAGAAGAGAGAAGACTTTTGTAAAGCCATCGTCGAGGACAGACAACCTCGTGAGGTTGCCGTTGAAGTTGAAGTCGTTGAACTTGCTACGACCGTTAAAGAGACGCTGCAGTTTCCGGAAATAGAAGAGATTCTTGATTCCGGAAAGGTCAACGAGGTTAGCGAGGTAAAATTTGTTGTGAAACAGGTTAAGAATATTTAAGATCGTCTTTTTCTCTCTTTATTACCACGCCGATGATCTTATCCAGGTGGACGACATAATCGTTGATCACATCGACCTGATTCGGGAGGCAAAGGAATTGCCTCTACTTCAGAAAAGCAAAATAGGAAACCATTCGGCGACCCCGGAAAATCGAAATAACCCGGACGACTCGGAAACCAATACAGATTCCGAAAGTTATTCCGAGCTTGCACCGTACACGAAACTCGAGGAAATCGACTTACTCTCCAGCATAGGAAGAGACATAGGGGTGGATTTGGAAAAATACGTCCAGCCCGTACCGGACGTGGTTGTCATGGAGACAGTAGAGGTGCACAGCTCGCACCAGATGCCAGGAACAGATCTAGTCAAGGATATATTAAGGGAAGACACAAATAAATTGCTGGATAAAGATTTACCGGAAGCCAGTGCAGACTCCAGGAAGAAAGAGAAAATGGCCAGAAATCAAGCCAGAAGGAGACAGCAGTCTCATCCTACAGCTCCCCAGCGGCGACCTGACAAGCGCAGAGCAGACACTGATAATGGACCTGGTAAACCAAATATTCTAAAACCACTGAAATCAATAGAAAATCCATCTTGACCACACTCATTTATCTATAAAAACTTTCCTTCCATCACAGGTGGCTTTGACGTCTACAACATTGAAACAGCCATGCCAAAGATTGATCTGGATGCCATTGAGTCACATTTGAGAGCAGCCCGCGAAGAGGAACGTAGGGTAAGTCATTCTCTACCTAAAGCCTCCACGTAAACTTCCTGACTTCCTGTATCTAAGCGTCACCTCGTATCCGGTACAGTCCCAGCAATCTACTCCTCTACACACCATACCCACATAGCATACAAGAATGTCAAGTACTATACCAAATGGTACGCACTATATGCTACCCACAAGAGCTATACGACAACGTAACATATGTATACGACACTTCATACGTACCGTGTGTTCCATATATCCAATCATATGCACATATAACTCGTATACAGCATATATACATACGTGTGGGTTGCTCCTGCGACGATGAAGTCAGAGCTGCGTACGAACTCCTGTTTGCCGTCACAGTTGTAAACCACATTCAGCCGTCCCTGTGGCATTCGTCCAATGTGTAAAAGATGTCCGATAACGAGAGACTCGCATCTGTCGCCTCGTGCGCTCGTACACGTTCCAATTTTCCTACCGCATTGATCGACCAGCTGGCTGTTTAATTTTCGTTAATCGATCAACTCATCAAGAAGCATCGGCAAAGGTTACGTCGTAAACTGCCTGACGTCGTTTGCCGGCTTCGAAGCATCGGACCGTATCAACGATCTTATAGGACATTCGCGATAAACCCTGACATTCAGGATTTAAAAATAAATCCAGAGTGGGGACAGATGGTTGCGAAGATGAACGCGGTGCATCATCTGCGGGACGTTTTACCGCAAGAGGATTACGATGCCAGGGAGATGGAATCAGTGTGCAAACAGTCACCAGTGCTCTTGGTCACAAACGTGCGTCGGTAAAATTCACGAGGAAGACACTGGAACACGTGAAATAAGCGAAACTGCAAGATGCATCAGGTCGTCTCCGGATCTCGTCCTGCCACTCGACCCAAGGATCTTGACTTGACAGGAAGTTCCAATGGAAAGTACAGTCAGGTACGAAGACGATCCTCAGGTAATTGACCTGGTGCGACAAGACACTGGTGCACGTGTTCCATTGTCTACTGGTTAACCCGGTAGAACCTTTTGTACAGTTACGCTGGGTCCTAACGAAACCGCTGCCACAGCTGTCTACTGGAATATTCATTGCCACGTCACAGATATCTGGTCAACTGGGAAGTTGTACTCTGTAAATAAGAAATACTTAGAATATGAGTCCAGTCAAGGTCCAGTTTCTGCAGTTCAAACTGACCAGCCGCTTATCAGTTGGCATTATCACTATCCTGTATAACAGCCAGTAACAGAATTTCATTAGGTGCTCTATACTGTATCTCACTATATAATACATACTTTGTATAAGTAATAATTAGCGTAGCTGACAATCGACCATGCAATGACTGCTACCTGATGTATCGAATGTCTACAGGTGTCAGACTGTCTCAATCAGTTTCCATTAACCGTCTTACATTAGTCAGTGGTCGACGTATCAAATACTAACAACAGTACCAGCAAGGCGAGCAGTTACAGGCTAGATTAGTTTAAAGTACAGGATTCTTTCTTAAATCTGATATCAAGGCTCTCACTGTATTGATAATATTAAATCAAGAATGGCTTCACGGTTACTGATAACAATATACACATGTACACGAGCGTTATCGCCGGTGTGTTTGATACGGAGACGCTAACCTGCCGTGTACGGGTTTTTCTTGTCTGTTCACCAAGTGCCACCGAGGCGCCGTCACATTTTTACCAGGGCACTGGAGGAGTGATAAATAGAAAAAAAAATATATCGAAAATGTGACAGTTCTGTGTATAAAGTAAAATTTGTACTTTGAATCAAGATGCGTGACGGATTTTATCGTTGTCCAGAATTAATGTGAAGTTTGTGCTGCTCGTGATAACAATAGTGTCACGATATGAGGATGATGACGGAATTCAAGGATGTGAATGATCCGCTGTACCAGTTTCTCATGAGAGCACCGATGTGCCGTAGAAAGGTCGAGATCAATATTTAATCTATGAGCAATTAAGCCGTCGAACGTGGATTAGCGTAGCCGACGTGAAAAAATCAACTCGAAGAAGATTATGATATTATGAACATTTTTCCAGAAGGAGGTAAAACAAAAGTTAATCGGCTTGTGCACCGGGGGATAAAATTGTATCAGGCCGTATAAACTATAGCGAGTGCGCACGCTTGGCTGATCATGCGTCTTCTTAGTGTCAACATATTCTGCATTGTCTTTAGTTTTAGAAAATTTAATACTGGTTTATGATACTACGTTGATAAGTTATGTCGGTTTATGCTGGTCGCTGGAATACAAGATATCGCTACCGTCCTATATATATTTGCTGTGATAAATAGACTAGGAATTTACATAGAATCCAGTCTTTTATTTTTCATCCAAGTAAAATCACTATACCGGTTCTCAGATAAGACTGATACAAGCACAGTCCAATTTACTGGTATAGATAATTGATTTCACGAGGAATGAGCTGTATCCGTTTTAGAGAGAGCGTGGAGGAACGGCGGCGATAAAAGAAATAAATTTGGCGAAAGGCTTGGTGCGCGTATAAACCGAGCATTAAAGTAATAACATTGTCGCTGGAGCGTGTAGGTATTGTACAGTACGGATACCAGTAGACTGTACTAGCGATAGACACTTTCACTAGGTACTCAAGTGCGCAGAGACAGCTATTCCAGTTTACTCGGTAGCTACAAGCGGGGCAGGTCGTTTTATCGCTTATTCCTCTCTTATCTTGTTTTACCGCCGGGCGAAAGAAGAGCATGGGTAGCAGCGGCAAATCGCGTAGACATTACAAAAAGGACTCGCGATTCGTCGCTGATCTCTACACCTTTACTTACGACAAAGATTTCGATCTCGTAAGTAACAAAGTCAAAGATCTGAATAATACTTGCTTAACTTTACCCACGTAAATACCGTGTCATATTTTTGCTTAGACGACTGCATATAATATATATAAAAAAACGTTGATACAATATATTAAAATTAAAAATTTCTTCTTAAGCGCAAAATAACCAATAATAACTTCTATTGAAAGTGAAGAAATTCTGAGAAAACTTTTTATACTTGGTTGCGGTAATTTCGTAATCTCTCTAAATTGACAAATTCGCCACGCTCTATATACGAGAATGCAACGTGTATAATCCGAGACGGGTCTGAAAGAGAAAACTGCGTTCCTCGTGCGGTAGTTTCCTCCCAGGAAATAGTGTGTAGAGATTTCAGTCGGACGTCGATGGCTGCGTATGTATGCGTTGATTGAGATGCGGTTGGTCAGGGCTGGTCAGGTCTGGTATAGGTGCTCGGTCAGAAACCAGAGGTCTGTCTCAGACCCGAGAGGTAGATGGAACCACTTCTTGGGTAACGGATCTATAAATACGTGCCTCCCTTGCCGACAGTCTCGGACGGCACGTCGATAGTTGCATCTGCACCCACGCAGAGCGTGAGGTCGTTGCACCACGGCTTGGAGGTCCTATAGAGAAAATAGAAATGTGGTTGAGTAAGCGCGTCTCAGCCTTGTGGTCTAAGTTATGTTTTGACAATGAATTCTATGTTGATATCAACTGAATTAAGAAGGCAGTAGATCTCTGATAGGTGTGTTATTTATTGAAATCAGTGTAGGACTTAAGTCACTCGATGATACGAAGACTTGGCGATCTGCGAGTATCGCAGAATGAAAATGCTCACTGATTGTGGAGGATTGATATACGTTGTTCAGGAAGACGAACGGGTGGCAGAGGTCGTTGAGGCTGTGGCAGCGGGTCGTGAACCGGAACCAAAAGATCGTGACAAGGAAGACCTGCTAGCGCGATTCGATCGACTCGTGCAAGGAGACCCACACGTATCTCATCAGGTGTGAATGAGAAATCTCATGCTGACTCAAGAAGAATAAATACTTTAATGTACAATATATATATAACCCTGGATTTAAAGAAATTTTCTAATTTTTCATGTACCTTGGAGATATCAATTTTTTAAATTTATTTCCAGCGACGAAATGACCGTGAAGAAATTAGGAGACGATTGGCTATGGGCCCCGACGCAGAAGATCTACGTGCTGAACGAGGTCGCAAACCTAGTCTCCAATCACGACTTCAAAGTGGTACGTGGATGATGTGATATATGTTTATTTTGAAATTATTATTTATCGTTTATCCTCCTCCAGGGATGAACCTGCAGATTTGCTTCATGAACGAGACACCCTCTGACACAGAATCGCCTGTGTCGGAGAATGACTCTTCACTTGGACCGGCATCATCTGCAGATGTGAAACAGCAAGCTCCCCTCCGACCGCAAGTTCTAAGTCTGCCACCGTTAAGAGTCGATTCCAGTGCACCTGTCGACGAAGCCGACTTTTTCGCGAGGCAGGCTAGACTTCAGACAGAGGCAAGGATGGCCCTGGCTCAGGCCAAGGAGATGGCTCACATGCAGATGGAGGTCGAGAGACAGAGATTGAAACAAAGTCCCATCACCGAGATGGTGCGGTCCAGTCTTGAAAAGGTAAATAAAAATCTGGTCGAAAAAGAAGTGACAAACAATACAAAAAAATTGAAGCTCACGAACAGAACTTATTATCAATTTTATTCTGAATCATCCTTCAGGTTGGGGTTCAGCTCGGCGACGACCGGCGCAGGCTCTCCCGGGTGCTGCTGACGGAGCTGAATGTTGCTCAGCTCCAGGTAGTAGCGAATGATCTGCATGCCAGAATCGCCGCGCTGAACGAGGCTCTGGTCGAGGGTTTACTCAGAAGAGATGATCTTCACATGGAGCAGGATTCGATGCTGGTCGACGTGGAAGATCTCACGCGATACTTGTAAGTTTTGAGCTCTGGCAAAAGATCAAATGTTACCAGCGACCCCTTGACACATCCAACGATCAACTGTTTCTACCATTGCACTCTGACATCTCGCTTGTTCATTTATATTCTATGCTTGTCATTATCATCTGCTATGTATGGACGCACTCTCTCTCTCTCTCTCTATCTCTCCCTCTCTCACGAGCGGTATGTGAGGTGCTGTCTCTCTTTGCTGCGCAGAGGTGCCAAGCAGGAGTCATTTAAACGTCAAAGTATCTCAAGCACGAGGGATCAGCCAGCCTCGAATCATCACGTCCAGCAACAATCGACCAATCTGCAGACAAAGCTAATCAAGCCAAAGTTTACGAACCGCACACTGGCTGGGCTGGTTCGCAAATAATCTTTTGCCTCGAGGCTTTGCAGTCTCGTCGGAAAATGAGCCAGAAATTAGGCGCGTTCACGGATTCCTCAATAAATTTTCTTACGACGCACCGAAGACGACTTGCCAGGAGAAGCTGAAGAACGTCAAGAAACTTTCTCAAAGAGACACTCCGATTTTCTCGTCACCCATTTCAAGAGAAGAAGAGGATCATGAAGATGAACTGAAATAAAATAAATTATCAAGATCATCGTGGAACGCGTCAATTTTCACGAATTTTCAAAACTTTTTACGTGGTAGATGAAAGATGATGTCTCGTAATCCTAGGAGACTCTCTCACCGAGGATGATCCCGCCGTTCGTTGTACGATGCCCTTGGCATGTACTTTATCATTTCTCGGGATGATCGTGTCCAAGTATAATTGTAGAATAGCGAAGTTAGGACACTACTTGAATGTTGTATATATATCGTAATGAATCGTAATTAATGATCGTATATACGTAGCAGTTCTACTTGTCACTTTTTTTCATTCTTTTTTTTTCATTGATATCAAACCGACCCGAATGGACGTCATCGGATCGACTCGAAGGACATTCGAATCCGTTTATACTGTAGCCAAGAGATAAATGACACAGTTAGTAATACGTAACTACAAATTCATAAAATAATAAATCCAAATCTTCTCTCGCACTCGCCCATTATTCGATATCGTAGAGACGTAGCAGCACGTAGCGAAGCTTTTCCGAGTTGCTCGGACGCATTAATTACGTGCCGCCTTTGCAGTTCGTCGAATTAAAGATCAAAGATTCAAGATCAAAGTCCCTTTTTTTAGGGTCCAGGCTAGAATATACAGTGATACGGCGTAGTGGCTAAGATCCTGGATCTGGTCTGTGACGTAATTTCCGTAATTTCATTTTAATCGACATACAATCTCCTTCCGGTTTCCATCATGGCGCTCATCGATATCAGCAGATACTAAAATGAGCCATGGAAACGCGCTCTAATTATTACAGAGACGAATGCGACGTAAATACAATGTATGGATAATCGGAGATCGATGGGAAAATTACGAAATATTTAAACGATATTTCGTGGGAATCAGAAATCGCAACGGCCTCGAATCTGTAATGAAAGAATCACAGTCGATTAACAATAAATATAATAGATTTGAATAATTATCTACAAAATAGTTTTAATCGTAATATTAATTAATAATATACAGATTGTAAATAACTAAAGAATAATAAAATATGCTGTAACAAGTTTGCTCTTTTCTCCGTTCAATGTGTAATGATTTTCATCTCCTTGGAATTCACAGGAGATTGAAAAGGGGAAGGCACGGGGTAGTAGTTGAGTTATTTTCTCTCTCTCTCTCTCTCTCTCTCTCTCTCTCTCTCTCTCTCTCTCTCTCTCTCTCTCTCGATATGAAGGAAGTGTACGCTCCGGGTATCGCTCAGCGTACAATGTTAGTGCTCTTATTGAATTTTCATTTGTTGCGCCATAAACAAGGAGCATATCAACTTGTTCGCTAAATGAAAACTTCATTTTTACGGAAACTTATTACCGTTAACTTATTATGCCGACGTTCGTAAACAAACTGACAGTGTTGTTCCTCGTTGTCCTTCATAAGATGCAGCGTGTGTTTTGTTACAGCATTATTTTGTTTCGTCGTTTGTTGTTTGGTCTTTAAAAATTCAATGATTGCAACGTTGCATCGATGCGGATGGTCATCACTTCGAGCATTTGTTGTAACGTAAGACACTCTGTTTTACCCTATTTCCTGTTATCGAATTACCATGTATGAGGGGTCATTGTAATCGTCTAAATACCTGCTATTTTATTACGAATACAAAAATATAGCGTGCCATTTGAAAAAATGGAAATGACCTTGAAATCTTCAAAACGCCTTCGCCTAGAAAAAAACTATTACATGCATATTATGACCCCCATCGAACCATACAACTTTCATAGATACAGTTTTTCTATATCTCTAAAAATAACAGAGATATTCGGGGTGGACAAAGTTATTGGGCCACCCTGTATACATGTGTCTAGCCTTCAATGATAAAAATTAAATGAAAAAAAAATCCCTAACCAGATACAGTATTTGTTTCATCTCTCCATAGAAAATAATTGGTTCATTTTCATATACTCATCATTTTATGCCTGAGATTAATAAGTGCAATTTTGTTTTTGCTTATTTTTCGTAATGCCTTCTTTATCCGTCTGAATATTATCTATGCTATTAAAAAATGAAACAGCGTGCCATAGGTGTTTGTGCGGTGAGTTAGTGGCGGAGAACCTCTGCCCGCCAAGCTATGCGATCGTGTTCACGTTTAGCTCGGCTACGACGGAATTTGCATTGTTGACAGAGGTGATTGTCATATTAAACTTACTGAACTTACACTGTGCGCTCAAACTTAGGATTGCAAAGAAACAAAATGTTTAGGCTATATTCGATGAGCCGCCTCGTTGTAAGTGTTGCTTTGGGAACCAGCGATAAGTATCGAACAGCTTTTGCCCGCCAAACTACACGTTGGTGATCGCGGTCAGCTCGGCTAAGACGGGGTTCGCATTATTGAGGGACGCGATGATCACAGAATCCTACTCTCGGACTCGGCGCTGCGATTCATCGCCATGCTTTTGGTATCCCCTAAAACCGTAGCGCTATGCATCTCCCTACTCATCTTTGGTCTACAGCACGGGAGTGGATACAATTGAAGCAGTTTCGTAATTTATGATATGGCCACCACACGTCACTGTGATCGACTGCGCCTTGTGAACTTAACTTCTAAATGTCACATTTCAAGACGTTTAATATTCTATTTGCAGTACTTACCAGAGATTCATGCGCACTCTAGCTTCAAAATTTTCGATAACAGAAAAGTTACACTTTTCGAGCAATGTATGCAGCAAAATGGGGAGATCGTGTGCTGTCCCGGACTGTAATTCCAGTTACAAGCCAATCTCGGAGTTATTATTTTCTCCCTCCTTTCTTACACAACGTCAAATTTTTTTTTTCCCAGGTGTGATACTAAACAAAATCATGAGAAGCAAGTGTCAAACTTAATTACACTCAGATTACGCAATGCACTTACATCGTGAGAGAGAGTGAGACAGAAATAGTTTTATTCGCGGAGCAGTTGATCACAGTGCTGTTTACGGCGCGACTTTGAGATTTGAATCACCCCCCACCACCGGACATGCAAGACCTGTGTGTAAGAACGTGGTGCCGCGCATAAATGAAGAAGACGACAAAGAAAAAGTTTGTGGGTTGCCGTAGCCCAGTGGATAGGGTAGCGGATTCACGACCGAAAGGTTGGAGGTCGCGCCCAGCTTTCAGCGGCATTCACCGATGGGTTTTCATATGAAAACTTAAGTATTTATACGGATTTCGCTCAACACTGTTCGGATTCGGTGTAGAAACTTTGTAGGTTCCCTCACGCTGAGTTAAATAAGGCCCGTCTCGCAAGGTACATCGCCATCTATTGTCGAACTTCCAACCTTGATTATTAGGACCAGTTACTGGCACATGTCCCCCATTGGGGATATAGCCATAAGGAAAGGAAGGAAGGAAAAAAAAGTTTGTCTCCTTATTATTGGACTATGCAAGAGGAATCTTTTGCCCTCTTTCTTGGACAAATCACGATTTCGATATTAGTAAGATATTTAAGAAAAATATATCGTAATTTGTAGAGTACATTTATAATTTTATTAAGTGTGCAGACAGTCGTGATACTGCTTACCGGCTAGACTTAATATTTTTTTCCCATCACAATAATGTTTTTCGTTTCAGATATCATTTCACTAAAATCACAAAATCTCTTATTGGTTCAACTTGTTTCCAAGAGATACTTGCCCTCTTGTCACATTTGCTGCACTTATTAATAAATTAACTAAAAAATGGAAACCAATTGGAAATTCATACTTCAAGAAAGTGAAACTCATTACTATTGTGTTATTTGTGGCTGTGAAATCTCTGGTAGTCGAAATGCAGAAGGCCACTTCAGAGGAAGATACCATGCAGATGCTATAGAGGAGTATGGAGACGATATCTCATACAGTGGAGATAACCAATATTACTGCCAGTTATGCGACTGCTATATTTCTGGGTATCAAAATGTTAGAGTCCACTTTAGGGGAAAACAGCATCAGGGTTGCCTGTATGGATCAGATACCGAGTCATCAGAAGATGACAGTGAGGATTATGTTGCATTGAGTTCACGTGATTTCATTATTGACTATAGCGATAATAGTTATATGTTCTACTGTTGTCTATGTAATATCAATATTACTAACATGTGGCATATACCCTCACATTTGGGGTGCCAGAACCATAAAATAGCTGTAACAATATATGGTTCTGACATTCTTGGCAATGGAAGCACTTGGTATTACTGCAGATTATGTGATTGTTCGATTAATAGCTATAAAAATGTCTATGAACATATAACAGGACGGCGACATGACAATTTTCTGGACGAATTGGAATAAGATATCGAATATTTGGATGATGACGGATTAGAAAGTATTATAAAAAGCTTGAGTACGTACTGTGCATTAATGTTACAACTGTGATTATTCTGACCTCAGATACATTGATAATAATATATTAAAGATACAAGTTAACTATTTTTTAAGACAAATTTTTTAAAACGTTAAATGTAGTGAATTCCATCTCCTTGGAATTCACAGGAGATTGAAAAAGGGGAAGGCACGGGGCAGTAGTTGAGTTATTTTCTCTCTTGGTATCAGTAGATACTAAAATGAGCTATGGAAACGCGCTTTAATTATTAAAGAGACGAATGCAACGTACATATAATGTATGGATAATTGGAGATCGATGGAAAAATTTCGAAATATGTAAAAGGTATTTCATGGGAATCAGAAATTTCGCAATGGCCTCGAATCTGTAATGAAAGAATCACAGTCGATCAACAATAAATATACTAGATTTGAATAATTATCTACAAAATAGTTTTAATCGTAATATTAATTAATAATATACAGATTGTAAATAACTAAAGAATAATAAAATATGCTGTAACAAGTTTCCTCTTTTTCTCCGTTCAATGTGTTATGATTTCCATCTCCTTGGAATTTACAGGAGATTGAAAAGGGGAAGGCACGGGGCAGTAGTTGAGTTATTTTCTCTCTCTTGCATTTCCTCTATTTTTCTTTTCACTATCTCGGGGATGAAATTCCCATCAGTCCTGGCCAGAAGAACTTCCTGTTCTAATGATCCTTTATCAATATTCCATTGAAGTTTCTCCAGGCCAGTTTGTGGGATCAAGGAGCACCATTCTGATGAGCCTGTGCAAGAACGAAGGTAAAATCATCAGAATCGCCACAGCCCTAAAGAGGCGCTGGTTGTAATTGTAAAAACGTTGAGAAAAAGGAGACTCCGTGACTTCCGGTTGATCAGTTAAGCGATTCGTTCTTGCACGAGACACGTCCAATCCTAATTGTCCAGTTATGCACGATTTATCTGAATATTACAATAATGTTATTATATTATATAATACGTCCTTAAATCTACGAATTGAAATAACATCTACTATACAAATGAAGCTCACTCGCAGCGTTGTTCCATAGCACTTGTGTATATCATGTATGCATCCGGTCCGTTCAATTAGTTTAATCCATCAGTGACTGTCGAGATTGTCCTACCTGTTTGTCTTTATCTCCCCTTATAACTTTCTGCATTTCATTTTAATCCTGGTTTTAACATTATTATCTCGATTTATTTAATCGCATTGTTATTATACTTCGGTTTGCATTAACTTTGGCAGCTTCCGTGGCCAGCTGGGCAAACGACCCCTCTCAGTTAAATCTTTAATAATTGTAGCGACGCCTTAAATACTTAATCCTCGAAATATATAAAAATAATAATACTATGGGTTTCGACATTACGCATAAGAATCATCACGACCAAAATACACAAGAAGTATCTTGCCGAAGTCGCTAACATTTATCGCGTCGAGCCTTCCTCCATTATTTATTCCTTCCAACGTAATTATGTATAGTAATGGCGGGACCCAATCGGAAGGACAATGGGGCTCTCGAGTCGTCAGCAAAGAATTAAACGAAGAGGTTAATTATTTGCTGAATATAAAATATCCTCCCTCGAGTAGAACGAGCAGAGTAATAGTCTCTCGCTGACACACTCTTTATATACAAAAGAAAATATCAAATTGAAATATCGGCGCAAGCTCCACTATAAAATTATATGACGCAGGCATGAGTTATTATTCGTATCGCATGGGAACTCTGAGAGGACTTCTGTACTCGTTCCGGCCATTTTGAATCGGTGCCCAGCTCGTCGGTTAGCAATCATGGCAAAAAAAAGTAAGTATCGTTAAATTAGTCATTCGCACATTAGCTAGTAGTAAATCAGTTTTCATTTAGTATCCCTTTCCTCTTTCTTTCTCTCTTTCTCACTATATTACTTTGGCAACAATAGTCAGAAACAAGCAATTCCATAGCTAACAATAATATCGATACTTCCTCCTGGAGTCGGAGTTATTCGACAGCGCCTAAACCGCGTGCACCACACGTGTTCCCGTAGACTCCCATTCTCGTTTTCCTTTTAAAAAATTCTAGCAGCATTTTATTATATATTTACGAGAGGAGTATACTCTTGCAGTCGTGAACCTTTACCCGTAAATCTCAACATTTAATATCAAAGCCATCGACGACTCTCCGGCCATCTTCTTTCTCCGATGCAGGATCATCTCATTGTCAGATGAACACTCGAGGTATAGATATATAACACGCATGGCTTATTTACACGTGACAAGAGTATCGTTGAACGGTGATAAATTAGAAGCGTATTTGAATCTGATTGGAGTTTATAAATTTTTAAAAGAATCATCTCCGGGTAGACGAAGATGCGTACTAATAACGGATGGACAGGACGTTGGCAGGGTATTGGCAGGCAAGTGAATTAAGAGAAGGGTTATTGGAAGTCGTTAGAAACGTCACCTAAGGTCACTTTCCCATGCTCGCGTTTGCGGGCAGGGTCGCGGAACGTTGCTGAACCGACAAGTAGGGCTTTAGCGACGACCTCGTGGATTCCCTGGAAAACAAGAGACACACCCAATGGTGATTCCAGTACAGATCGATACTCCAAGCACCAGGTTCAAGCGAGAAGATCACTTGACCAGGACCATATGAGGTACGTGCCAAACCAAACAAATAAAAAGAACACACAACTTGGTGATCAAACACTTTAAAAAAACCCAGTGCAGCTATTAGGTCCAGTGGTGGACCCGTATGCGTGATTTTGATTTATCGATTGCCCAGTACAAGAAAGCGTATCCAATTTGATAAAAGCGATATAAGCACATTCGCGAGCCCATTTCCAAAATTTTTTATAGCTGAACTTTTTTTTCGATTTTATACCCTATGCATTGGTCCACCTTTCTATCTGGAGCAACATTTGATGCAGTTTTCCATGATTCCATTAACTGATAAGGGATCAATCTCATCGCAATAAGCTGTGCAACTTTTGATAACTAAATGTCAAGGCAATTCAATGACTCACACAATTTTTCATCAAACAATTGGCATGCTGTGCTAGACTCGATAACGATATACAACTCCCTGCGTGTCGGGAAGGATATCTCCGGAACACAATTGGAAGTTGTTCTTGAAGAAATTAGCAAAAAGTGAGCTTTAGAACAGAAAGCGCCAGATTTATGTACATTGGCTTCGTCTCGACTCGCAAAGCGTCAGGCTGGTGGATCGAGAATTAACATCTCAAAGAAATCAAACAACTCTAACCTTTCTACTACACCCAGTCATGCGACGCCACAACACAAGAGCTACTTAGTCTCCCCGGCTGAGCCGCCTGGCTACGCTACCTTGGCGAGACGCGCTGCCCCGTGCCATCCACGTGTGAATTTGCCTTGTATCCGCACTTCTGGATGCGCCTAGACAATCGCGATACCCAATATTTCTGATCGTCGGGACTCCCGGCAAGCACCAAAAGTTCTCGGGCGCTATTGGGATCATAATGGAGTTTGCAGGGCGCTATCGCATCCTCCTTCTTTTCGAGATGTTCCTTGTGCACCTTAATGTGACATCCTGAAAAGACAGCAGTCACGCGTAAGCTTCCTTGTCCTCTGGGACACTGATTCTTCAAAGATACTCACTTCGACACTCGAGGGCTGGAGTCGACCGGAACATGTGCCAGAGTTGTTTCGCGCAGACTTCACACGAGGTAGGAATGTGAAAGGTTATAGACACAAACTCGTGACCCTTGAGAGGCTGGGTACCAGGTTTGTCGGTAAGCTGCGATAACTCCGAACCCGGAAGTGCGTTTCCTTCATCGCCAGGGCGCCTCGCCTCGCCCTCTCCGGCATAGAGTAACTAGAATCATAATATTATGTCATAACATAAAGATAATGAAACGTGGATAATGGCTTGACTAATATGACTAAATCTACCTGAAATATCCTAGGAATATCTTTGGCGTCGGCTCGAATCACGTCTCCCTGAGTGACGGAACGTACGTGGAAGACTTTGCTCAAGTCCAATATCAAAACTGGATCGGCGTTCATCTTGTCGCTTTCACTATTGTAAAAGATGATCTTCTTGGAGGAAACCACGACGTACTGCTTCTTCCAACCGTGCCTCTTGATATTCTGCTTGTTCGGCACGTTCAGCCAACCTTCCAGTCTCATGGCACCGTGCTCGGAGAGGCCCGAGTCTTCGCCGTCGTTCTCTACCGAAGACACGCTGGCTGTTTCAGAATTGATTGACGCAATTTTCATCTGCAAGGTCTCAATCTCTGAATCTTTTGAATCCAACTCCATCTGTAGCTTCAATTTCGATGAATTCTCCTCGACGAGTTGTGCCTGAAAATTGAATAATTATTTAACATTTTTCTCCTCAAAACACTTGAAAATCAATGACTCTTAACCACCTAATACTTACTTGCAGATCTTGTAGATCCTTCTGCCACTTAGCTGCCAATTGTCCGTACTTTTCTCTCTCCTGAGTAAGTTCTTGTTGCAGTCGACGGCAATCCTTTTCCTTCTTCCTGAGATCCGCAGCGGATACCTTCTTCTTCGTTTTCCCCACGGATGTAAAGTCCTTTGAATTCATAATTTCCTCAAGCTTATTGACTGCCTGTTGTTTCAAAAGTTGTTCCGTCTTTAATTTACTACTGAGCTTTTCAATCTCTTCGCCATACGACTGGGCTTTGCCAAGCTGTTCCTGTAACTCCTTGACTCTCTTATTCAGGTCTTCCTTGTCCTTCAGGTACTGTTCCAGGGACTTCTTCAGCTCTCCCTCGCTATCCTTTAATCTATTTATTATCTGTTCCTTGCTATTAAGCTCCTGATGATGTTTGGCTACGCTGTCTTTGTACTCGAGTTCCTTCATCGTTCTCTCCTTCTCCAAATCCGCTACCGTCTCCTCGGCTATCGACCTCGCCAAAGCTTCACTGTCACCCCGAGCTAACGAGAGCTGCAGTTGATGAACCAAAGAGCTGCGCTCTTCCTCCAATTCCTGATGAAGTCGTGTCTTCTCATCCAATTCCTCACGAAGTTCTAAAGATTGAGTTTTGTACAGAGTCTATGGAAAAAGAAGACATGTTTAAAAAATAACACCATAAAAATTATCCCCTTGGCCGTACAGAAATATTATGATTACCGAAAAGTAAGCTTCAGCCTCCAACTGCTCCTGAAGCTCCTTGGTTTGTAAGGAATCGACGCTCCTCTGAGTCTTCAAATGATGCAGTTCCTCCTCGATTTGTCTTTTGGCTTCTCGCAACTGAGCAACTTCGCCAACCAGCTGCTGCTCCCGAGCTCGCAATCTTCCAGCTTCGGAAGACTGCTGTGCCAATTCACTCTGGAGGACATTCCGTTTTTGCTGTTCCTGCTCTACCTGCCCCTGCAGAACCTTAACCTTCTCGACTTCCTGACGATGTTCACCTTCAAGTTTTTGAAGGCGTTGCTGGATCTGCCGATAGTCCACCGAGAGCATTGAAGTCTGACGTTCCTTTTCCTGGGCGAGGAGTTCAGCACGCTGTCTACTACTTTTCTCCTCGTTGAGTTTTGCTTGTAAAGCTATTTCAAGGAGACACAAGAGGAAAGACGCATCAGTTTTGCAACACGAGGAAGAATGATAGTGTAAATTTGCAATTCTAAGGTCAATTTACATACGTGGAACATTGTAGAATCGTTTATCACAAGCAGCCACAAAGTAATGATAATTTCAATTAGTCAATGAGTCGTGAATTTTAGGAAAAATAATGATCATCTAAATAAAAACGCCGAATGCGCCATATTCGATAAGAGAACATTTAAAAAATTACCTTGGAATATTTTCCCAGGTCGTCCTATGCAAGACGTGTAATGAGATAAGCGCATAGAATCTACTTCTAGGTATTTTGTGCAAATTTACAAAAAAATTTTTCAGTACACTACCTTTAACAACCTCCAGATTAGCCTCTTCCTTAGACAGTAATCTAGATCTTTCGGTTTCTTGATGAGCGACGACTTCCTGGTTGTACCTGGCTTGCGCAGCTTTCAGTTCAAGAGTCAAGCTAGCAGCTTCCTTCTCCAGGGCAGAAACTCGTTCATTCAATTGTCGATTGTCGATCGTCGCCTTTTCCTCGCGTTCACGACTGCGTTCCAATTCGTCGTGCAATGCAGAGAGTCTCGTCTCAAGTTCAGCCGTTAGGGAAGACGCTTGCGACCTGGAGCTTCTCTCTTTGGACAATTGTCCTTGGAGAGTAGCGACATCCTGCTGTAGAGAATCCCTCTGCGCCTGCAACTGAGCTCTGGCAACCTGAAGCTCGCTTGCCAATTGCTCTGCAGCTTGACGCGCTACAGTAATTTCCGTTGCTTGTTTGCGAAACCTTGTCGCCATTTCAGCCTCTCTCTCAAGTTTACTCTGCATCTCCTTTATCTGTTTCTCCAGGGTGACTATTCGCTCAGAGGTTTGATGTGAATTATTCGCGTCCCGCGCTCGTCTACTTTGTTCCTCCTCTAAGTTCTTTTTTAATTCAACAAGCGAATTCTCAACCTTTCTGCGACCCTCGGTTTCGGATTCTATACGACGTTGCGCTTCCTTGTAGTTATGCCTCAGGATGGTCAGTTCCTTATCAGCTCGTCCAGCCTCTTCCCGGAACTCGCTCTCCCTACGGGCCATAATCTCCAGCTGTGCGTTCAAGGCGCGATGTTTCGATTCCATCGTCTCCACCTGCCTTCTCTCGCGTTCCAGTAAACTCTCCAGTTGAGCGATCTTTGGGTCATCACTGGTTCCGTTCTTCAAATGATTCTCCAAACCGTCTACCGCTTCTCGACTAAATCCAGATGCTAGGAGTTGATAGTCTCCGGAGTAAGTGAATCCAATGAAAGGAAGATGGTTGCCTGAAAATGCTTTTGGCACTGGGAAACTTTCCTCAGGACCGTCCTCCTTGTCGACATCATCAAAGTTGCTAGTATCATCGTCACCGGTCAGTTCGGGTACTACTGGTGGCACACACTCTCTCAAATTATCAAAAGTCCACTGATCGTTCTCGAAGAAGGGATGACGTTTTATTTCATCAACACCATTTCTTCCCAGTCGTTTCGTTCGGTCAGTCAAAAAGCCATATATCAGACTCTTGGCCGAGTGGGAGATATCGACTTCCTGAGGAAAATGCAAGGAATTCCGATGATCCATAATCTTGGAATAGGTACCGACCAAGGAGTCTGCATAAAAGGGTGTATCGCCGACGAGCATCTCGTAGAGGACCACACCGACGGACCACCAGTCGCATTCACGCCCGTAGACACCTTCGCCTCCTTGAGACTGGAGAACTTCAGGTGATATGTAATCCGGTGTACCAACCGCGGTATCCGACCGAACTAGACCATCCTGTGAACATCAGATCCATTCGCTGCTTTACAACTATACCTTGTCCTAGAAACTCACGTGGAATGAGTATCTATCTGAGCGATTACTTACGGAATCCATTCTCATGCAGGTACCAAAATCAGCCAGTTTCAAGTGGCCGTGCTTATCTAGCAACATATTATCTGGTTTAACGTCTCTGTGAACGAAGCCCATAAGGTGTATCGCATCGAGTGCAAGCACAATTTCGGCACAGTAAAACTTTGCCCACTTCTCAGGCACATCGTAATTCGACATTAAATTTACCAGATCGCCACCTGGCATATAATCCATTACCATATAGAGGTATTTGTTATCTTGAAAGGCAAAATGAAGTTGCACTATCCATTGAGAATTAGCATGAGCCATTATATCACGTTCTTCCCAAAAAAATGCAGAATCCGAGCGTTTTATCTGGAAATAGAGAACGCGATAACGGAAACTTCTTTGGTTTTATGGATTTTTATTATCTGCTTACCATTTCAAATTTACTAAGCAATTTCATGGCATACACTTTTTGTGTTGACTTGTGCCTGACTAACTGTACCTCACCGAATGCTCCTCGACCTATAACTTTAATTAATGTAAAGTCATCTGTTCGCATACGCAATTTACAAACAGTTTGTGCCACTGTTTCATCTGCAATATAAATTTTAATTATTGATAATTTGATAATGTATCTTCAAAAATTAATAAACTAAGCAATTACGATATACTCACATCTGTTCATATATGCTTCAATATTCTTCATACGCTTTACACTAGGATATTCACAGTCTGCAGCCAGTGCCTGGACTGTGTCCAGTAAACAATCAATATTTGTTACACTGCGAGGATCTTTAATATGATCTTCTAATGCTCTGAGGCGTCTACGCCTATCCTCATCCCGCACAACTTCCATGTCTCAGGCTAGGAACTGCTACACTCTCACAAAAACAGAGTGTTTTCCAGCGCACACCGTTTCATATACATATTCCACTAATCTTCATTTCCCATTCCTACAACAGCAGAAAAGACATTGTTAACATATATATTAATACAGGTTTCGCGCTGCAGCATTCAAATGTCTATGGTTGCGCAAAACACCGTCAACGGACATTTACTGTGCAAGATAGTACGAACAAAAGCCAAGATTTGCTAGCGTAATATTCCCGTTTTTTACACTCAGTTTGTCTTTGTATTATTGAACTTTGGACGAAGATTCTTTTGCCCTCTCCCTTGGACAAAACACGATTTCCACATTGGTAAGATATTTAAGAAAAATATAACATAACCTGTAGAGTACATTTATAATGTTATTACATGAGGCGGACTGTCGTAACACCGCTTACTAGCTAGACTTCATATTTTTTTCCTATTACAAGAAAATTTTTCGTTTTAGATATCATTCCACTAAAATCACAAAACCTGTTATCGGTTCAACTTGTTTCCAAGAGATATTCAACCTTTCGTCACATTTGCTGGCGCTTATTCTCAAATTGACTAAAAAATGGAAACCAATTGGAACTTCATACTTCAAGAAAGTGAAACTCATTACTATTGTGTTATTTGTGGCTGCGATCTCTGTGGTAGTCAAAATGCAGAGGGCCACTTCAGAGCAAGGTGCCATGCACATACTACAGAGGTATATGGAGGCGATATCTCATACATTGGAGATAACCAATATTACTGCCAGTTATGTGACTGCTATATTTCTGGGTATCAAAATGTTAGAGCCCACTTGAGGGGACAATGGCATCAGGATTCCCTAAATGGATCAGATACCGAGACATCGGAAGACGACAGTGAGAACTATGTTGCATTACGTTCATGTGATTTCATTATTCGTTATAACGACTATAACATGTTCTACTGTTGTCTATGTAACCGCAATATTACTGACGAATGGAATATTTCCTTACATTTGTGGAGCCTGGAGCATATAACGGCTATAGGAATGTATGGTTATGACATTCTTGGTACTGGAAGTACTTGGTATTACTGCAGATTGTGTGATTGTTCGATTACTAGCTTTAGAAATATCTATGAACATGTAACAGGATGGCAACATAATAATTTTCTGTAGCAATCAGAATCAGATACCAACTGTTAATATGACGACTGATTAGAAAGTATCATAAGAAGCTCGATTACCTACTATGCATTAATGTTACAACTGTGATTATTCTGACCTCAGATACATTGATGATAATATATTAAAGATAAGAAGTTCACTATTTTTTTAAGAAAAATGTTTTAAAACATTAAGAGAATTTTAAGAAAGTTATTCCATAATATTCCATCTTTTGTACTTTATGTATTTGCCATGTTCCTGAAGTATTAAAAAAAGACGTGATACTAGCATTAAGTTTGATGAAGTTTAATACACTACGACTATTTCTGTATCAAATATAATATATGCAAAAAGTTTATACTGGTATATTCGTTTTTATATTACTTTAACGACTTGTGTATTAAATTTGTGGCTAGTAAATCATTTCAAATTCAATTAACTATTTGTCATTGCTTGGATTGGCTCATTGAATTAAAAAATATTTCTATCATGGGCTAAGCAAAACAAAAATATATTACAGTAATTGCAATTTGTTGGAAAATCCATTTCCCTGCAAGTAACATTTAATTCAATATAAAAACTCCTGAAAAATTGCATAGCCTGCCAATACTTTATAAACATAATAATGGTTCGAGCAAGTGATAAAACTGTAAGTGTCATCAAATAGCATACTGCTTTAAAGTACAAAGAGAAAATAATCCGTCAAATATGTAACTGTATGTATCTACAATTTTGTATAGTAGAATAATTTTTCTAAAACAAATGTCATTATTAGCCACAATTTGGAGTATTATCCAGAATATTATATTCTCTTTGAAACTGAATATATCGATTGTTGATATAGGAATAATTGAATCTAGCATTTTTGTAGTGATAAATGTACATTAGAATCAAAGTGAAAAAATATCATTTGCTGACAGATCAAGAATGACAGCGAGGCTATTGGAGCTAGGTGGGTCCCATGACGGCAGGTGCCCCTAAATGTCTGAACGCCTGAACTCTTGACAAAAGAATTCCTCTTTCAGAGATTCTTCTAGATCAAATGAACAGCGACGCTGAGATAATAAATTCTCACATACCTAATATCACCAAGAACAGTGTCCAGCACTCCGTTAATTTGATAAAAACACAAGGAAATACATTATTCCTCAGCGTGAAGGAGACTCGATTGGTTCGATTGCATACAGCTGAGCCGTGCATGCGCCATTTGGAAAATCTACGAACCTACCGCGGTCGTCAAACTGAAGAAAATTACGCGGAAGAATTAAATCATTGATACGAAAAAGTTGGAGCAAATTCGTTAAAAAAAAAGTTCTCCAAATAATCTTCGCGCAAATAATCAAAATTTCTAGACTCGTTATCGATACAATAAAATCTTTCAATAATGTTTCTTTACTCGCAGAATGAAAGCCCAAGGCGGTTAAACAGTGAAAAGTATCGCGATAGACGCGTAATATAATTAGAAAATTAATCCTGCGAATGCTTTATACTAACTCAATTATTAACTCACTGTCTAATTTTGCACTAAATTCTAAACATTTAATCCAAATAAGTAAATATCAATCAGTTTCTTTAAATAAAGAAAAACAGCATCAATGATTCCGGAAAAACGTATGAATTCATGCGTAGGTTGCGTCATATTAGCTGGTTTACATTTTACGTTACGTTAAATGTAAATCACAATGAGAAAGTCAAGCAGCCAGTTACAAAACACTTTGATTATAAAACAATAATGTACATACAACAATAATGATTGCGCTTGCAACTTGCGTTATCAATTTATATCATTAATTACAGGTACTGCTATAGTCCGTCACAACCTCTTGCACAGTTTAATATTTTCCACAAAAAAACTATGGTGAATACATAACAGCGGCTTTGCAGCTTTATCGGACTAGTTTTATCTGCTGAAAAACACAAGATAATTGGATCGCTCATTGGTCAAGTTTTTGAATTTTTCAACACGTACGACTAGTCCGATAAAGCTGCGAAGGCGCCGTAAGATGGCGAATAACGTTTCTCATGGCTGCTTGCACTGTGAGACGTCTGATCGTGTTTTGACACTTCGGTAATTCATTATTGGGAATTAACTAGCCAGAATAATTAAATATCACACCTGTGAACTTTTAGATTATAATTCATCGCAAGTGATCGTGTAATGTTCAGTGCGAAGTGCGTGATATTTCGTTGAATCTTCGTCTCCTGGTGTTGAGAAACTGTCAAGGGTGTCAGAGTTTTCACTTTTCAAATTACAATTTTCAGTTCAGTCTAGTTTTCTCGCGAGTGACTCAGCTACGAAAGCATATATTCAGCTCTTCTTCGAGGAATTTTACTCAACATCCTACGCATTTTTATCTGACATTGTTTATGTCGAGAGGCGTATTTATAGGGGGAGCACGAGGACTGCGAAAATAGGAGAACTCGTTGGAGAACTACGTCAGAGTTGCCACAGAAATAAACATTACACGTGTTTTCTGGCACAGACTCTAGTCATCTAATTTTCTCTAATTCTTTTGGTACATTGAAAGAAAACTCAGATACTCTGGATACCTCAGTGGAAATGGGCCTACCCTGTGACTGGCAGATCACCAAGCAAAGGGTTGCAGAGCGAGGACAATATTTATTGGAATCTGGACAATGGTCGGATTGCAAGTTCATTGTAGGCCAAGAACCACATCAGCAAGAGCTTCAAGGACACAAGCTATTCCTTGCTATGTCGAGTCCAGTGTTCGAGGCAATGTTCTTTGGTGGTATGGCAGAGAAGAATGACCCTATTCCAATACGTGATGTTCAACCTGAAGCATTCAAGGCTCTATTGCAATATATATACACAGATGATGTTGATCTTGGTTCATTTGAACTAGCCTGTGAGCTTTGTTACTGTGCTAAAAAGTACATGCTCCCACATCTTGTCGAAAAGTGTACTAAATTTTTATGGTGTGATCTGTCTCCCAAAAAAGCTTGCCGAGCATATGAGTTTGCAAAACTTTTTGAGGAACCTATCCTTATGGAAAAATGTCTACATATCATTTCAACAAAGACCAGCGAAGTACTGAGGGAACCTAGTTGGGAGGAAATTGAACTAACAACGCTGCTTATGATATTCGATCAGGATGCTTTAAAAATTTATTCTGAAATTGAATTATTTAATGCAGTAGAACGATGGGCTCGTGCTGAATGTATAAGAAAATGTTTAGATCCAACTGATCAAAAAGCTTTGAAGTCTGTCATCGGGAATGCTCTGGCAAAAATCAGATTTTTAACACTGACACCTCAGGAGTTTGCTGAAGGTCCTGCAAAATCACCTTTATTAACTCAAAGTGAAGCTTTCCATATTCTACTGAACATATCCTCCAGTGAAAAGACATTTATTATGCCAGAAGGATTCTCAAATCATATAATGCGTAGGTTAGAACCACCAATTTTTGAGAAAGCAATACCCCTTTGGAATACTTCTCCTATTCCATCCACTGATTCACGGTCTCTAAAAAAGTTTAGCTTCCGGTCAAACATACAGCAATTCCCTCTAAAAACAATATTTCAAGAACAGAAATATTACTGTCAAAGACCTGTTCTCCAATTGACAGACTGTCTCAATAGTAGTGTCCTGGATTGTTCTGTAACATTCAGTGTAAACAAGGATATCGATATAATTGGTGTTGTAGTACCAGCCCAAGTGTGTTCAATGGTAAGACACCTTTTTTTTTTATTATTAAACAGATTTACTTTCCTTTTGTTCTCTTTGTACCTGCTTAGAATAGATATTTTGTCACAGGCACGTACTTCCTCGAGTATATTTTCGCATAATACACCAGGCAGTAGCACGTATACAGAAGTTCTTTATGCTCATCTCCTAGACCCTGATGGTTGTCGATTGACTTATACTCACTTCACAACAAAAGCTACTCCCGGATCCCTGGTGGAAATTACATTCAACATGAGTATAAAAATTCAGCAAGGAAAGGTAATCAATTCAGTCTTATAAAAATAGCAAATATCATGCTTAAGAGCAGTGTTAATAATGGCTAATTTCTGCTTGCACAGATTTACCGAGTAGGTGTAGCCTTCAATAAAACTGGTGTCTACCCTATGGCAGCTTGCCCTGTCCAAGTACACTCCAATTCAGTTACGTTCTCCTTTGGTGTTGGAAATCCAGAAAATAATACTCGGGATGGTCTAATTCGATCGATTGTCTTCTTCGATCGATACAATTAGGAACTTCAATTCTGAGTCTATCAAAGTGACGAATATTAATTAGTCACTTAAATGTTGTGATACAAAAGGGGGATCTCTCTGGTTTGGTCGTGTACCAACTGTGAACGCAATTTTCATAAAAAAAGTATGACTATAAAACCGAATTAACGGTTACCATTTTTACAGTTTTACAGACATTTCTCAATGCAAGAACTTTCAATATTCAGATGTAATTGTTAGATCAAAATTTTTCTGACGCGGACATGACTCTGACGTTACGTTTCTCTCTTTGACTAAAAATGACTTTTAATTTTAATTCTACATCATCGCCAAATTTGAACATGTACGATACCACATTCATTCATTTTTGGCAAAAATATTCATTGTTCACTCTTATAGTAATTTCGTGCTAAGCATATATTAAATTAGCTTTTCATTCGTGCCAAATTTTATGATTTACCCATCGTCTGGTGTCAATTTTAATAATACAATTCAAAGATGTTCTATCTACAAAGAAGCAAAAAGCGGATTAACATTACCGATTAAATTTTTATTAAAAAAAAAATTATATTAGCCTATAATACTTCGTTGCCCGACATTAATGATTGCGTGATTATTGTTCATTCAAATATTTTCAAAAAATATTAAAAACAATTTTAATTATTGTACCGAGCTGCGCTTTTCAGTCAAAAAGACTCAAAAATATTTGGGTACTATTTCACGTCCTGTAGAGCAAGAGCGAATCCGTTTAATTGTTCGTGAGCTCTCACAGCAAATTATTATTTATTATATAATACTAATTTTACTAACGATAAGACAGACGCTCTGTTTATTATTCTTGTTCGAAAGAATTTTTACATCACACTATAAATACTAACACCGTATCATTCACAATATGATAATAAAATTCATGTACTAGATGCGGATCGATAAATTATCCAAATAAACTATAAATATCCAAATATTTTATACATAGCGTATCCCGTGTGCATGTTTCTAGAATCACGCTGATGTTTTTTAAGCTATTAAAAAATATAAAATCATCAAAAAAAATAAAGATATTGTTACAAGAATTTGAATCAATGTTCCTCGAATAAATGTATAGTCCTACATTTCCCAGGATTCTTGTCAATGATAAACCTTAATAATGAAAAGCTCTTTAGATTGTCTACGTTATTATACAACAAATCAAAAAAATTTTTTGATAATATCAATGCATCACTTAAAATATAAGACGAAATTTCGTGTAGACCCACTAGAAAAATAGATATTTCATGGAAATTTCATAACACTGTATTCCATAGAATTTACCTTATGTCTATTAATCTCACGTTTACCAGCGTTACTCTTATCTAATTAATATACTGATTTGTGTGCGCAACGTATCAATGATACGTTTAAGTTTAATTTTTCTTCGAATCAAATGACTCATTGTTCAATGGCTACGTCGTTAAATTATCGTCGTCCTTTACGTTTTGTGTATTATAAAGTCCCAGGTATCAGACCATCTCAACTTCAAAACCTCTGTGGCGCTCAGTGGAGTCATGCCGTAGCTAAGCACAGCGAACTTACGAAATACATAAATAATTAAAGCTATCCAAACAACGATAGCCATTTTAAAGAAGGATAGTAAGACGTTCCAACGATATCGTGTTCTGAAAAGAGAAAATGATAAATTTTATATTAACCTGTTCCATTCATGAAAATCAAGACGACTATTTTCTTTTTGGCTCACGCTATCACGTAGTGTAGATGGTCTACAGTAGCGGCTGTTAGAAGAACTTTGAATATAAAAGCCGGTAAATAATGATGGAGAAATAATGTCCTCTCCACAAAGAGGAATGGCAAGAAATGCAGTAAGTATCCTGTCAGTAGAACTTCCCCAATAGTTACGAATCTGTGCCACTCTTCAGCCGAAATATCGAAGCACATTCTTCTTCGTCTCATTAAATAAAATATCAAAAGTGATAAGTACAATAATACAGCCACTGTACCAGAATACCATATAACGATATTACCAAGTAGATGAACTTGTGCCTGAAAGCAAAGACCAATTTAATTCCAGTCTATCGAATACCACAGATAATTTGTTATAATAAATAATAAATTACTCACGTTACTGTGACTGGAAACCCAGTAGGCAATTCCTCTAGCCATCAATGGCCACTCTAATGGTCCACTTGAGTACATATGACTATTCTGACTTTCCTGCCCACCAAAGAACATTTTCATTTGCAACTCAACAAACTTATCCCAAAAGTTAAGAGTAGTGGCCTGCAGCGGAATCATTTCTGCATTTATCAATTCTCTTTCTCTTTGCTTTTGGTCGTCACTCTTGGTATATCTGTGCTCCTCGACATTCCAAACAGCATTGGCTTGTTCTATCAATCGATCAGCAACTACTTCGTGCTGGTTAAAGCCCCAATCAGACAACTGTCTGCCACTGAACTTTAGGGCGTATTCAGTGTTCACGTGGATAAGACGAACTTGACTCTGAATTGCATGCCAAACGTCACCTGACTGTTCCCGATTGACTATGTCGACTCTCCAGAGATTTTGTGCTGACATAGAGACATTGTAATCAATGTAGCAAGAGACTTCCTGGCTCTGTGGTGTCATTGGTGCAGCAACATCATGGGAATTTAAAGCACGGCTAGTTATTCCGTGCACCAGCTGTATGACTTCGCCGTGCTTTATTGGCTTACTTGGTTTGGTTACTACCAAATCGTTAGCGTCAGGCCTCTTGACGATCCACCAATTGTTTACGTCCTTGAAGGAGTAACACGTTACTTGCTGTTGGTGCGAACTTCCTCGACCATCTGGATATCTCAATGGATATACGTGATTGTGACTGTGCAACCAGCAAGCTCTGCCGTAGGTATGTCTCAGTGTAATCTGAGAACCATGGGTTACTTCCAGAGGCTGTCCTTTAGTAATACTGGCCAGACCACCGTCTAAACTTGCTTGGAAAGCACTTGTCATGACAGCATCGTGAGGTCCAGCTTTTGTGAGTATTGATAAATGTATGTAAAATACTCCCAGGTAGACACTGGCTATGGTTATAAAGAGGACTATTGCTCTGGCGAATAAATGCGCATAAAGGATGCTACCTGTTAGATACTTTTTGGGTATCAAACTCCAGTAATCTCGGGCGATCAGCCCTAATGCGAGAACTAATGAATAGAAGCCAACGTATTTGACACTGAAAATAAGTGGTTAACTTGTTAGATAATGTAAACTTATAATTCACAGACAGAAGAAAATAAATTTACCATAGTGCACATGTTAAATTAATGCCTGCAAGAAATAGCCATATCCACCAGGAAAGGAGTTCTGGTCTGTCCATGATTTTCCGGAACTTCATGACACATAGTAATCCAAATAAGGAAAACTGAATTAATATACTCTCCATGAGAATGAATCTTGATTGTGTTAGGAATGCATTGTCTGCGACAAAATAATGAGACGTGACTTCTACATGACAGCTATTTTGAGGCTCAGGGATCGTAGTCTTGTAGACGTACCAAAGAGTAACATGAGTCCTGCAATGGCAGCACTCCATGGTTTCAATCCAAGTTCTAATGCTAAATGATAAGCAGTAGGTATTGCAAGGCTACCACATAGTGCTGGTACTAATCTCAATGCAAATAATGGTACTGATTCTGGATACAGACTTCCTATTCTGTCAAATTTATATTGGCCATCAAATCCAGCTAAATATGCAGCTGCAGATACAAGCTGCTTTCCCAATGGTGGATGAGAATCAAAGAAAAACGTTCTCTTCATATACAACCCCACATATTTACCATAATGCAATTCGTCAAATCTGTATAAAAGTTAAATAATAGTTATGTCTTTGAAAGCTCTTTAAAAAATAGAAAGTTGATTACATACACTATACTGCGAGGTTCCTCTAGTCTGTACAAACGAGTAGCAAGTCCTGCAAATAATAAAACCACTGCCACCAGGTCAACTTCTAGATTTATTTTAATTCTTATAGGAGGTGTATTGTCAAGTGAAACCTCCTTCCGAATTTCTTTCTCAATTGATACCTCGGAAACAGATTCTCCATCACCCTGTTTGCAAAAACAGTACATGTACTCCAGAATCCTTTAGTGCATCCTTTAAAGTAACCAATATATGTATATGGATATATGAAATTCAATAAAAAATGATCCAGTTTACCTCATCTCGTAGCAATTCTTCCAGACATTCTGTGGTAATCTTATCGTAATCAAACTTGGCGCTTTGTTTAAGTCGCACCGTTTGCTTATTATCAGCCGTCTTTGTCTTCCTTCGACGTACTTCCATTGTGCTGGTCTCGAGGCTTTATAAGAAAGCTGGAGATCACTGGAGATCACTGGAGAATATAGCGTAAGTATACGATCGTATTCAGTAAGTGTCAAAAGGACATTTTTCGTTTATAACTCTGTAAGCCACATTGTTCTAAGGATGTGGTAATTGAATACAAGACGATCACAGGATGAATTGTAAAATTATAAGCTCTTTAAACCCTATAAAACGACTACCTGCCTACAGTCCCTAGTTAATACAACCAGGAACCAGGTTAACGTTATAACGGTACTGTTCCCGGCGATCTACCAACATATATGTATATATACATTCAGTACAGGAGTCTCTTTTCTCTTTTACATTTCTCCTGATCTCTCCTTACTGGAACCGCTAGGTAGCCTCTATGTGATGAAGATTGTTGCATATAACTCTTGCCACTGAGATTGGAATAGGATTGTTATGATACGTGAATGAGTGTTTTGTTTCTGTACTTTATTCAGAAGCTGCTATTGTATCTTGTTAAATGATCAATTATTGACATTAGAGTAAAACTGCATAGTGAAAGTAATAAGAATTTGAGTTGGTTTAGGTTAGATGACATGATAAAGATGAGTAAATTCAATCGAACATATTGACTACATACCTACTTAATACAATTCTTGTTTCTTACAGAATCAAGCTTGATCAAAATTCTATAAAATGGATGAGAGAAAGACCGAATGTCCTGTATGCTCCAAAGAATTTACTACCTCAATAATTGAAGCACATGTTGAAAAATGTTTGTTCCTGAATGAATCGTCACAAAGTGAATCTACAGGAGGATTGAAACGATCAAGTCCATCAGTTAAATCACAGCAAATAAGATCAGGAAACTCTAGGTCTGCAAGCAAGAGAGCTAAGCATCGAATTGTTAAGACATTAAATGCAGATAAGCCAAATGTATCATCTGCTACTTCTGTCTCTATCACAGAAAACAGTGGACAAGCATCAAATAACATATCTAAAGAGAACAATGTATATTTATTAGTGTAAAGCTAGACTTATATGATCGATAGAGGAATATAAATATCACTGTCATGATTAGGTGAATCCTGAGAAGAAGATACCAGTCAAGCACAATCATGTTCCTCTTGCAGAACGGATGAGACCTACGTCTTTGCTAGGGTATATTGGACAGGAACATGTACTTGGACCAAATGCAGTTTTATCTCAATTATTAGAAAAGACAGAAATCCCAAACATTATACTTTGGGGTCCACCTGGTTGTGGAAAGGTATAGCACACAAATAGAATAGTTTTGATATGTATTTTGCTCTTCATCTAGGCTGTTTTTGCAGACATCCCTGGCTAGTGTCATAGCGCATATTTGCAAGCAGGCACCTGCAAGTAACTTGAGGTATGTCAAACTCTCAGCTGCTATGTCAGGTGTTAATGACGTTAAAGAAGCTGTAAATGTTGCTTCGAATGAATTAAAATTTGGGCGACGAACTATTATGTTCATGGACGAGATACACCGTTTCAATAAGCTTCAGCAAGATATTTTTCTGCCACATGTTGAGTCCGGTACTCTCACACTTATTGGAGCGACTACGGAAAATCCTTCCTTCTCTTTAAATTCTGCTCTACTCAGTCGGTGTCGTGTCATTGTTCTGGAAAAGCTTACAGCTATGAACTTAATTATAATTCTACGACGTGCTGTCCAATCACTAGGAGGCAACATTTATAAGTATGTTCCGTCTGACTCATCTGGTGAGACCAGGATGCCTAAGCCGAAAGTCGTGGATGGAGAATCCGAAGTCCCGGAAATTCCTAAATTTCACATAGACGAGGAAACGATTCAATGGCTAGCGGAGACGTGCGATGGAGATGCTCGAATAGCTCTAGGAGGATTAGAATTAGCTGTACAATCGAAAGCACCGAGTGAGGATAAATTCCTGGAGGAAGGACCTGGATTAATTACATTGGATGACATTAGAGATAGCCTTAAAAAGACACACATGCTCTACGACAAAAAGGGTGAACAGCATTACGACATGATTTCCGCTCTTCACAAATCTGTAAGGGCCAGTGACGAGAATGCTTCACTTTATTGGCTTACAAGAATGATGTCTGGTGGTGAGGATCCTGTTTACATCGCAAGAAGATTAATCAGAATGGCATGTGAAGATATTGGACTGGAAGATACAAAAGCATTAGGTTTGTGAAATTGGACAATGAATTAGTCACTTTGAAATATAAGCTAAGAAAATGAATAATGATCAAATAGGTGTGGCGATAGACACCATGCATGGTTGCAAAATGCTTGGGATGCCAGAATGTGACGTACTCTTGGCACAGTGTGTTACTTATATGGCGAGAGCACCAAAATCTCGTCTAATGGAAGATGCTCTTAGAACAGCACAAAAAGTAGTCGCCAATCATAAAGGTCCACAGCCAGCAGTACCATTACATTTAAGAAACGCACCGACGAAACTCATGAGCCAACTTGGTAAATAATTCCTTTCAGTTCCATCTGATACTATACTTGGTTACATATTTTTATTAACTTTTTATTTGTCAGGATATAGTAAAGGGTACAACATGCTACATAAAGATGAGTCTGGCTTGAATTATTTGCCAGAAGGATTAGAGGATTTGGATTTTTTTCAAGAAGAAACTTCCTTCTGATCAGTGATATATTGAAAGAATATGTGACAGCTAAATATTTATCGTATATGTATATTTAAGAGAGTATGAAAAAGTAAATATATTCATATTTTTATAAAATGAACCAATTATTTGTAAGACCCAGAGACAGTGGTTCCAAATTCCACTTCTAACTATTACCTATCATGATTCCTGCTTTCTAAGTTTAATGTATACACTTGTTAATATAATTCATCACGTTATATATTATAGTGTATAATATACGTCGTAAAATGGAAGATTGAAAAAATTATCGTATTTACATCAACATAATATAAATTTATTTACAAAAATTACAATAAATAATGTAAATACACTGATAGGCGAACGATACGTTGTCCACTCGCTATTGCTTAGGCTATTTTTAATACATGATATCTAAATGGCAGCGTAATGTCAATTGTTTACCTTATAAATCGATTGTTACATGTTATTAGCAAACTGATTCCATTTTCTATTGTGTAACTGGGAAGATACTAGAATGCTAAAATTAATACATATTTGGCATTCATAGAACAATTGCGATCCATACAATTGGATTTTTTACATTTCTTCTTACGGCTAATGATTCTTATTCTTTTCTTTCAAGAATCTTCGATTAGCTAATACAATGATATAATTGAATAATTCATCACAATCTTTGCATTTCTCCAAAGAATTCTTACCTGCTAATAAATATCCGTTGTAAGTATATAAAATTAGTATAGTTAGATTGGCATATAAGGCTTTCCTTTAACAGAACATTCACTTTAAATTAAATATAATAAAACCAAAAAAGTTCCTACATCAGATACTTCATCGGTCCATGCACATGTAAACGAGGTTACAATCAAAGTTATCTTATCACACAATTAATTGGGTATTAATTATCGCCAGGGAACACTAGATTAAATACTAACAGAAAAATAGAGAGAGCAAATGGCATCTATAATGTGGAATAAGCATCGTGACCCATCAGCTATTATCACATTCTTCATCAGTAAACTATAAAACATTACCTTTTGAATCATTCAACAAATGAAGAATCATTGAGCAAATGTAAGTAATGTAACGAACATAAAATATCATGGGATGACGAAATATCCCTTACTTTTTCCTTCTGTCACAGTCAGTAGTCTTTTGAATTATGAGTTTGTTCCGCTGTCTGGTGACTTTAGTAGTAGGTCGGGTATTGTGTGTAATTTGTTTGAGTCCTTGTTGAGGTATTCTAGCAGGACTAGTAGTCCTAGGTGCTATAGGTCCTTTCAGTAACGCTTCAACATCAGCCAGTCTTCTACGCAGTGTACGATTCTCTCTTTTGTACTTTGCCAGGTCTGAATCTTTATCTAAACGTTCATGACCTGAGCTACTAGTCTCCTCTGCAAAGTGTCTGAACATTAAATGTAGTTTTTCTTCATGTTCTCTCTGCATTAGCACTATTCTACGTTCAGCCTCCAACTTAGTCTGCTTCAAGGCATTGGATAGAGCCTGGATGTGCCATTCCTGTGTCTCAACATGTGCCTCTAGTTCAGTCGTTTGGATCTCTAGGTTTTTTGAGCTCTCCTTCAGGTCAATTACCTTCAGGAAGTATTTGTAAAACAAAGTTCTCATTTCGCCATCTGATAGTTTTGCTAACCTCTCCATCAGCATCCTCTCACCCTTTTCACGTTTGGCTTGGTTCTCGTCAAATCCTTTGCGACCGCAGATCATTTCATTTTTATGTTCGATCATCGCATCTATTGCCTCAATTGTTTCACCGCACTCTAGGAGTTTACGTTCCTCCACGGTCGTTAGAGTACGTTCCTTCTGGAACTTTTCATCCAGGTCGCACTTCTCGTCGACTAAACAGTCTCTGGTCCTTCTAAGATTCCTAATTTCATGTCGCAACGCTTCTTTCTCATCTGTGTCAGCAGTTCTCTCCAGATCCATTGATTTTTCTTTGAGAACATGGTCCAGATGTGAGATTCTAGCACTTACTTCTAGAAGATTCTTCTTCTTCTCGCAGGAGTCACTTCGAGACTTCATATTGTTTCTCTCGTCCTCACTTTCTGACTGCATTTCCTTTAGCTTTGATGCTGTTAGGTTGTACTTTTCCTCCAGGTCACGTATCTTCCTCTGGTCTTCTGCTAGTTCCTCTTCTAGCTGCTTTTTTCTCTCTTCCTCTTTTTTCAGTTGGCGTTTCAACTTTTCCATCTGTTTCTTCGAAGAGTTCAGAGAACTCTCCAGCTCCAAGACCTTCTTTGCAGAGTCCCCTGCTATCTGCTTTATCATCTCAATGTCCATCAGTCTCTTCTCATAGTGAATTGCCATGTTCTTATATAATTCTATTTCTTTTCTATGGGTTGATTTTTCATCAGAGTCCTTGTATAATGATGCATTTTCCGCTTGAGCTAATTGAGTCCTGGTATTGTAGTACTCCTCCTCAAGTTTACTTCGTTTACGTTGAAAACGTTGTTTGGCACTAGCTCGAGCATCAGAGTTTTTAATCATATCTGCTATGAAGCGCTCTTTTATGTGGATCGTTGTTTGGAGTTCTTCTATTCTCTTATGAGCACCTTCTAACTCGGATTGAATCTTCTTCACTTGGGTTTGTTTTGCCTCGTTATTTAGGGCTAGGGTTTTCAAAGTTTTTATTGGTTCTGGAACTTCATCAGTCTTGAGAGCATCAATCAATAAATCTGGGGAATTGTCTTTCTTTGCAGAACATTCTTTGGTTACTCTTAATAAGTCATTTTCTTGACTCTCCGGAATCTTTGATTCGCATTCTGGAGACTTTTCTAGACTCTGTTCCTGATAAGGCTTTAAACCGTTAAATGCTAGTACACCATTACACATGTCAGAACCAGGAAGCATTGAATTCCTTCTGGAATTAGGATTTCTGGTAGGAACAGGTCTTACAATATGCACAAAATCTTCAGTAGTAATTTCAGATTGGGATGGTATTATGGTTACTCGAGTACCACGAAATTCATCTTTACGTGAGTCGACGATTTTATCAGTTTCTTCCTTAAATTTTCTCATACATTCATCTAACTTATCTAAGAAATCTGGATTCTCTGAACCAACATCACTTTCTTCCTCCTCCTCTTCATCAGAAACTTCACTGTCTGATACCGAACACTCTGACTCATTATGGAATTCTGTTCTATGTCCAGACTCATCTGTTTTCTCATCAGTCTCTGTAACTTCTTCAATACGTTCCAAGGAACGCCTGGTGTTCTCTGCAATCCCATGTAGACTAGCAGTTTCGTCACTAGCAATGCATTCTACATATTCTTGTTCCATGCATAGCCACTGTTCGATTAAATCCTGTTCTGAATGTGGTAACTTATTGCTAACAACAAGTTTCTTAAATAGTCCTTCTGCATTAGAGACAAGCTTAAATAACTGTTTTGCTGCAAATTCATAACGAAAGCACAAATCTGCACTATAGCTATGCTCCCCAGAAGTTGCAGAGGTTGTAGTATCATGTGTTTCATCACCAGTTTGCTCACTCTCTTCCTCAGGAGGTTCTGCATGATGACGGAAAGCAGTTTCATCTATGTAGTTCCCATAACAACGATTGTCAAGCCCATTTGGGTGGATCCATAAGCCATAGTGCATCATGGCTGGCTGCATAAAACTGTTTTCCTTTATTGACTTTTACATTCTTAGCTCCTGCAATACAAAAATTGTACCCAGTACATTAATAATCAGGTTATGTTATGTTCTGTTCCATTACAAAGCTAATTAACATGTCACAGAATCTGCTCTCTCTAAACAATCTGATTCAAGCAAGTATTAAGTTCATTAGGATACTAAAACCATAATCCGTGTAATCTGTTAACAATGTATCATAAATTGAAGATATGTCAAATTATAAAATATCAACCACGCAACATCCACCTATTTCACAGAAGACTCTGGATGCTTCATAATATCAAGATTATTATTTATCAATTGAATTTTCTCAACACTCACTACGTCCACATAAATGTCAATCTCCAAAATTCCGACCTCGTCACGTCTTCATAATTAGTGAAAAGAAAATTTGCTAAAACTGCAGAATACGATTCCTTATTGAAGGACTACATGTAAAACAAAAGCTAAAAACTCACAGCTAACCTGAAGAAGGAATCGCATTCTGCAGTTTAGTCGAAAATTTGAAAAATCTACTTAAAATTTATTATCTATTATGCACGTACTCCAATAATTAAATAGAAACTTTAACTCTCGTTTCTAAACGTCTTGAGAATCTGCCGACATCTTTGACGGTGTGAGCATCGACCTAAACTTCATCATACTTCGTACTACGTAATTACATATTGCAATGCGCCTCACGTTTGGCTGGAAGTGAAATGAACACTTGAAAAATCATTCAGGAATTCGAGAAAATGTTCTTGAAGGTCTTTCACGTGCTATTGTAAAACAGTATTATACGATATGTTAATCCTATTAATCTGCGTTTAGTCTAGACTACAAACGTCACTCCGTCTCCTATAATCTATCCACGTGAACTCTCAATATGTAGTCATATTTAGTTCTAATCTATCGTATGTTAATCAATATACTTTCGGGATAGATAAGAAAGTCGTTTTTTATCTCCATCCAGATTGCGGTAAAAGGATTAAATAATTATCTGGTTTTCGTCTAGACAAAGTTAAAAATATATATATGCTCTAGAATGACCAAATTACCTGATTTTTTGTAGTTACAATTTCTTGTTATCCGAAAGTATTCGATAAGTATAATTTTTAGTGTAAAACAATCAGTGTACGATAATATATTATGACTCATAGAAGTTTGCTCATTAGTGTATGTACACTTTTGGTTATTTTTGTTCAATTATATACATATAGATTGACTTACGGAAGTCACGTTATTACGCGGACTCGATAACGAAATTATGAAAGTTAGATAATTATAAAAACTGGTATGTATAGTTTGCCCATAAATAAATCGTATTCGAAAAGGGTCATTGTTTTATAATTTTTGAGGTAAAAGAGTCCCCTCGTGTACATTTTACACGTGGATGGATTATATCTCTTCAGAATACTTGCTTGTATTTTTTTGCATTCCTTTGGAATAAGTTGCCATTTACAGAGAGTTATCACCTTGAAGAAATAATAGTATTGAATCATTAATAATGACTGCTAAAATGCTATCTATACAACTTTTTAATATATTTCGTTTTGGTTTTCATGAAAAACGCTCACAGACGGTATCGAAACTATTTTCGAAAAAAACAATCAATAGGAAGATTGTTGAGCAGTGATGTAAATCAGATCGATTTCTTTGATCGCATAAAAAACATCTCCATCACGTCATGGAGCCTGCAATTAGAATTTTAATTGAAAGTAGCAGTGTTTATCAGAACTCAGAACCTGATTGTGAAGTCGATAGATTTATGCATTATTAGGTGATTTTTAACTCCAGAAGTCCCGTTGCCAGTTTTGTCTTTTACTTCTCTTCTCTCACGTACTGATACTCTCCTTATCACTAGGTTTATTTTAGCAGAAATCAAACGGCACTTACATTAAGTCACTATTATAAAGTGCTCACAAGTCCCCGCTGTTATTCCTACCCATCCCACATCCATAGCACAGCCTTGGACACTTTTCTTCTTTTCCCTGGTCACCACTGGTCACGATCAGTTCAGTTGAGTTCGGTCTTCAGATTGGTTGGACGCCGCTGAATACGACTTTCTCTTTGGCACTTACAAATATTCAGCTGGCTTTTGTTACTTTTCAATCTTAAATATTCTGTAGCTGATTATTGGTTGTATATTATTTGTCCAGAGAGAAAAAATTACATAGAGTGATTTGTGTGTAGCATATTATTTTTCTGTATCTTATATCCTGTATAACCTATAATCGAAGGACAGGAGTGATTGACATTATTGGAGTTGGATTTTGACGTTTCATCAGTGTCAGGTAAATCTATTAATTTTATTTTATAAATGCTTGTCATTTTCTTGTGTTTGAATGATATTCATGTTCTAAGATTTTCGACCTTGTTATTTGTATTAATGTTTTCCTAATCTTGTATTTAGCAATTATGGTATTTAATTTTTATTATTGTGACAGTTGTGTGTCCTTCGTTAGTTTTGAAACAAAAATGCTAGGCGTTTTTGCAGTATGGTACATGCTTAAAAATTGTTTAGTATGATAACCTCCTTGTATATATGGTCAAGACTAACTGATATTTCTTAGAAAAGAAGTAGTCCTGATATCTATTTTTGAGAATTGAAAATCATGCGATAACATTCATAACATACATAATTGATCGACATTTCAGTTAACTCTTATGATTATGATACTCATTTGCATATTGAGATTTATATACTGACTTTCTGTAGGTTTAATTTGCAATATTATTCCTTAGATTGTTTACTTGCCTGTCAGACAGAAGTGCTAGTAGAATTTATATTACAAAAAACAGTAATTCATATCTGAATAGATGCTATCTAGAAATTTGGTATAAATAATAAGTAAAATATTTAATTGGTAGGCAATGAAATCAAATCAGAGAATTCTATAAAAGTTGTATAATGCTGTGTGTCTAACACCATACAGTTACTCAATAACCACTAACTTTCTATTCCCATAATGAGCACATGCTTCCTATTGGCGATTATGCCTAGATTGAATAGGAAGCAAAAGATTGAATAGAACAATCAATTCCTTTAAACACGTTTCATGATAAGGAACTATCAGTGACATTTAAATCATCTTGATAACAGCAGCTCTAGACATATGTCTGATATTCGCTCATTACGTCTTCACGGCATCTTACGGGTACGATTTATCGCGTGAAAATACGCATAGGGGACACGTAACAGTGACTCATAGAGAACGTGAATGCCGATCGAAAACTCGAATTTCACGCATAGTACGTCAGTCGTCAACCTTTAAGAACCAAATATGAGTCACTGATAGCTTATAAAAGCCCTGTCTTAAGATCATAATTAACATTTACAATTAATTAAAGAATCTTCAGCTATATTAAACTATTACAGATAAATAATAATATGTTTTATCCTTCATAGAATAGAAATGGAAAAAGATCACGGTCTTCCTGGGGGAAGCAATGCTCCCAGTGCTCCAACGCCATCAGCTCCACCATCCTATGAAGAAGCCATGGCACAGTCCAGTGTCCCAGTAGCACCTGTGCATGGTGCACCTTATCCTGTAGGATCCATAAACATGCCAATGCCTCGTAAGTCCCATTTTACAATCATTGTCAACAAGTATTCATCTGTTAAATATACCCTGTGTACCATGATGAGTATCAAAAGCATGAACTCTCCAATGAATAATAATACTATCTTTACGCAGAGAATCAAAGACAATCCCAGCTTCATCCTCATCCACAACAAGGAGCAACATTGATGCCAGCACCACCAAAATTCACACCACAACTCTGCAGATTCCCACAGACAGTTACTGGACAACAAAATTTTCCACAGCCTCCAACAGAAGCTCGCAGAGCTCATACGATGACGTATGTGATGGGTCCACATCCTATGAAAATGACGTGCCCAACTTGTTTTGCTGATATCAAAACAACAACAGTTTCTGATCATCAGCCCAGTGCACATATATGCTGCATCGTTCTCTGTCTCATTGGGTAATTTTCAATCTTTTTCAAATACATAATTTTCATTCGAGCGACAAGATTTTCATAAAACGTTTCTATTGCAGATGCTGCCTGTGTTCCTGCTTGCCCTACTGTATGAGCGCATTCATGAGCGTTCATCACTTCTGTCCTAATTGCAAAACCTACATTGCCACATGGAAGGGTTGATTCGGCGTCCTCTCATTATAAAAAGAGCCATTATTGGCATATTGATTAAGTTCCAGTGAGTCGAGGGTGCGGAGTTCCTCGACGATAGTTTTGCTTTTATACACGAGATAAAATAGCAAGGAAGAAACAAAAAAGTTAATTTCATACAAACTCGCTGGCTGTGCGTAACAATGGCGTCTCTCGTATTTTTCCTTCATAGGGACGTTTAGTTTAGATTTATGTATCAGCGCGTGACAGTGATGAAAAACACTGTAAAAACAAGGAAAAGCAAAGCCAAGGATACTTAGCAGCATAAAATTGTACGAAAACAAGCATAATGGCTATTGTGACATTCCATTGCTGTACAGCAGTATCTCATCAACGTATCTCATAATTCCGCAAGATTTTCGATGCAAAACCTTTTTTTTTCATTAGAACTGATAAAAACATGAAAAGGTAATATGAAAGATATCGAAGGAGCGATAACGGTTTAAGAATTTAATCACTTCCGCGAGAAGATATTTCGACTTAACCCACGACTGACTTAACATTCGTGCAGTTTTTTTCTTTTATATTACTTTTTATTTTCAATACGCTCATGACGTCAGGACAGAAAGACAAGATAATCATATATCTTACCCGTCCCTGGCCTTTCTTGATACGCTCATCTGGCATTTTATTATACATATATACACCGTGGGACATACCTACGACCCATCGTTCAGCTAGCGATTTCTCGTTATTGTAAATAATGAGAAACAAATTATCCTAGATATTTATCATACTAGTAAACACGATAACGATAATGGTAATAATAATATCGTCATCCTAATTAATATTACTATACTGTATTGTGTATTTGCGAACGGATGACTAGATTATTAACCCAGGAATGGTCGTGTGATTTTGTTCTCCGTTTGAAAAGCATTGACTTGGGGTGCCTTGGACACCGCACGCGTCCAATCACGGGTTAGTATGGGATTCTCGAATGAGTGTGAGATGATGTGCTGATAATTTTTAGATATCAGGCTATTCTTAGCTACACACACATATATATATATATACATGTATGTATGTACTCATTGAGTAACAGGACCAGAGAATGAGATAGAGAGAGAGTCTGTGCTGTGTATGAGAGAGATAGTAATTGGTGCTAATTGATTAATTGTTCTCGATTATCGCCGATGATAAATTAATAATTGATCATTTTGATCATTTGTATTAGTATATATGCAATTAAAGGATTTTATATACATATATATATGCGAGTATTAGCGCGATGTACTACATCAGACTGCAATAAATATGTAATTATTCGGTTCCCGTATTACGGTTATCTTCTGCTTTATTAGTGATTCAAATGGCTATCATTTTACACCCTCGATTGTTTGTTCCGGTATAAGAAGAAAAATTGAATGGATAAAAACATTTTTAACTGTATTAACGTTTCGTTTCTTCACTGACAATTCTAAATTATGCTATAATAATGTATCAGCGTATAACCGATTATCCTAGTGTCCTAAGAAACTTTGATTTGGTGGTAGAAATTGTTGTTGAGCTACGGAGGAGAGTTCCATGTCTATGGGCTTGGTGTCGTCGTAGAGAGCTGGTGCTTCGCAGAGGATTGTGAAGGTGCCAACGATCGAGGCTATTGTGAAGATCCAGAGGAAGAGACGGTCCAGTACCATAGCTACGAAGCCCCAGTCTTGATCTTCCTGATGACAAAACGATATTTATGAAGCATATTCCTGGACTAAGGTCATCCTAAGACTCCACTGTAGAAATGGGACACATCCTTGACGACTGTACGTACCGCATTGAATTCATCTTGTCGCTGAATGTGATGCTGGATAAACATTACATTGTGAAGAGCCTTCTCTAATTCGAAGGGATATTTTTTCTTAGGCGTTACATCACTCAGAGATTCGTCAAGTCCAGACATTACTGTGGGGAGGCCATTGTATCCGCCAAGACTACCCACCAGGAATCTATTGTGAGCAGTGGTGGTATGAAGTCCGTTACATCCTATTTAATAATATCAGATTAGATTACCTGAATTGGTATTAAGCTATCAAGAGACTTGGGAAAGTCTCGCGTCAAGAACGTATATTAATTATTACTGTTATCACCTCCTAGACCTTGATGCCTTGCTGAATCCGGTGATGATACTATAGATGACGACTGAGCTGCTGCTGCAACGGCGGCGTTGAATTTATTCTTCTTGCTGCTGGATCTTCCACGACCCTGGATCTTATGTGCTGCTAGATCATTGAGCAGATCATCTGGCACTCTCATGAGTAATAACTTTGGCAGTTTTCTTATAAATACTATCCGCACCCAAGGTGCCATTTTGTGAGTACTTGGCTTTCGATAGTGCACATTCAGTATTATAATTGTTATCACTACGGAGAGCCCTACTAGTATCATTGTGAAGAGAAGGTATTTGCCTAGCAATGGCAGTGCTAATGATGTTGATGGGATGATTTCTGATATCAGAAGGAAGAACATGGTTTGGGATAAGAGAATATTAATGCAGAGTGCTATTTTCTCACCGGAATCTGCTGGCAGATAAAATGCTAGCACTGATAGATAGGAAATGCTTACGCAGGGGACTATTAGATTAACAGTGTAAAAGAGGGTCTTACGTCTTAGGGTAATGTTAAAGAAAATGTCAGGGTAAGGCTCGTGGCAGCAGGGATAATATTTCTCATGTCTTTCTGCTGGGACATCCAGTATATCCCATTCCACACTTGGATAATATTCCCTGAGGTCAATTCCTACCTTGACGTTGTTATCGCCCATGTTCTGATTTATATGCTTCAGGTCGATCTAGATGGACAATTTATTGACGTTAAAAATAATCCAAGGACTAACTTGGAATTCATAATAATTACGTGGAAACCGTCGTAGGTCCAGGAACCGAATTTCATGAAGCACGTTTGCTGATCAAATGGAAAATATCGTACGTCGATCTCGCAGGAGGACTTAAAAATGGCTGGTGGTGTCCAGAGAACCTTTCCGGTATGGTGTAGAATAGCTTTCGTCATGGTTGTCACACCGTATTCACCATCGGCACTAAATTGTTTTATATAATATATAACATAAAGTATAATATGATTATTACATAAGATTAATTTTACGTACTTGTTGTACAGGACTATATCCGGTAACCATATGTGTTCACTGGGTACATAAAGTTCAGTGACCCCACCATACTCTAAAGGATCCCATTGGAATTTGTGATCCTGCCATTCCTAAATTGAATGATAACGAATTAAAAATATGAAATGGGTAAAGAATTTAATGATTTTATTGGACTGATGACTTACATGCTCAAGCCAGACATTGGTGGTGAGTATTTGATCCTTGAGATTCTAAATTAATAGACAGCAAGCCATAAGATCCATAATTCCAGGTATATAGATGTTAATAAAATCTTGTCAATTATCATTACCAGATCAATAAGCTGTGACAATCTCAGTCCCAGCTTGACAACAACAGTGTCAGTATTATTAGACACAGGACGTATCAGTCTATTGTAATTAGAGAGAAGATCGTCATATAATCTCTTGGCATCAGGATTACCCAAGGAGTTCCTGGCCAGGATACTGAGCACCACGATTCCAAACTGGAGTATCATCATATTCCAATTTACCTAGTCCACAGCCAGCATTGACAGAAATCCTATAAATAGACGTAATAACATGATTTTATTGTTGGCTCTCCAGTTTATCAGGATTACTAATATAGGTATGCAGCTGTGTTATAAAAGCATAGCCAATTCTCTCTACTTGATGAGTATTCTACCAAATTAGAGAGCACTTGCGCTCGTTTTGCGGGCAATTACATCAAGGCAGTGCACCCCTTTCCTCAGCATATCCCCTTGTCCACCCCAAACACACTAATTGAACCCTGTTATTTACATAGCTCGTTAAATCAGGAACCATTAGAAATGCCTGAGCGAACCGGACCTCCTGCATAGTATCTATAGCCAATACTTTTATTGATCGTTACGTCAAGAGATCATGCCGCTTTATAAGGACTAATCAAAGAGAGATTTTTCAAGATAATGAGCCGAATAATAATTGGATATAAAATTTAGCACAGTGATGGAAAGGTAAAAGGAAGGAAAACAAAGGTCAATTTTTTAATGCTGTTAATACTTACCTGTTGCATATTGAGCTTAGGATAATCTTATGTCTATCTGTACAAGGATTTACGTATTTGGATTCAATATGCATGTAAAATATATATTGAATCCCTATTGATTTCAGAGATTTTCTATTATCTAATAAGCCTGTAGTGCTATTGCTACAGTTCAACGACCTGTGCACTTCCGGTCAATTAGTTCCGGTTCCCCAATACTGCAATGGCGGATAGATTTGAAAGTGGTAGTAGACAAGAATGCCTTTGTTATTAGGTAAAATTTTATTGTTTAAATATATCAATGCATATTTTCAGAATTTCACAATTATTAATTGTACTTACAAGTGAATTACGTCAAAATCTATTAAGGTGACCTTTCGGGGGATGAGTCTTCCTTAAAGGTGTCATTATCAGTCATTCACCAAGCAGTTTCATATCAGTATGTGATACTGCTGATGGCAGTTCTCAATGAGGTTTTCAGACTTTCTCCCAAATGCATATTATTGTAACTCAATTGACACTTTGACAGAAGGTAAAAAAACAGAGACGTGCTGTGTCTCCCGATTATTTTCCAGTCAAGAAAACACTCCGCTCTTGTTGGATGTCGGTGGACCACTGCCCAGCAGCGAGGCTGCGCGCTCATTACATTAGTCAAGATCAATACGCTACTGCGCGAGCGCCGGTTGCATTTGCTCTCTCCGTATCTACTGAAACGCTCAGCTATCATTTTGGCTCCGGCTACCGATTAGGATGGACGTGTTTTATTATTTCCCATTTAAAATAATACATTGAATGATATATCCGATTATAGTGAATTTTATTGCATTGTTGAAGGATTTTTCATTCTCCGCAGCCAGTGGAATATTTTTCATGAATTTATTCTTCTTCTGCACACGGATACAGAAAGAGCAAACGTTATATGGTGATTACTTTTTGGAAAATAATTTATTATTTTTAGGAAATGAAAATAGCAGATAACGATAGAGTCTTACGGTACCCCTGTCATGGACCAGTATCACTGATGCAAACCAGCTTAGAGTATAAAGGATGCTGGTAAATGATTCTGTGTCAACCATGGGATCCAAATGCGCTGGGGGTTTCATCCTTAAGTGCTGACTGGTAGGAAATTTTGCGGGCGTAAATTTAGCAGTCTGTACGTTCACACCTGCGGAAGCGCTTGGTGAGTGTGAGAATTTCTGGATAGTAGGAAAAATCGGTCTAGCTAAATTTTCCATATAATAAATATGCATCGTGCAAATAGGGAGAGCATCGAGTATAAAAAGACGACGGGTCTGGAAAAAAAGGGATACTGATAAAATGAAGAAAGAATCCTAAAAAATAGAGGTTAGAAAGAAAAAAATTGATTATCTTAAAAAAGCGGAAATTACGAGAAAGATTCGATCTTTAATTGTGTCTATTCGGCGAAAAATTGCAAGGTCTCCTGTGTCTCTCTGTATCGTCTTGAGTTCCTTATTTCTTGCTCAAAGTCAAACTGTTTGGCTTCATCAATCATAGTACACGTTGTAGGCAATCCTTCATAGAAATCTTGGAGGCTAACCGGAAGTCCTCCCCTAGTAGAAGGCTCGCGCCTGTTATAACATCCGGCAGATCGGAAACACCCGGTATCCGGAAAGGTTCATATTCTCATAGAGTATCTATGTATAGGGTTTTTTAGTACAAGCGGACCACCATAGGTGGCTCTACCATAGAAATCAAATGGACAGGCTAATTTCAGATAGTGCGTTTGTCGTTAATAGCTAAATAGATATCTGACTATCCATAGGTATAACCTACAAATCAAGATCTATTATAATTACTCACAAGGATTATGTTATAGAGTATCAGATATGATATCAGTGAACTGGAAGTAAAATGTTAATTGTAATATCTATAATGTATATAGCATTCTAGCTGAAACAGAAGAGAACCATTGGAGCGCGTCAAAAGGGGATGCCCAGGACAGGATGGTAGTTGGGATAAGGTGGATAATTAATGTGATGTCACGCATCGAGGCAACCTTCCATCGTAGTCTGGCGCTCTTTCACCCCCTAGCGCAGCAGGAAGCGCTGCCAGGTCGCCACCCCTTGAGAGGCAGGCATCCACTGAAAACTCGTATCTCGCCTAACATAAGATAAGCCGAAATCCTATTATAGTTCGTTGTAGATTGCCCTAAATAGTTGGCATTCGCAAGTTGGCTGCCGTGAGGATGGTCCTGGGGATAAGGTTACTGAGGGCGAAGAGAGGGCTATAGGTGACAGGGTGGTTCAAAAGCTGCGGGTTACCCAGAACACTAACTATATGTATATAACAGCCAGGAAGGTTCTGGAGTTTAAATGAGAGTTTGCGCCCCATAAATTATTGCATTCGAGTCGCCGCCTCCTGTACATGTAAACACGCCTTTAGCCCGGTCCTGCCTCGCCCATCCTTATCCTTATATTCAGCGACCACCCATCTCCGACCTTCCGCAGCGCGATCAAGGTTGAGAAATCAAGATCTGATTGGGAGAGTCGATAAATGAATTATTTATATAAAATTGTTATTATAGGTATTGAACAAATGAATATATTCGGTGATTCGATGGCGTTCATTTTGGCTCTAAGAAAATCATCAATTCATGATGACATACAATTCGTACCCTTAGGATGACCCGCGTGGGAACCTGTTTCCCTAGGGTCCCTAGGGTCTCCCGACAAAACCGTCTGTCACCGACATCATCCTCTTGGAGTTCCTGACCTCTTGGTGACGTTAATGCAAGACGTTTCTCTTCCGTAGGGAGCGCTGGTGCGGGGTGAGGCGGAACAGTCCAATGAACTGACAGTTAGAAGTCCAATTCGACTTAGATGTTATTCCCCACGAAATGAGTTTCTTCCTGAGGAAGGTACTTTTTTCGGGGTTAGTCGATACGAGTCCCCAAGTTATATCCCAAAATAAATTAGGGGATGTCAGAGTTCAGTAATATCACTAATCCATTATAATCCAAATATAATTTACTTACAGTATTCCTATTGAGAAAAGCAATCATCCTTCCGCAGAGATTTCCTGTTTGTAATCATCCATATTCCAATTTTCTTTTGGACCAAGTACACTGTAAGCAGATATAGCATTGTCTGGTTTCAGCATCAAAGAGATACAAAGACTAGGTAAGCAATGTAGCAAGAGCAAGGTAGCTGGCACGTCTAGGTGTACGCGTTCAGCACCCCCTGACGACTCAACCTCGCACCGCGAGTGTCGGTATCGACTGGGGTTTGTCGGGAGTGGGTGCGCCGTTCTACTGGTGGGGGTAAAGAGTCGTGAAGTTTCGTGGATCCTCGGGTAAGATCGTGAGGTTTCGTATAGCGGGTTTCAGGCACATGTTCAGCTTATAGGAATGGAATCGGCTGTAGTCGGGTGTCTTCGGTTCATTCGGGCGGTAGATGCTCGTGCTTGTAAGCGCTGCTACGGGCTTGTGCAATATATAGAATACCGGGCGGTTCGCTTCGGGTAACTTCGACGATGCTCGTGCCCTGCCGGCGACGTCTCGCGTCGGGGCTTCCACATGGTTTGGTATTGGCTCCCGGGGCGCAGGGTGGCTGTGCGACGGCGACGGGGCTGGCGACTACGTACGCGACGCGACGGGGTAGCTGCACGACGAGCCCCTGAGTAACGGGGAGCTTCAGTACTAAGGAGGGTAGTTTGCCGGACTGTTTGTGCGATCTGGACGATGGCGTAACACGTCGAGAATGTTACCGGGAGTGCGGCCAGTCCTTGAACCTTGAACGAGATTACATACTGTTGATTTGGATTATTATGAGATGCACGTTTTTAAACCGATAGATACCTTACGCTATCAAGCCGGGTATATTGTTGAGACTGTGTCCTCGTGCACCTTCTTCGCGATACGGATTGAATCGGTCTTCTTCAGACACTGAAGAGAATTCTATGATACTGGAAGGTTTAAAAGGTTCGCGAGTGTCGGGATTTAAAGCATCGAAAGGAGAGTGTTAAAGGGAAATACTGTTAGGCAAGAGAAGCTTGGCCTTCATCGAGGACCTGGTGAAGTGATTGAATGAGGTTGCTGTGACTCCTGTAGATCGACGGCTCCCATGTATTAATTCCTGAGTCTCGAAGTTCCTATTTATTCTCTCCAGGTTGTATACGTTGTTTTCGATATGTTCATTTCTTTGTTGTCTAGTTTGTTTCTCTGTCTCTCTGCTCCATCCAGCCGTTCCTTTTTCATCTCTCCCGCTGAGCGTACTTGAGAGGAGAGAGAGTAAGAAGAGAGGAGGCAGTATCAGTCTCTGAGTCTACGTTACAGCACAGCACGTCATCCATATCGCAAGCTCTACTACTTACTCGTACACGTTCACCTTCGCAGCCGAGACTATCCCACTCCATCCCATAGACCCATCTACCCAGCCGTTCTACCCCCCACCAGCGCCATCACCGCCGCCACGAGCAGAAGCAGCACCACCACCAGCACCAGGGTGAACCCAGTGAACCCATCCCTTAGCTAGGGAGGTTAAAGCGTGCTAAAGTGATCTTTTCGCCGTGTGTCCTCGTCGTGATCGCGACTCCTGTGGATGGCTTCAGGAAGTACAACCGGAGGATCGTCATCGCGGTGGATGATCCAATCGTATTGTGGATTAGAAGTGTACAGCAGGTGGACCGACACCTGGTGAATCCGAAGGAGCTGCTCGATTCCCGGTAACGAGCCTCACCAGGTGAATTTTAACCTCGTGCCGGGAGGATGGACGCGCCGTGGACGTGCCCGAGGAAGCTCGGCCGTAGGAGTAGCGGGACGAGCTACGAGGATAAGAATAAAAAAGAGTGTGGGCTTCTTCGAGGATCGCGACGACCGTCCCTTGGCCCACCCAGGATCCTCTACTGGTAGCGTCTTAAGACGTGGTGTGTCTAAGCTGCTCAAGAACTCGTGGACGTGGTTCAGGGTGGAAGACTTCAACGTGCTACGGTTTTTTATATCCAAGACGATCATCGTACGTGATGTTTTGCATCCTGCTTTCTATTTGGTGCTTCCTCAATAATAACTTCTGAAAGTTGTATCGATACCTTCTTCGTCACCAGGTTAATACTCGACGACGTCGTACTTCCTCTCAGGGTATACAAGTGTTCGTTGAACTTACTCTTAAGCTATCATCATACACTCACTCCTGGCCTGATTTTACCCTACGGGGATGACGCTGGCGGGCATGGGCCCGTCCGAGCAACACGACATCCTCGTCCTCGCAACGCTTCTATGGGAACTACGAGTATCCTTTGCGATCACCTGCAGGACACTCAGGACGCCCGGGGTTCGGTAGCTCGTCCTTCCTTATTGCTCTTCATCGACGCCCGCGGGCAATGTGCCCACCCGCCGGCAACGTAACGTGAGTTCAAATTACTCTATACTTTTTAACGTTTCACCTTTCACTCCATACCATATATTTTCCAACCGGTACTTTAATATCATCACTGGCGACGACTTTAAACTTGTTTCTGTCTGCCTGCGCCATAACCTCACTTTATTGCCTACTATGATATCTACTGTAAACAAGTTTAACCGCATGTCTACTTAAATTACACATAGATATGTACTTCATCCTTTCACATGCGACATCTACCTGTTACTGCAATTTTATCATTTTTATATTTTTATTTTATAGAGAAATAAAGGTGCGATCATCAATAGTCGCTGGTGCGTCCATAGGTATATTATATTTATACACCTGAGTATTATACCTATCTTCAAGGGCTATTATATATATAATTTGATGGTATCGATACTAAACTTGCCACAGCACTTCGCTCTTACCGAACTTGTGGTGAAACCGTAAGAGCATGAAGGGACCAAGGGACCAAAATGAGTACTAGTATTCTAGCACTATGCTCCCACTATATCCGGAGCACTTGAGTACGCTCCGCGTGTTCTTGATTACTTACCAGGACTGTTGTCAATGGACACCCTATAGTATACACCGTTTATTTACTTTCTCTACTTAAAAAGTGACAAGCCACTGAATCTTTAAAAGGCAATTTTTTATTATTATAACTGTCAACTGCTCCACGTTCAAAATCACTAAACCAAGCTTATAATCCGTAGGAGCTGTCGAAAATTGGCTACACAGGAAATCCATCAAGAGCGGGTCACGTCTATTTCGTTCGAAACGTTTCTACGATCCCAAGGATACACAGTCGTAATGTTAGATTGTCGTTAACGTGCAAGTAGATACGTACCGTGCCTGTTCAGACATCCAAGTGCCTACAGGGGGCTCCTACTCTCTTTAAGAGTAAAAAGCCATTTCCGGTTCAGCTACTCTGGAGATTTCCGGTCGTTCCCTTTTTCCTTTACCTGAAACACCCGGGAAGGTGGAGTGAGGTGAAAAAAAAGAATTGATCTTACCAGAGAATCTTTTAGAGGATTCGAAAATCCCTATGGTACATTGGACACTGAAAGGATTCTGTAGGAGTGACGTAGAACGCCATTGATCGACTGTCAACAGCACATTGTGTGTCCCTTAATGCCTACTACAAATTATTCCGATGATACCGTGCGTTCAGTCAATCAATTTCGAAGGTAGGCTGAAAGGTAAATGATCCCGAAATTGCGGACAGCCTAACGAAATCATTGGTTTGGCCTATGATCCTTTGAATTATTCAGTAAATGATCATCTGGTTTTTGACTTCGCTCGGTTTACGTGCCAGCAACGATGCTCGTACGGAGAGACGATCGAATGATCAATAACCATGATAATTTTCGACTGTCTTTACCAACCGATCGATTTTATCATTACTCGATTAATGATCTCTATCATTGGCCACACCATGACACCCGGCTATCACTGCCTGACGCGGTATCAGGATTGATTGGCCCGTTAAACAGGAATAATTAATCGTTTCTGAAACGTCCCGTAACAATGATCACTGCACAGGTAGACAAAGACTAGAAAAAAAAAGATTTGTTCCTATATTGTAAAAGCGGCGTAATCCAATCTAGGAATTTTTTAAAAATATTTTCTCAACATCATCATCACACAAACCAGTAGATTATTCGAGAAAAGTCGACGTTCCCTATGGAACAATTTATGACGCGTGTCGCGAGCAGCGTTTTCCAATTTTCTAAATAACATCACCTAGATCCTCCCTTAATTCCCGAGCAGCCTTCAGGAGGCATAGAGCAGAGCCTGCTAGGACGGCAGTATCCGATTTATAAGTAAATCCCTATCAAGCCGAGAGTACCGTATCCTGCAGGAACCTTTAGTAACTTATGTAAAGTGTGTTAGCCCGTGGGAAAAGTGCGAGGCCAAGGGACTTGTGTTGGTCAGGATTTTAAAAAGGGGAATGCTACGTACACAGAACGTAACGGGAAGATCGATGCTATAGTATCCGTACTATTCACAGCGTTATTTCAAGTCTGACCAAACACCGGTGTGTACTACTACGGCCCATTTACGTCTAGATATTTTGAGCTTGAGCGTCGGGACGCTTTCGCGTGTACTTAAAAGGACTTTTATACATAACATTAGTTATATACCCGTTTGTGTACCTGTATATGCGGATGTTTATGTACGAAACAGGATAGTTTAATACGTATGGGCTATGGATGCTTACAGCGGTTAGATATAATTTTGTACTTACATAGGTCAGCTATACATATATTATATATGACGTATATAATATACATATATACACTAGCATACGTGCCGCTTAGCAGAAATGAATATCATGAATACGATGAATAGATTTTCAATGTTAATTTCCGGTTAACCGACTCATCCTTCCGCCACTGGTTTGGTCCTTAGGGTATACATATATAGTCTTTTATATACATACATTACAATACCCCCAGGTATATACGTATCTGCCTACTAACCATTATGCCGACTGGTCTCTTTAAATACGTATAATTAAGCTGTGGCCGCAATTACTTTGCCAAGTTTACAGTCAAAAGTAGACGACCCCCTGTTTAGGACGCTTTGTGGCTATCTGGACGCCATTACTACTGGCCCTGTGTATTTTACAAGAGAGGCCAAATTATTCGGAAGAATTAAGGCGCTTCTTCTCTATTTAGTTCTGCCTACCGAATTGTTACTATATAGTCTTTCCTGTGGGTGCGGACCCTTCGCAGGTGGGTAGGTGGTACGCGGAATAGGAATGAGAGCAATGGTGGGAGCGAGAGAGCTAGGAGCATAGGAGATACCGTGAGAGAAACTGAAAGGGAGGAGAGTTTCGTCGAATTGGAGTTTATTAGGAGAGTCACGTATCAGCCTGGACCATCGGGGCAAGACAGTGCCTTCTGGAAAGAGATTGATGATCGCATTGCGAGCGTTAATAATCTGGGACTAGTAGGTATATATAGAGACAGTACTCGTGCCCAAGTACGTATCATTAAACAGTTGAGCCTCCCTTGCAATCGCTGTAAACGTCCCGACGTAAAAATATACCCGCGAGTAAAGAGATTGATGACCATATTACGGCTGCTCATTTGGATGTAGTCAAGAATGCTATTGTGTGTGGTGTGTGTATATGTATATATATATAAAACAGAATCACCTGTTTCGAGGATAAATAATGCCCTAGAGTCGGTAGGATTATTACTTTTGAATTGATAGACAACTGCTTGGCCCCTTTTTAACGTGGTCGGTGACGAGAACAAGGGGCCTTTTTGACTCGGTGTAAACGTTGGTTGTAAGAGACACTCGGTTGGCACCTGAATAACGTGTTGGTTTATTAAAAACAGGGGCCAACTTGAGTACTCCTTTACCGTGTAACTTTTAAATTCTTTAATTTGGAGTATTTTGGAATTTAGTTTTGACATTAAGCTTCGTTCACAAGTTCACTGGTCACTTACGTGTGTCCGTGTATTTGATCTTTATTGATTTGATTCTGTATTGAGTTTGCAAAGTTGATATTGTATGCTGGAGCTGTTCATTGTGGATCGGCCGATCGATCGATCAATTCACTGATTTTTTTGGTATGTTTTAGCAGCACAGAGTGTTTTATTAAAAACATTAAAAAATTATAATCGGTAGGTTACATACGTGACGGTAGCAGTGCTTGTTTGGAGGGCTACGTTAAAATAATAAACGTGGGATTGGTTGTTGCATATATATAGGGTGGCTAAGTGGGTTGAAAAGGATATGGAAATAAAATTGAATATAACGGGTGTACAAGATCTCGTGAAATAATCCCGGCTGGGTAAGAGAGCGGAAAAAGAAAATATCCTGAAACCGGCCACGAAATTTAATCCCAGGGTAAACAGGCGGTACATGCGCCAACGGTAGAAGCGAAGGGTGGATGAATAGAAAGTGATGCACGGGGTGTGCAGATATTTTTGTATTTACACTCTTCGCACTCTTCCTCTTTCTCCAGGTCATTCACACTTTTTAACGTAGTCAAATTATTCAGGACACACTCCATGACGTATATACAGTAGCACTCTGTATGCTAAAGAATATTTAAATTGACGTATGCATTTTATGCATAGCTGCACAGATACTCCATTGAAGTGCTCCCGTGTCAATCGTTAATGGCGGACTTTTGATTTAAAAATATTTCACGAAATATACTTCCAGGACACGGTGTATATACCCCGCACGACGCGAGATAGACCACCAGGGGGTGTGATTGCAAAAGTTTTTCATCGACAGCTCCCTAATGTTATGACAGCTGTCAAACTCGAAGGATCCATTTGAATCATGCCAGCCGGTATATACAGTAAATTTATTCAGTCCACCTGCATATTTGTACAGTAAATTCGTCATAACAGCATAAACCAACGAGATTGAGATATCCCATTAGACAAATGGATAGTTAGGTTAGACGAGCAGATAAACACGTGGCTATAGGCAGACAAGAGGCGTATTGGGGTGAATTCTCAAGCGACAGCCTGTATATAGGAGTGTCACCAGGGGTAAGTCGTATACCAAGACCGTTTGTTACCAGTTTCACGAGATCCTCGACAAAGGGCCTTGGAGGAATGATACAGGGCGATTTCGATGACTAAATGTCCTGGGGTCACACAATGCCTCTAGGGGTTAGGGAGGTGGTCTCAGCTCTTAGGGGTTAAGGGTGGTCGTATGTGGGCGGTTTGAGTATGGGTGCTTCGGGGGGATGATTCTGAGTGCGAGCATACACCACCCTGTAAGTAAAAGTCTACCCAGTTTCTTCTTATACGACAGTGCTCTCTCTTTCCGTTTTTCTTGAGGGTTCAAAGGTCGCGGCTGCCTGGATACTCGTGCACCTCTCTGTGACGGCTGCCTTTAATGGCACCACCTCCTCCTCTTACCATTTACTCGCGTACTCTTAGACACACTCCCTATTTTTATTTTATCTTGCATTTCTTTTTTTCTTCTCCATCCGGTGGGGGCGGGGGGGCCGTCTCCTCTTC